CTTTTTTATATTGGTTAACAGAAATGTTTTGACACTTACATTTTGATGATTTTGTGAGTGTTCCTTTACAGTACCAACTTGGTTATTTTATAGAGCAAGTAATACAGGCAGACTTTTGGAAACTTTTGGTTCGTGACTATTTCAATGCCACATATGGTTAGTGAAATTTTTTTTTTCCCACAGGCATTTTTTTCTTTTTTTTTTTTTTCAATTTCCAACTCTATTTTTCTTTCTTTCCTTTTTTGCTGCCAGAAAGCCCAAATGTTTGCATAATTTTCAGATGCAACATATTAGTGTTCCTCACTTGCACCACACTGATCAGCTGTTCTGGTCTGCAGGCTATGCGGCTGATTTCATGCTGTTATTGTGAACACAAGAGGAAACCTTTTTGAACAGGAGTTTACAGAGGGAAACACTTTCTATGTTAATTGGAGAGCAGAAGAGAACTGGCGTTACTTTGTAGTTCAAGAGTGTAAATTGTGAGCACGAAATATTGACCTAATTCACACTAGGATATCAAACTCAACAGCTAACAGAGTCATCATTTGTGATGCAGAGGACTGAGATGCAACAATATCTTGGATCACCAAATATGTATGTCCTTAAAAAAAGTCAAGATGACTCGTACATCACAGACCTGATTAGCTGATCGGTGCGCTGCAGGTGGAAGAAGCTGTTTGTGTGGCATCCAAGAATAGTGCCAAACAAACAAAGTAGAGCTCTTGAAGCTCTTTGTAGAGCACACATTTTCAACAAAAATGAAATGTTTGAGATTTTTTAAACAATTAGCTAAACCGCATGATTGAGCTGAGCCTGTATGGAGTAGTTGATTCAACTAGCTGCTGGTCCAGTTCTCCGTCGAGTTTCTCAAAGAAAGAGGGCTGAACTGACCCCACGAAAAAACAAAAAAACTTTCACTTAAATTTCTTCAAACTCTTCTGCCTCTTTGGACAAAATGTCCAGGGTCCTTAAGAACATGTCAGCTCTAATAAAATAATTTTCTAGGGTTAGAGTTACATCTTAAAACTGCAGAATCACTCCTTCTAGGTGCATGTGTGTGCGTGTTTTGTTGTTGTTGTTTTTGTTGTCAGTAAAGCAGCAGGGGCTGATGGGTAGAATTCTGGGTTAATACTATTCAGCTGCAAGTGGATTACTGCACATTATCATAGCGCAGTGTGAGCGACCGATGTGATTTTCTGCCGATTTCATTAAACATACATTAATTATGAATGCCTCATTTATTGGTCTACATTATCAACAGGTTTATCTTTCACTGATTACTGTTTAATTGGTGATTAAATGATAACTGTGAGCACTGATGCCAAGTACCTTCTATTTTTTTCTCTTTCGAGATTATCTGTGCTCAAGCGGACCTTTCAACACTGCAGCTCATTAATTAACAGAGCTCAGAAATAATAGTAAACAACACAGGGAGGTGAAATAAGGGCTATTAATAAGTATGCTGGACTCTTCTGTGTTTTATTTGCAATAATGAGTTGACCCGTTCCTCTGACTGTTGGTTTTTCATTTGAACCTTCCTTTTGAACACTTTTTCTTTATTTATGGATCGAGCAGTCAGAGTCATTTGGATCCTAGAACCCATAGAGGCATTTTAAAGCTTGCATTTGCACACATGAATCACATTTTAGTAACCGCGCAGAGTTTTTGCAGACAAGTCAGTGGCAGTCCAGATGTTAAATCACCACAACAGTGCAGAGAAGAGGAAAAAGAGTTTGAGCACAGATTTATGAGAGGGTACTTTTCCTCTCCAGAGGTAGTTGAAGTGGAAGTTCCTGATTCAGGAAGCAGCAGAAGATAAAATAATTACGCCTGATACCCACTCTGGTTCTGTGGGAATAGCAGGAACTTGTTGATACCAAGACAGAGGAAGCGCTCGTGATTGCAGGACGGCACTTCAGAATATTAAATTCATGGAAAAAAGAATTCTGCAAATATGTAAATGGTAAGTGTCCCACTGATGAAACAGAGCAGATTGATGTTTTATTATTTTGGGTCATGAATCTCAATATGATCAGACATCAATGTGCAAGTTGTTCCATGGCAACGACCAGATTTTTAGTCCTTGTTTTTGACGCTTTAAACTCCACCCTTCCCTATACCCAGAGACAGAGGAGGGGAATAAAAGACTGAGCATAAAGAATAAGATTATGGTGAATTAGTTGCAGCTAAAGTCAAATTTTGGAACATTGTCACAAAGGTACAATATCAGTATGTAAATGAATGATTTGATTTAAAACTTAGAAACAGATCAGATAGCTGGAAGAGTTTAAAGTCGTCTTGTGCATTTAGCTTTTTTTGTTTTGTTTTTCAATTATTCAGAGATGTTGGAAAAAAGAATAATATGTGAAAAAAAAATAAACAGTCTGATTGCAGCTTTTCAAACCTGCACCATTTGCAGTGTAAGACAGTTGTGTTGCAGTCGAATGTGAGCTTTTTACTCACTGAAGTACCATAAACTAGGACACCTGACGAATGAATGAATGACTAAATTAACAGAGGTGGGAATATAAATAGGAGTCTTGCTGAACAATTAATGAAGACATGCATGCATGAGGCAACAATTAAAAAGTACAAAGCTGTTAAATGCAGAATGAATCATAAACTATAAAAGACCTACCATTCATATGCATAAGAGTTCATTCCTTTTGCTCAATTCAAATGGGGATTACCAGTGCTGAATAATGAAACCAGTGTAGAGGTGCATTAACACTGCACATTGAGCATACTGCAGATACAGGTTTTCTCCAAAAGCCAATAAATCCACACTAATGCCCATCATTTCATGTTGATTTTTAAAACATTTGAAGCCTGACTTTTTTAAAAAAGGGTTGGAATTTTGAATATTTTTTTTACACACACTTTACAGGGATTTTTTGTTTTATTTATTTGTTTCAAAGACGGTAAGGCCAATAGTTTTCTGGACATTTTTGTTATATTGGGACTAATTGACTGCAGTAGGACCAAGACTTTCCACAATCATTCCTCTTTTTGTTGGCTGATTTAAAGTTTGTCAGCATTTCAAATTTGGTGACAAACATCATCTTACTCCAAACTCCAAATCAGAAACAAATGAATCCATGTTTTATACAGTCGACGGCTTTTCAGATACTCTGCTATATGTTGCTATTGTTTAATCTATCTCAAAAGAACACATACAAATTTGTTTAGATCTCCACAGGGGTGTGTACAGAGGGCTGACCAGAGGGTGGCATAGGCCCCACTTGAAATCTGGCCAACCCAGGTGCTGCTCCGAAAAAAAAATCAGCTTTTAAGCCTTGTGTGACTTTTTCAGTTGTGTGACTTTTTGTCAAAGTCAAACATGATAATCAGGAATATGATATATGTCAGATACTTAGATTTCAGCCATTATAGTAGTTACTGTCAATGGACAGAGTTAATAATTATGATTTGTTTATGTATGCACACACACGTGTCACTACAGCATAAATCAGTGCCTAGGTCTGGCTACCCAAGTTAAAATAGTCTAAACAAAGCCCTGACTCTATCCCAACTACTTTGAGCTGTTGATCAGCTTATATAGGCAGGTCTTTTGAACTCTTCGATATTTATATAATTTTTGGCCTGCAGATGTATTTTATTTTTTTCTCATACAAAACCCACTTTATACTTGGACACTTTGACTATACACTGATACTTCTACAACTTAATCAGTGCTTATGAAAAGGACATTTATTGGCTAATTCAGAGTAGATCTCTGTACCAGGATGACACCACAAGGGCATTTGTTGTACTCATTCACTCAAATGAACTTGAAAACCAATTAGTAAGCTTGAATGGAGGCTTCACTTTCATTGCAAACATTTGTTTCTACAGCTTAAGCATTTAACTCTCAAACTGGGAGCGTTTGCATCTGATTTTAGATTAAAGAAGGTTGAATACCACTCTTTGCACCACCTTTCAAGCACGGATTAAAACCTGCATAAAAATGAACCCAGTAGTTTGCACCTGGCTGCAAATCACTTGAGAATTAATCTATTATACTTATAAGTGATGAATTACTATTTAAACTCGTGGCTAAATTACAAGTTGTTGACTGACAAATGTGGATTTGCGTCTCATTTTGAAGTGATGGCACTTAAGCAGTGACAGCTTGATGGGCCGGCGACGCTCGTTCATCATCTTCCTTGCTTGATGCAGGAACCACATAACTCAGCGTGACCCCCGGCGGGAGAAACACATGAAGGACAGCTTAGCATGTCTTTCATGCACCATAACTCTCTCAGGAAATATCACAGACGGAAACCCCGCCTGCACCACAACAAGCAAGAGGTACATGAGAGAGAAAGGTGCTGTGTACTTCTGTTAATGAGAGGCTGGATCTGAGTTTGGAGGGGAATTCCTTTGCATGTGTAATCCTGGAAATGCAAATGACAGCAGGGTGCATATTCATAGATGGCGAATGGAGTCCTCATGTGCTTAATAACACCGTGGGATGCCTTTTGAGGATTTCTTTGAGTGTCTCTACAGCATGTAGGAGGGACCGTCTAGTTTGGAAGGTGGATTAAACGTGTTTTGAAGCTTAAGGGGGAAGTTGTGAGCTAATAGAGAATAAAACATGATGAAACCATGTAGCTGCACTTTTGTGAACACACTTTTTTTTTTTTTTTTTCCAACACAGAATATCAGAGTTGTTCTGGGAGAAAAAAGACAAGAAGCAGAAAGGTAAAAGTGCAGAGAGATCGTCAAGAAAACACCAACAGATGGCTGCGCAGAAAAAAGCCTCAAAGTGAAAGTAGTGACTCTGGGAGTGCGACTCTGAGGTAAGTGTTGGGGCTCGGCGCTACAAAGGGCAGTATAGTGCTTACTTTGATTGAATCAATGGCTCTGTGTAAGTAGCTGCTGGTGCCGGGGCTCCCCAGGGTGACAGAGAGGTCTGCGGAGAGTGAACCAATCCAGCCATCCATGGCCGGAGAACAGGGAGGATTAACAGAGCAATGCATCATAGCTGTAGCAAGCAGTGATGTGGAGCAGACTGTATTTATTGACTCATTGACTGTATTGATTGTCTCAATTGATGAAAAGTCCAGAGACAACAGACAGACGCACAGCGAGTTATGCAGAATGAAAAATAATAGAGCAGATATTATGTCGTAAAGGAGCATTTCACAGCAGAAAAACCCTGTAAATGTTTTCCACACAAACATCCACCCCAAGTGTTTGGTAGTAAACTTCTGGTTACAGCATATTTCCCTTGCACACATCATCTCATTCAAGTTAAGTACATACAGTAATGGCTTTGTCATCTACCTGGGCATGTATGTAGCTTTTTTTTTTTTTCCTTCACAGCAAATTCGCTCTGACATTGACATTGTTCCAGCAGCAGCGGTTTATTTAACACGCCATTAATCTCTAACGACAGAAGACCGCGTGGCAGCAGATGTTGGTTAACAAACTTCTGCTCGGTCCTGCGCTGTTGTTCTTCACCCTCATTGACATGTATTACTGCGACAAGAGGAGGGTCGCCGGGGAAAAAAAAAAAAGAAACAGAGAAGGACTGTGGGAGTTTTGCGGGCGGTGGCGGGAAATTGTTTTTGTCAAGATGCAGGATTGTTTTGATCCACAGCTAACCCTTGATATTTGTCGAACACGGATTCATTTGTCAAATTATGCCAAAACCACTGATACTGCAGCACATCTGAGTGCGTGGTCATCAGTATGCTAATGCGCAGCTATGCAGCGAAACAATCCAATTATTGACTGATGGCCACTGTACATCAGCTCCCTTATTGAATATGTGTGCAATTAATGAGCGCAGAGCAAACCAGAATACTGACACAGAAGAAATTAACACTTTGGTAAACTCAGACTGACGAAAAAGAGAAAAAAAAAGAAAAAAAAAAGATTGTCTCCACTCACATTATGGATAAATGAAGGGATGAGCTCATGTCAAAGGATTACTGGACTGTGTGTCTGTGATTTTTCTCTCTCTTCTAAAGCAGCAGGACAGTGTGAAAAGACATAATACAGAGCTCTTCATGACCTCAGCCATTGAAATAGAATATCTTTTTGTACTGAGTGCTGGTGAGTGGGCGTGAGGGCAACAAACTGCAGGAAAGTAAAGGGAGAAGAAACAGGCAGATTTGCCCTTAGGGCTCATGAGGTAAGGACACTTAACTCATCGCATGCATTGCCATAGTCGACAGGATTTTATATCAGCTCTATGCTTTTTAAAACAAAATGAATAAATCATCCCCTTTTCACAAATATAAATATATTTTATGTTTGGTATGTACAATAATGATTCGCCATCATCAACGACATTAGTATTGGAGGAGAGAAAAAGCATGTCAGTAAACTCTTGCTAATGGATACAGACACTGCAAATACGGCCATGATTGATTGGCGTGCTCGGACACTCTCTGTAGACAATTGTTTTATTTTTGAAGGCTGGTGGTGTGGCTAAAGCCGTTGCCATGCCGCAGTCTGCTGCTTAGTCCTGAGAGCTGCGAGGTTCACTGTCCTCCTCCAGCTCCCACTCAAAGTTCTGGCCGGTCATTTGGTAGAACATCATGTTAAAGGGTTTGTAGAACTTGTGCAGCCGGCGGATCACATCCGGGTCGATTTTAGGGTGAGTTCTCCCTTTCGATTTGCCGAGGCACCTGGGAGTGCTGCTGTCCTCTGGCTTCTTCAGACAAGGAAATCCTTTAGTCTTATTGAAGTAAAAGTGTTTGTCTGTGACAATCCGTTTGAGGCCCAAGAAGTCCTGCACTTTGGCCATCTCCCCAGCGGGGTCCACAATGAGCCTCTCACCACTGACAAAGTGCATTTGGGAAAGAGGGAAATACTGCATCCAGCTCTCCAAGTGGAGCGCATATATCCCGATACGCAACGCGCTCCACGAGGCGTCTATAAGACCCAGCGTCCGGTTCTTGAAAGCCAGAACCTCAAAGGTGGGAATCTCTGGCTTCTTGGACAAAGTCTGTGTGTAGTCTGAAATGGCTCTGGTGACAGGATTACGCACCACAATAATAAGCTTGATGTCTCTGGCCATGGTGTGGATGCGCTTGGGGGCATGGTTAGTCACAAAGTAGCTGGGTGTCTTCTCCATGGTGATCTGCCCCTCCAGCGTAGAAGGCATCAGGTCTCTGGGAAGAGAAACAAGAAGGGGAAAAAAAGAGAGAAAACATAAGCTTAGCAGAGTTTCATCCTCCACACCTCACACTGTGCAGATAAAAATTCCCAAGGACACAGCGCAAGCAAATTTGGTACATTTATTAAGCAGTACATTATTTGAAATTACAAGTGAAAATAGCTGTTATTATCACTGGACATTATGTTGCGAGGAGAAACATACAGCTAATTACATCCGTGGAGTAATATTCAAGAGATAAAAGAAAGGAGATGAAACGGCAGGCAAAGCAAGTATGCTCATTGCTTAATTGACTCCATCTGTGTTACTCCAGGAGCTGTTTTGGAACTTTAATAATGAGTGCGCTGCATATCATTAATGCCGGGGTGCCTGGGGTATTGTTTTGTCATACATTTATTATGCATGCATGGCTCACACTCTGTGCAGGCAGTTTTATTCCTTATGCACGCGCACTTCCTATCCAATGGGTGCAGACAGCTCTTTTCTTCTCCTCCCTGAACAATGTGTAAGGTTAGGGGCTGTCCATTGAAGGCAGCTGAGATTCATTATCAGATTTAATGTGATAATTCTCCGTATAATAGAAACATCACACACACACACACACACACACACACACACACACAAACACACATGCGCGTACACACCTGAGAAATTTATCATGAAGCCATTTGCCACTGCCACAAATATTACCCACAATGTGAGGATGAGTTGTAGGATGTGACAGTGCAAAGGCAAGTATATCACATGCACAGAGACAGGGCTGGATTCTACTGTTTCTATTTTCATATCGATAATAAAGCATAGCATGCGCCTTGAGCAAATCCTTATCAAATGTTTACACTGACGCTCACTCCAATCCGCGCTTTTTTCTTTGTTTGTAGGCTATGTGATTCAGTGCTAAATTGGTACATTAAATCCTCTGTGAGACACACCGTGTATTTAACGACTCACAAATAGCAGCACAGGAGCTCTACAATATAACGTAAAGTGAGACAGAATCCAAGCATGCACACTGCTCTGTTCCTCCTCAAATTAAGTAATGTAAGCTTGGGAATTAACGTCGAAACAGCTGGCCAAAACCCAAATTATTCCATCCAGAGACTTACAGATTTAGAGCAGGAGCTTTCTCCATAATTCTGCTTAAAAAGCTATTTCCCTCCTTCCTCGCTTCCTTCTTTCCCCTCTCCCCTGGCTGTATTTTTTTTTTTTTTCCACCAGGCTGCCCTGCACACCAAACCTAGAGTTGTAACGATATAGTCACATCAATCATTTGCATCTTGGACATATTCTAAATTAACTGTTCTCTGGCAAAGAATCCAATTTACTCTGCAAAACATAAGAGCTGTTATGCACATATCGACCACCCTCACACACAGCCATGCACCCATGGATGCCGGGCCTGAAAGTCTCACAAGTGGCCTGGTAATTGCATCTCAGTAACAGTATTGCCTTCCTGATGGGTAATTTCCCTCCGGATTATGTTTGTCTCTTGACAGTATAGAACTGTGGTTACTTCTGGGCCTGTAATGGGATATTAAACATATCTACAGATAGCATGGTGACTAGAAGAGTATTAGTTTTCATTATATTTCATCTTATTTCCATTTTTTCCTCACAGTATTGAACGGTTGAGGATTTTTTTTCTTAACCTTTCAAGGACTTTAACTCGACTCCAAAGAGCAGCTAGTGAAATCAGGTTCCACCACCGGCATGAACATCAAAGATATAAACTCAAATATATCACAGGAAATCACCTTGAAACATAATGTTTGAACATGAGCCGAGCCGTTTGCGCTAATGTGCTGTGCATCTTTGGAGCATATCCAAATGACGGGACAGGTGGACAATGTTCAAGGTTACCTTAACATAAGAAGCCATTGTCCCTGTTTGGCTCAATGCTAATCATCCTACACTTAATTAAAAAACAATGGAAACTGCACAGGGCAAATGCTTTGTTGTGTTTCTGAGGCTCCCCGCTCTGATTGGGAATCAGTCATGGATCATGTGCGTCTTAAATGTCAGCAGGACGGTGAGGCGGGACGGAAATCAAAATGCTGATAAACAAGCTAATTTCCCAGCACGTGGCCGATGACTCCTCTGGCCTTGCAGTGCTGTAGTTTTGGAATAAACAAGAGAAAACTCAAGCTTTTCATTTCGTCTCTGCATCAGCTGCACAGCTCTGCACAGGTCATTCAGGTGGGTAGGTAAATGGAAGCCATAGCGCTTAAGAGGCCCCACGAACCATCTGCTGTTTACTGCCTCAGAGTGAGGACATTCTCCGTAACACTTGCTTTCTTGCATTTCAACACACATCACATCCAAAGCTTTATTTACATAGAAGGAGAGGGGAATGTACCTCATTTTAATACTACGAGAGGAAGGCTAGAGTGAGAAGAGAAAGATTAATCTTTGTTGCATTAAGAAATAAATGCAAGAATGTGACTCTGTTTTGTGTAACTGAAGCCTTCATAATTCCTAAAAGTGCGGACAAAATCAGGCGTCATCATCCATTTAACGCGGTGAAAACATTATCTGAGTCAGACAGATGAATAAAAAAGTAGAAAATCAACCTTTAAAACTGCATTTCCTTTCCGACTTAGAGTACATGACCTCAGCGCGAGTGGAGAAATTTCATTTCACACCCACTCCACATAAAAATTCCAAATACGCAGCATGTCCAGCCATCTCTTAAAAGGTGGATTCATCATTCAGAATGTGCAGTGCACCAAATCACAACCAATCTTTGTATTTGATAAGACAGAAACTAATCTGTATAGAAAATCACAACTCTCCATGCCCTAAAAAAAAAAATTCTTGAGCACGCCCAGACGTGTTAACTCCGTGTTTCATTACGCTCTGTCAAAGCAGTGAAGGGGGGATATTTTGAGGCATGATGAGGTGAGGGATCACGCTAATTCACATTGCAGGTACTAAAGGGTCCAAGCTGTTTCAGGAGGAAAAGCGTTTCTCCAGAGAAGATAAGTTCTCACTAATAAAGTCTGGCAGGAAAAATAAAAGCTCCCCCCTGTCTCTCATTTGGATTGATCATGGCTTGGCTGCAGAGTATCAATCTGCACGAGCTTCCTCCATGTCACGTCAAATACGATCAATTATTCTGAAAGAGTCCACTCATAACAAGGTTCTGAGTCCTCGGAGAGAGCATGTTGAAGACAGCACTATGAAAGCGTGGACTACTGCTGTGATGCTTTTGAACAATTCCTAAAAAACACAATATATCAAGACACAGAGGTGTGAATAATAGGAATGTGTCACCTTTTTTGTTTTCAGTCAATATTGTCCAAGTGAATCATCGCCTTTGCAGAGGAACATATTTCATTCAGGCTTTGTAAAAATTCATAATAAAAGATAAACGCTACAGTCAATTTTACTTTCAGAAATGTTTGGACATTTTCCCAGTAACCCGATGCCTTCACTGTCACAGCAGGCTGATAATAGAACCAATGACAAAAGGTAATTGTATTGAGGTGTAACTCTGAGTCTCACTGCAAATATCAATCGAGGGTGTAAGCGGCTATTCATCAACAACAGTCAGTCAAGACATTTGAAGTGAGAGATACTGTGGTCAGTTTGCAATGAATAATCCTGTTATTACACCCTGAGTGACATGTTGGTGATTACTGCAGCTCCAAGAACAAAGACATTGGTTTACTGAGAAGAGAAGAGAGATCAAAAAAATGAAATAAAAAAAAAATGGTCAAATGAGTCATTCTTCACCCGGCTTTTTACAAGTGTATACGCGTACATGTTTGGCACACATAAGCAACAAGCCCACAGGCCACGGCAAAGGGTCTTAGTGGTTCTGTTTTGGAGTGGGAGGCATTCTGCTGTCATGGTTAAGGTGCAAAACAACTCCACAGAATACTGCCGATCTCAGCGTACAGATCAGTCTCAAGTTGAGGTGAAGAGATTGTTTCTGTTTCTCTGTCTGTATCTGACCTTTCTACCTGAGAGCAGGAAAAGGGTCCTCCATGTGAGCTTTCCTTGATTCAGAGCTGTACTCTCTCCATGTGTATCATTCCCAACATGTTCTCACCCCAATCTTGTCACTTCAAACTTGTCAACAGCACCTTGTTCTGTGGGTCTCAAGCCTCGAAATGCTGCTATCGAGGTACGACTGAGTTTGGCACATGCTGGGTTTTCTGTCATGTTGAATATTTCTTTTTAGAGTGTCATATCAAAAAGCAAAGTAAAGGGTAATTCAGTCTGAAAAGGGTGAGATCACATCCCAATAATTAAGCATGGATCTAAAAATATGTCCCTACGTTTCCAAGGCTGGTACCATGGTAATAGGCTGTTATCCTTATTCTTGGAGCACAAACAAGCACCAGACTAAACATTTTAGTTGATAGTACAATTAAAACTCAAGTGAGCTAATATAGCCTACCAAACACCCAACATATATGTCGTTTTTAAGGCTAAATCATGTCAGCCCGTCATGTCTGTAATTTAGCCCAATAAAAGACGTTGAAAACTGGGCTTCATTTAGACAGTCGTATTCGGTCCTGATTTAAAAAAAAGATGTTGAAAGCTGGGCTTTATTTAGACCATCTGAATCTAGACATTGTTTAGATGTGTGGTGAAAACGTCTTTTCAATGCCTTTTTAACCACTATTTGCTGGGTGGGAGTAGTCATATGAGCCATCTCAATAATTGAACATTTCTGTTTAGCAGATAATGTGAACCAGTCTTCTGTGTAAATTTAAGTGATGACTTTTGCCTTGACTTTGCGGTTGACACACTTTTAAAACTAAATTGAGCCAAAATCAAAACTTTGAAAACTCAATATGTTTACATAGTTCAATTAGGCGACTTAGCTGGAGGGCTGTTCTTGTGTCAGTTTACATGCATAAAGCAAAAATCTAAATTATTTACAGAAGCATGTCAAAGAAAAACAACCCCCAACTGCATTATCCAGGTATGTTAGTCAGACTATGAGAAGTTCAGTTAGTTCAATTAGTTTAATGTCAGTCGGACAATGTGTTGATATGATTTTTAAAAGTTCAGTTACAGGGGGCGCGCAGATGGCCGAGCTGGTTAGCGAGCCCCATACATGGAGACCATGGTCTTCACAGCAGTCGCAGGTTTGAGGTTTGAGAGTCAATAAAGGGCAAAAATCGGCCAAAAAAATAATAAAAAATAAATGTCCAGTTTCAGTCGGTTTAAAGGTCCATACACACAGGGGGCGTTTTTTTGTGTGACTATTTAAGATGTCAATAATTTTTATGAACCTATATCCTGTCAATACAAGCATCCACATCAGTGACGTTTTCCCGTCCTGTGATATTGCAGCATTTATTTTTTCGTATCACGGTCGATTTTTTTAAAGGTTCGCATACTGTGTGTCCACTTCTGACCAATCAGATTTCGTGTTGTTGTGACGTCAGATACACCGGTACATCCATCATGGCCGACCGCCTAATTGTTTATGTGTCGAACAAAGTGCTTTTTGATAAAAGACACAGACATTACAAAGCTAACGGCCTGAAGGACAACTTGTGGAGAGTCATAGCGTCGGATTTCTCATATGACGATAGTTTGTGTGCTTTAACAGTTTGCTAAACGTCTTTGTTTTAACTTTTATCTGTGCTAAATAACTTTAGCTTGTAAGCTAACCTGTTCAGATACAACATACCATATGCATTTTCACTGTCTCAAACTCAATCACGTTGCTGTCACAGCACTATTAGGTCTCGGTTGTTACCTTACGTTTATGGATTATAGTTTAATGTGCTTATCTGGAACTGGCCCCGACTCAGCACATGCTATCATGACAGACAGCCATCTCAACACTAGTGTCTAATCAAACCTGAAAAACAGTCAGTCTGGTGTTGTGTCAGTCTTCTCGCTTCCACCCGGGACGCGTCTTTTTTCACCCCGGAAAGTCGCAAAATCGCGATGTGTATAGTCAGGTGCATCATAATTTGTTTCAAAATTTTCCGTAATTTTGCGTCATATATTTGCGTCATTCCTGGTGTGTAAGGACCTTAAGGCTCTAAATACATTTTTTTAACTGCATGTTAGCTTAAGTATTATTGCTATTGTCGCTACCTACTATAGTGCAATAAAGAAGCTGACATTATCACGATAAATGTATTTAGGAAAGGAGTTTATGGATACAGCTTGAAAAAAAGTCCCTGCAGATTCCATTGTGGGTAATGTTTCCATGGCAATGGGTTCTCATCAGCCTTCTTACAGGACAGTCTTGCAACCTGCTTTTAAAAAAAAATAATTGTCATTTTGTATCACAGCGTTTTGTATCATCTGGTATTGGCTCACATTGCACCATGTATCTTCTTCTATCATGTCGTATCCTATCAGGAGTCTGCTGGTGATTTCCACCCCTACTTTTTGCACATTTATGCTCATAATGCCAGCTGTCAGTGAACCACAGTACTCTACTCCACTCTCTGTGGAGTTCAGAGCAATGATGGATCACAGAGTTCATCATCACACCTACACAAACTCATGTTCAGATCTCTCATTAATAAAACATGGCCGTGGGATTTAGGCCAAATGATCGCGTCATAAATAAACACAATAACTAATCTACACTATAACTGTTTGTCTCCCATAGGACATTAGGTTCTACCATCAAGTAAACCATGTCTGCTTGATGGAGACGGTGTGACTAATTAAAACACAACTCAGCCTCCTCACTCTTTTAAAAAAGGCCCATTATTCTCCTGCAGGAAAGTGGGCTTCAACAGAATTGTTGAGGACAGAAGTGACAGCTGGTCCTGATCAAAACCTTATTCCCCGCTCTCTTCCCGAGATCCCCCAAAGACTGTCCCACTTCCAACAGTGGGCGAGCCAGGTACCTCTTTTCCCCACATCACCAGACTGCAGCGCTGAGATCTGAAGCTGTGTTCAGACGCCCTTTGGACATAAAAAACATCATGAAATAAAGCACCGCAACGAGGGGGAAACTGTGGGGATGTTTGGAATGCTGTACCACCCGGCATCATTAGTCCATAACAGTGAATATGAGCTGAAGAGTTAGTCTATTTTTAAAGTCCAGAGAGGAAATGGAAGCAATCTTATCTCAAACCAGACCCTCAAAGGAGGATAATGCTTTTTTTTTTCAACTTCAGAGCAGTTTAAGCTTTACTGTCTGTAAAAACTGCACTGATTCCTCTTCACAAACCTTGAAATAAATATACAGTACAAACATTAAACCAGAAATAAAATCCTTACATAACGTTTCATCTGTTCTCTTATAAAACAACAGTAGTCCGACTCTTCTGAGAGACGATTTTCTTCTTTTTTTGTTCTTTTCTTGTTTGTTTTTTTTGCCTTTGGATGAGCTGGTGAGAGCACTCGAGGCTACACTCGTTCAATTTGATCACAATTGCCCTCAATATTTGAGTATTGATGTTGCCACTACAAAAAACAAGCAGTCTAAACACGCTCGCAGAGAGAAAATGTGCCACTGTCAGTGTCATTTACTGACAAAGACCGAACAGAGAGAGGAAACTGACTCAGATGCAAGCGTCATGGAGTTTAGTCAAATGCACCAGATATTAGCATGTTTTTCTCCAGTTAATATAAATATCCTGTCTGTAGTGTTTCAGTGAAAAACATACGGGTATTAGGGTTGGCTTTTAAGTCTAAAAAAAGCAAAAGCCCTTGTGTTTATCTGAACAAGTGCCATACGTGTTCTCTTGCAGCTCTAAAACCCTCTGAAAAAAAAAAAAGAAGAAAAAAAGGGTTGTAACACAAAAAGGCTGGCTGTAATTGGAAGTCACACCTGAGTACATCAAAGTCAAAGGCTAAAATTTACATCCAGGAAATGTTGCAGATCCAGCTCAGTTAAGCAGAACCAATTAATATGACAGTTTGAACATGATAGATTTCTGTGCAAGAGGAAAATAAATGGTTGAAACTTCAGCACCCAGTCATTCCAGTGAAGTTTGAAGCAGATTCAAATTTTTAAAAAAAAGCTAGCTGAGTGACCACAACATTTTTACATGGCCACGGCTTATTTAAGCTCATTGCTTACATGACATAATCATGAGATTTGATGAGGCGTACTTGTGTTAAATAGGTTCATATGAGGTAACTAAAACCCAATGGTACATTTGATGCTTTTTTCTCTCTCTCTGTTTTAAGAGCATTCCTGGCATTTGGTATTTTTCCATTTCTAATCACACACTGTGCAGGGAGCCTACAGTGATACAGCAGCTGACAAGATTGAAGGGCAGCAATTACTGAGTGGATAAACAAGTGGCTTCAGAAAATATAAAGTGCTTTCTATCAGAGCACAGCCATATGGCTGAAGGCATCATCACAAGCAAACACAGTGAGAAAGGTCATTAAAAACACACACTGTGGTGAATCTAACCTTGATTTTGTCCCACGCAACTCGGTGCATAAATCCTTGTTTTTACTTCTGAATGTTATCTATCGATACCTGTGTCTACCTGTTAGCTGAGTGCTGAACTCAGAACAGAGAAAAGAGCTTGTCTGTCTTTTCTTCCCCTGTTTCATACCCAAGAGGTTATTTTTTGGCAGCACTATCAGTTAAACACCTGAGCGTGAACCTTTTGCAGGAAATTACCTATCACAGCCACTTTTTTCTCCATTTTTTCCCCAATTCATTACAGAGCTGTAGGTCAGTGTGACACCACAAAGGAAGAGGCTGCACAAACTCTTTCCACGCCATGCGAAAGACATTAGTGCATATATCCAGGAATAACACCGGAGGGACTTGATCCAGCAGAGATTTAGGGTTGCTAACAAAATGTCAGGTTGAATATCAGATGCAAAATAATGGCAGGCAAATGTGTTATTTCTGCCATTTCACACAGACTATAAATTGGCAAAGTGTGCCATAAAGCTGTTGGAAAATGTCAGTGACGGTCTCTGCTGAAGAACACCAGCACTACAACTAAGTCTACATATGAGATCAACCTTGTTTCCAGACATCCTATCAAGTGTTGTCTGAGTTTAAGTTGAGTACTCCTGGGAATCCTTTCAAACTATGGGTGGAAAAGTCCAATTTGCACAAATATAAAATAGATGTTTTTGTCAATTTTATAACTTGCTATGAGCTGGAAACGCATATTTGTTGCATTTCATTCCATTTATTATGGCGATATCTCTTTACATATTAGAGTATATCAATTTCTTGTCTCTCAAAACTTAACATTAAATGAATAAAAAGGTCCTTGTCCTCCTACCATATGCTATCCTTACCTATCATATTGTATCCTCTAGTGACATCCTCTTTCATCTCCTATCGTACTGTATCGTCCCATACCCTATCTCCTATAATCTTGTTTTGTAGTTTGTGGTAACCTATCCTGTCATTGACTATTGTATCCTATTGTACTGTCGTATCCTATCATGTCGTATATTTTATCCTATAGTTTCACTGATTTTTTTTCCTAAGTTCTATTTTAGTATATTGTATTGTAATTGTATTGTATCATTGTCTTATTCTATCTTATATTACAGTATTTTCCTGTATTGTATCCTATCCTGTCCTTATATATCCTTATATAGCATTGCCAATGTCCTAAAGGCTAAAACACACAGGATCCGTACTGAGCGCGTTCCGTCAGCGTCGTGTGTCACGCAGCAAATAGGTTGCCATTCTAATCAATGCATCATCGCATACAGGACACATCTCGGCTCTGTCGCAGTTCTGTCTCAGCGCGGCTCTGCTAAAGCTAAGCGCCGAGTCTATTTTTGCTGCTCTATGCTTCCAATACGCGTCAATCTATACAGAGAAGATCCTCCTAGACAGGATGTCAAGCAAGAAAACCATGCGTGTCATCCGGTATTTGAAAATAAAACACCATATGCAGACTGGCGACTGTGTGTCAGTCCGTGTAGATGAGAAATACTTCTTGGTTGTTGATTTATCAGTAACACAGAACAATCTGATGGTCAATACCTGATCCATGTTGACCCTATCAGGACTTTTAACTGCTAACTCTGTCTGAAGGTAACAGCACAGGATAAAGAAACATAGTTTACTTTATTAGACATGGGTAAACCTGCAAAAACAAAACTGTAAAATCACCTTACTTTTTCACATACAGTAGAGGCTCAACATTCACTGAATTATATCCAAATTAGCAGGAAATAGACTGCAGAGAGGCAAAAAAAAAAAAACTTGTGAGCATGTTGTTTCCTCTATACTGAGCCCAGCTGACTGGGGCTTCACTACACTGCTGCTACATTCCAAATGTGCATCCTGTTGGTGATAGACAGTACTGCTCAACGAAGCAGATATGTGACGCTGATGGAACACGGTCAGTACGGATCCTGCTTAAAATTAGTGTAAAATGTTTTAAATTCGCTTTGCTTTTAATTCCATGCAAGTTAAAAGTACTCAAAACCCACCCAATGACAAACTTTACAGACTTTTACAGTAAATTTCCTCCCTATTCAAAACAAAAAAAACAGTCCTGATGATTAAAAAAAAGATGAAACACTTGCAGCATCTTGTTTTAAGGCAATTTTAAAGCTCAGCTGAAAAGTCCCAACGAGAGATGCATGTGGGAGTCTTTGTACTATGTCATGAATAAAAATAAAAAAGGAAAAGGATTGACAAAAAGAGAATATATTTAGAAAACAAACATATTTCTGCAATTAGCAGCGGAAAGGGGTCCAAGAGCTTGGCTTATACTTCCCTATCCTTAACTCTAAATATACAAGCTCCTGAATCTCGCTTTCTTTCATTTTCTCACTGATTTATCATGTCTAACCTCAACATGGATGAGCACTAACAACTCGTTATTCCTGAGCCAGAGAAGTAGAGGTCGGCTTCTTCTTAAACGCAGAGATAGTTAAAATAGAAAAAAAAAAAGGGCTGGGAGCTCCTGTAATGATGTGTGTTACTTCTGTGTCATGCATCCATTAAGATCATTAATACTAAAAGCCTGGATCTACCTGCTTGGAAACAGTCTATTATAATTTCTTGGTAGTAAATTGAATCATTGGCTCGATTAAATGAAGCAGCAGTGGAGTATTAACTGAATAAAACCCTCACTGGATTCATCTGCGGTGTTGTGCCACAATGCCTCGTACCCCCAGTTTGACCCCTTTGTTATAACAGCCCCACACATGCGGCCGCACACTGACACGGAATATCAGTGTGGATGTGTATTGATCCTGCTATTTAAACAGTGGCACAACTTGAAGGGTTTTTAAAATGAGTCCAGAAAAGCAAAATGTGCATGAAGTGTTTGGTCAGCAGTTTACAGCTGCGACTGGCGAGCGAATAAAAGTGACAAACGGGAATGATTTTCTCTCTTTTTCCAGTGGGTTATAGTGGACGCCTGCTGGTGTGTGTGACTCTAGATCATTTCAGACGATTCCCACACAATATTTATGATCCTGAGCAAATGGTGTATTTCAATTTAAACACGACATGAATCACATGGGGGGAGTTACTCTACGGCATGCTGATACTGTCAGAGATCTGTCAGAGTATTCCTAAGCACTGCAGCTATGACTTAATCTTTTTATATATAATCTAGCTTCCAGGTATATGATATATTTCTATCTCCTGTGTACAATATGGAAATGTGTCACACTGTAGTCTTTGCACAGTGGAAGCTTCAAAGACTTTTTTTCCCCCCAAAAGACAAACAGAGGGGAAATAAGAACAAAGATGTTGCTTTAGCTTGTCTTCTGTATTTATTTGCCTAGAAATCTTTTTCATATTTTCACTATTTTTCTTGGAGGAGAGGTTAAGAAAACCAAAATGCTGATAACATGAGAATATGAAGGAGAATAGCCTTAAAACCTGCCAGAGGCTTTTAGAGTGGCATGCTCCAAGATGAATATGAAAAGAAAGTAGCAGTGGATGCATAATGATGGTCTGATACACCAAACATCTTTCAGATTTCTTTCACTTTCAGACTAAAATTTAAGAAATAAAAGTCAAAAAAGCCTTTATTAATACAGCCTAGTTTTGAACAGATGTAGCTTACTGGATCAACTATGTATGCTTATCACAGATAAATTACCTTGCTTTATTTATCTGCAAGGTGTGATGTGTGATGTTCATATTTGGGCAGATGTAAAACATGAAAGCACCTGTGAGGAGCTTTTAGATGGTTATGAAACAAACTAAAATGCCTACTATTATAAATGTCCTATGTTTTTTTCCGTCTATGTGTGAAACCACTTAAAATAAGTTTTTGTTCAGGCACCCGTTTGGGCTGCCCGGGGTGCCATTTTTTTTTGTTTAGGCATAGATAAGGGCAGTTTGAGGGTCCTAAAAGCCTTTAGCGATAGCGGAGATCACAGCTAAATGCCAATCAATACCAAGTTGTCCTTTCAAGTTGATTGTGCGTTCATGAAGAAGTAAGTAATGTTTACTATGGAAATGTTGAATGTGTGTGTGTGTGTGTGTTCAACCGAGTACGGCTCATGAATTACATTAAGTTCATTAGCATACTTACATATCGCGTTACTGAGGCTGATGCACTGTTGATGTCTGTTATACATTTTTTTTCATTTCTCGCTTTGTGTCTATTTTATTTGTACTCTTGTACTATTTTGCTACTCTTGTATAATTAGTAGATAGCTTTTTGAGACGTATTATGTGGGACAACAGACAATTAAGTTTCCCTTCGGGGATTGACAAAGTTCTTCTTATTCTTATTTACAGAAACCACATATACAGTCAATGTTAAATAAGTACCGTGAAATGGCTGTTACATTGCTGAAGAGAAATACAAAGGGCTAACTAGAACTGTGTGTCCTGACTTCACTCTCTAACTTGAGCACTTAAACGAAAGGAGTGTCCCAGCATTATCTCAAAACAACTTAGGAGTCATTATCAAACAAGTATTGATGCTTCATCATGACAAACAGAAACATTCCTGTAAAGATTTATGATTATTAGGCAGTTATTTGTGTTGTCTAAAGCTGATGGTTGTATGCAGACCAAATGTAAGGCTGTACACTTCTCTAAGGTGCACTAAATCAACAATGTTAAGTATAAGTAACATTAAATATTGTATATCCTCCATGTTGCTTGTTATTGCTATCTGAAGCTAACAGCTAACAGTTTTGGATTCTCTGTAGGGTGTATAAAACTGAGATGATGGAGTCCTAAAATATAGGGGTCTAAGGACGTAAGAATACACAATTCTATGTTTTATCCATTTTCAATCCAACACTGTGGCACCATTAAATTCTTTTCAGCTACTGTAGCAGGTCATCTGGGCAGTACTCACTGTAAAATATTGATACTAGCTGGAGCTATGGAAGAAAGACAGGCTGGGAAAAAGGTCTGGTTGTTAGTGCTGATTTCAGAGTCTTAAATTTAGAGTTAAGGAAAAACCCTTGAACCACCAAGAGAGATGAGAATCTACAGATTATATATATATATATATATATATATATATATATATATATATATACATACATACATACATACATATGTGTGTGTGTGTGTGTGTGCATGCATGCGTGTGTGTGTGTGTGTGTAAATAAATGCTCTGATAATGGGTGGTTAATGTAGCCCCTATAAAAGGAGTAAATGCATCCTGTTTAAGCATTGGCCAACAGATTAAACTATTTGCTGGTTCAGGTTACCCTGCATTTTACGTTGTGCATCCAGTAGCATGATATTTATCTCCCTGCCTCCTGGTTGTTATGTATTCATAAAGCTGTGAGCTGCCCTGCAGCACTCTGTTGGGGAAGTGTTGCTGCCTGCGTTTGATGCTCATAAACTCTGACTTTAATGTTTTAATCTCGCAAACAAAACTTACTCATGGCCAAGGAAATAAACCTGAGTATAAAAGAGTAGCCTGCTATAATGGCTCACTGTTGAGAGAAACAATAGAAGAGTGTGCAATTGGTCTGCAGGCTGTGATGACAAGTAACCATGACATATTTGATGACTAAATGGTTTCTGTGCATTTCACCCATCAACATGTGGATCGTCATTTGCAGAAGAAAATATGGATTTGTCTGGCAATCTCTTTTTTAACTAGTTTCCATCGTTGACATCAGCACTTACAGACCGTTCAAACCTTTAACCCCCCATTGGTTTGTTGCAGTTGCTTATTGATTGTGCTGCAATCGCTTCTGAGAATCGCTAGATGCTATTAACAACCTGAATCCATCACATATGTAGGTTAGCACACTGCACACAAGTGAGCAGTGTTACTAACCCTGGGGACAATCAAAATAACCATGACTCTGTTTGGTTAGAGCGCACCACTTTGTTTTGTTCTGTTCATCTGTGAGTTGTGTTTTCTATCAAAAAATTCTCATCATGCTTTCTCTCAAGTAGTTTGTGGACAGGCCTGCTCACACGAGTCATAGCTGTTTTTGCATAGCAGCCGCATTACATTTTACAGCTGAGTGGCTCTTATTGATAGAAATAAACTCGTCATCGACTTTAGGATTGTTAAAAAAGTTGTTCGTTTAAAATTGTTGTTAAGCTAATGAGTTTTTGACCAAGGAAGGCCAGATCTGGAAAGGTACCCCGTGAATACCTCGACATTTATGAGGGATTCACCAAAATGAAAAGCAAATCTAAGTTATTAAAAAAGTAATACTCACTTTTAATAACTGCTGAGGAAAAAGCAGAAAAAAGTCTGTTTTCTCAGCTTGCTGTCCATCGCCTAGTATATTGTCTACCCATTTGCAGCACTTACAGGCATCAAAAATTACAATACATATTTTGTCAATCCTTTTGCTGATGTTGTCTTTGATTTTGTAGGTCATAAGGAAGTATTACTTTATTATCATTATTATTGTTTTTGTTAGAGGCTGTCAAAAGCTCCTCACAGAGGCTTTTGTATGATGCCCCTGCAAAAACGCATGCTTAGTAAAAGAAAAAACACTTCAATACAAAAATAAGATTAAAAAAATCGCTAAAAAAACCGCAAATACACAGTATGTGCAAATTCAATAACACAAAAGTAGAAACTGACTGCAGTGGATAAATGCTGCTAAGCAACACTTTTGAACAGAAGTTCTCCAGGCCTGCAGGGGGCACTAAGTGAAGGAGCTTTATTATTGAAGAGAAACAGAAGAAGTCCAGACACTGACATTTTCCTCAGGGTTTTCCTGTAGGTTTGGGCTGCTTTTTAGGTGGTGCCATGGGTTGATTTTTTTGTTTTTCTGCTGGATGAGGAAAAGAATACAAATCCCTTCAATCATAAACTGATTTTTAAGGCACGATTCCAACCAAACCGACAAGCAGATAAGCATGAACACTGGGAATATGTCACACAGCCAAATACACATTTACACATAGACTACAGTCCCACAGCAGGAGCACACACATGGAGATGCATTCAGTCATTTAATAATACAGTATTTACAGCATGGTTTACTTAATGAAGATCATTCAGGTCATTGCAGACTCTCTGCCCTCATTTGAGCCACTTTCCTCTTCAAGAAAGCTGACAAGTTTCCAAAGCTGATACTTTGACAGATGTAAAAGCAGCAAGATCTAGATAATACCTTCTGCAATTAACAAAACATAGCAAACAAAACAAGAAATGATTATTTCAGGAGCTTAAAGCAGAAAAAAGATCCGTCAATGTCAGTAATTAGGTTTGTTGTCGAAATAAATCAAATATGCAGAGATGCTTTGAAAGTGTAATGTTGTGTGTTCCTGTGATCTGAATGTGTGTTAGGCTTAGAGGGAGGCAGCGATGTTTGTGCTCTAACATCTGGCTGCATGAAAATAGGCTGCTAAGAATGTTATAATCACGCAGACAAGGCCTAAGCTGCTCCATTACGGGCTAAGCTGACCTATCAGTGGAGCTTTTTGCTTAATCCAAATTGTGCTTTAGCTGGCGGAGACTGCTCAATTCAGACAGTTAGTGCGAGAAAAAAATAAATAAAAAATCACCTGCCATGCGAGCTGCTATCATGAAAAAGATGTTTATCTCACATGTGTGTGAAAGCTAAGCGATTTCTATAGCAATCTCATGCATGATATTGTATTTGCTCACCATAAATGCCAGCTATAACCAGTGCAGAGTGCCTTAAGCATGCTTTATTTGACACAAGCTTAACAACGCCAGCTGCCACACTGGAATCATACTCAAATGTGCTGATTGACAGTAACATTTACAACTGAAGACAGGGGGTACAAACCCAAAAGGTTCTTTTATGCAAGATTTACTGTGTTTACTTGGAGATGCACATGACTGTTCCCTCTAACATTTGACACAAAGCTCTTTGAAGGGGTTTAAAGTGTCATTTCGAGGGATGCAAATCTGTTTTTTTGGCATCCTTAAAATCTTATTTGTTCTCAGGGAGTTTTTACTTTTAATGTGAGTTCTCCACAAAAGGGGGCAGCCACTAGGTTATTAGTGTTTTATTTCCAAAAGCCGGTGTGACTGCAGCTAATACTAGCAGCTCACACTGTGTAAGCCTGGCTGACACCACACTGGGGAAATTAATTTGCTACAGTCATATAATGGTCGGTTATTTAATCACTGTTAGATTTAATCTAACACCTTAATCTCATTGGGTTGCTTCTCCTCCTGGAGTTTTATACCTGGAGGGATTAAAGGCGAAGTTTGCTATGAAGAGGACTCTGCAGTGCGAGTTGGCTCGCTGAACTGTTAGGTGGAAAACATGAAACAGGCAACAGGAAAACCATCCCTTTAAATGCCTTTCTTTCTGTCATGTATATTTAAAGACTTTAGATCAAAGCTAACAAGTGATTCCCCATTTTCACTGAGTCTCAGACTCAGAGATTAGAGACACCTACATGTGCCTCTAATCTCTGGACTTGTTCACATAGCGTGCAGAAGGGTTCCCAATCTGGGTTGGCTGCATACAGTATGTAAGTCTCTCATCCATCAATGTGTTTACACAACTCCTCTATGCTAACACTTACACCTGGGGCTTGCTTTACAACAGTGGGCCAAGTTACCAAAAAGCATCAAAGTCAGACCTGAGCAGGATAAGGGGAGTGAAAGTATAAGCATTGAACAGATGAGAGCTCATTACCACAAGGCCATACCTGACCTGCTATGAGACCCATGGACATATGAGATGCACTAATCATGGAACAGGCCTTGAGGACCAGAGCAATAGAGGCCCAGATCTACCATACCAGGCTGTCCCAGGTGCATGCTGTGCAAAGAAGGCCCTGAAACAGTCTAACAGCAGGATATAAGATGCTGGCAGGAAAAGCATACATGGAACGCCATGATCAAGTGGCCGGTATCGTGTACAGGAACATCTGTGCAGAATATGTACTGGAAACCCCGAGGGCAAAACGGGAAGCACCTCCCAAGGTGATGGAGAATGACCGAGCCAAGATCCTGTGGGACTTCCAGATATGGACTGACAAAAAGGTAATGGCCAACCAACCGGACATTGTAATCGTAGACAAACAGCAGAGGAAAGCCGCTGTGGTAGATGTCACCATCCCAAGAGATACCAACATCAGAAAAAAGGAACACAAGAAACTAAAGAAGTATTAAGGGCTCAAAGGGGAGCTAGAGAAAGCCTGGAAGGTGAAGGCAACGGTGGTGCCTGTGGTCATCGGGGAAACTGGGGCAGTAACCCCCACACTGGATAAGTGGCTCCAACAGATCGCTGGGGAAACATCACCCAGAGCTTCATTTCCAAGATGGATGCTCCCTTTATCAACAGTGAAAAAGCTCTACTTCTGATAATGTTTATCTTCATTTTGCTTCGTGTAGTTAATGGAAGTATTATTCAAGTTTTGTCCATGGACATTATTTAAAGTTGTCACTTATTTACTTAGGTATCTGGGAACACCAACACACACCTCAATTTGTTTGGTCAGTCAGCCATATATTATTTACTGTGAGCCTTCATTAACCCGCCAAGAAAGATTCTTAATAACAGGCAGGAACTCTGATGAGAGCCAGACTCATTGGTGATCAGCCATCGACCATATTCGAGAACACTTAACCTCAGACCTGAACTCAATTAATCTGAGCAGGTTTAGAATGCGCTGTTAAGTTATGCTCACATATCCAACATTAATCCTCAGATCAGCACACACTTTGCAGTAGTTGCAAGGAAAACTCCATTCAACAGGCAGAAATGCAAACAGAGCCAGACTCATTTATGGACAGCAATCTGCCACAAACAGATAAACTGAGAAAGAAGTATTAGGAGATACTTGATAGAGGGGAATGAAAAGAAAACACACACCAACAACAACTCTGAATGAACTCAGTCCAGGTCCTCTAACTTGCTTATTGTGGCTGTTCCGCATTATTTCTGCTGCTTACAGCCCCAAACAAACAGAAAGATACTCTTTATAGTCGAGAAGATGGACAGACAACACCTCGGCTGTGAAATGGCTGTCGCAAGCCATTGAACGTCTCGCTGGTTTTTAATACTCAAGATGGGAGGAGATATGAGGATGTAATACTTGAATGGATCTGGGTATAGCCCTCAGCCCTTTGAGCTGCTTGTTTGAGCACCTCCTGTAAAGCCCCGTACACACCCTTAATCTCCACAGCAGAGGTAGTTTGACACAGCAAGTGAATCTGCCATAAACACACAGATCACAAATGCGGGATAATGTCTCAGAGATAACATGTATAATCCAAGCTGCCAAAGGGAGAGATTAAAGAGAAATGTGTCAAATGTTTATAGATAGAATAAAACCAAATATTAAACTGTAATCTCTAAAGGCTTTTTTATTTTTTTCTATTGTTGGGTTCACATGTTTTTGACTACTCTGAGTAAAGGGAAGATCAGACACAAATGAGTATTCGAAAGTAATGTAGGTTAGCTAAATGGGTGAATAAATCAAACATCACTTCAGTTAATAAAAGTCACAGGAAGATTATGTTGATTTTCACTACATGCATTCACTAAACCAACTATTTCAGTGAGTCACAAAAGCAGAGAACTCTGCACTTCTGCATCACCGAACTCCGATCGACTCTCTCCAATGAAAACAGACAAGTAAGTCATGTAAGTCCCACCAAGGGATCCAGAGTTTCATGAAGGGTGATGCATTTAAGGTGCTATCAGGAATCGGCAAGAGAAATGGTTACAAGGAGAGGGCAAGAAAGGGTACCGGCAGCTGTTCAGAGGTCCCATTGGTGCACCAGAGGTTCAATTTAGAAGTGGCAGAACTACATACCAGACTCTACCAGCACATTTAAAGCACCAGTTCTGACTTCATATATCTGCTATTTATTAATGTTGCTCTACAAAAAAGTACAATAAGCTCTGATATACCTTTAAAAGCTTAAATAGGGAAAAATAAATATACTTATTCACGAGAAACATTCATTAAGAGTGCTTATAATTAATATGCAAAAAATGAAACTAACTATATATAAATTACTTATTCATTGCATTTTTTTGTTGTTTTTTACTGACTTACTTTTTACTATTTATTAAAACAAGATGAAGCTATATTTATCTGTGGTTAATGGCTTAGTTTGAGTCTTATTTGTCTTTGATCGATTTCTGTTGGCTTTGCCCCAATAGCTTGGCGATTGCATTTTTTTTTTCTATACACTAAGTCATTCTTATGTTTATTAAACTCACCCTTTCTCAAGGTTGTTTATTAAAAAAAACAAAAAAAAAAAGTCAAAATGCTTCTTGCTGTAGAAACCAGTGGAGCTGCTCTGCCTGTAGCCATTAAATGTTTGACGTGTGAATTTGCACACACACAAAAACATGCTGTAATTTACATACTGAGGAATGATTTTTGTGAATGGTTATTTCCTCTTATTGCTATTGATGAAAAAATACCATTGAAGCACTCTTGTGATCTTTGCTCCTTTTATTCAGAGATCTAACAACTCCTTACTAAAATGGACTTTGGTAAAAGTCAGATGAAACACAGCACAAATAACAACATACTTGTTCTGTAACTGCCAAAAAAATAAAAATAAAACCCTCAGCCAAAAGTTAAGCCAACTTAATAAAAGAAAAGGATGTTGAACACACAAAAAAGTGCCTGCCTCAGAAATAAAAAAAAATAATGAAATAAAAAATCTGCAAGTTAAAGGGAGCCATGTGCCATCCACATGTTTGCACAATTTGCAATCAGGGGATTATCAGGAGATACATATCCAACTGGTGTGGCATGGTCAACAAATGCATGGATACCCGGTTTAATTTCTGTTAAGGTGCACATTGGTTTAAAATCCAGTCTGTGGGTACAATTTGCAAATCTGTGCAGTAGCCTCTTCACTGCTGTGCCAACGAGATAAGCACAAACAATAAAAACATGTCCATTTCTTTTCTCATGCACTTGTAACACGAAAGAAAAAGAAAATAGGAATGAATTGTGATCTATTTTTCCCATAATCTTGACATGTTTCACATCCCCTGATGTTGGTTTCATTTTCCATGCTCTTTTTTAAATGGAAAACAATGTCCATTATGTAAATGTTTAATGTGCGTTACAGGGATTTTACATGCATAATGACATGCTTCTGTGAGTATGACTGGTGCTGTTTTGGTATTCTACATACAAAACAGTTTTCTGAGAAGAGGGCATGTTTTGGGGGGGGAAGAAGGAATGAATTTCAAAATACAGCCAATCATTAACTCCTTAGCTGGAGCAGTCACACTTGGTTGCTCCCACAAACTGCTCTGAGCATTATGAGAACACACACTCTCTGTGACAGCGAGTCACAGAAATAAAACCAAAAAATAAATAAATAAATAAATAAACACTACCACCGGCTTCTTTGTGATGTTTTGCGTGAAAGCAGCACTGATAGCTGCCACATTTGTGGACTAAGGGATAAAGTGTGCTTTATGCCACACAAGACAATTTCCTTGCACAGTTGGCTCAGAAATGGCTAAACACACTGAAGCCTTCAGCGTGTGTTTCACCATACCTGCACAGCCAGTGGACAGAATTAAAGGTAACAGTCTTCAGAAGCTACAAGCAGAGGGTCAGACTGTCTCTCGCCATGGAAACCAGTAACTCCTGGTTGACATATGGGTCATGCTTGGAAAACAACTGCAGCTGCATCAATTGCTCAACAAGGCAATTGGATATATTCTCATTTATTTAAACTGCATCTTTTACCCTTTGCTTAATTTCAAAAAACCGTAATATATTTTTTTTCCCAGAGGGATTTTCTGGTTCATCTTGGCTGAAAATGTGACATCCTTCCTTACCAGAGCTGTGCCACAGCTTGGGTGTTTGTTTGGCCCTCGTCTCTGCCAAAGGAAATTTGCTGACTGGATAATGCACTGAGAGACACACTGTGAACCACACCATCCCCAAACACTGACTTATTAACTGGTAGATTAATATTTGCAAAGCAATGTGTAGCCTCCACTGAACCATATTTTTGCTGTCTTTGTACCTAGTTTGTTGGTATTTATTCCATAAAAAAATGTTTATTCACGGTGAATTTGTCGGCAGTTTTCCTCGCTGATTGAATCTGAGTATTTCCTGAAGCCAAAGGGGAGCAGCTTTGATTTCATTTTCTGAACATACTTCAGAAAGGCGACCTGATTAAAAGCTTTTAAACTGTAAAGCTGCATAGTTTGCAGGTGTGCGTTTACTTTCAGGATGCAAACATATTGCTGACCAGGAAATTCCCTTATCAACGTACAACACTTAAGGCAGGTATACATGCAGCAGAGGATAAACGAGTTAAAGCAAATTATCCATATGGGCTGAGTACCGCGTTTTAATTACCTGTGAAACCTGCTCTGCTATCTCTGGCTGTCTGCATTTCACATCAGTATTCAATTAAGCACTGTGATCAGATGATTTGGCAGAGCAAACTGCATTGCGGCTTTTTTACTGCTTCCCCCTATGTAACACAAGAGAATCTTACACCCGAGCTACATTACAAAGACAAGTTTTTTTATTTTTTTTTCTTCCTCAAGTGAGTATGCTGAAACTTGTGCCTACATTTAAATCAAAAAGGACCTCATCTTCGGTTACACAAAGCCAATTCAGACTTTTCCTTCTTCAAAACGGAGGAAAAATAGACTTTAAACAGTCGTCTCATCTCTGTCAGTGTTCAGGCTTCCTTCAGCGAGGCGGTGAGTTCAACGTGACTGTCCATCGTTAACCACTGCTGGCTCTTTACTGATTTAAAATCCAAGAAGGAAAAAAAAAAAAGGCTTTGGTGTGTACACCAACGAGGCGGACCAGCCCTTGAACTCTGCATGTTCCGCTGCAGTGCGTGTGGACCCCTCCCCTGATGCTCCGGTCATTGGAAGATTGTAATTTCACCACCAATCTGCCCTCATAAACCCAATTGGACACCAGGGTGTGTGAAGTTGTACAACAAATTAATTGCCTAATGACTCCTGCACATACATGCAATATATTCTCATAATAGCCATGGTGGAATAGAGGACTTCTGACAGGCTTCAAAGCTGATGAAAGCAGAGGACAAGAGGCTAGAAGGGCGAGCACCCGGTTAGCAGCTGTGTCCTGTAATCTCCTAATGGTCGCCCAGAAACTGTTTGAGACCATCGACAGTTAAAGAGAAAATGGATGTATGAAACTCTTAGATGACAGGGTGGACTCTTATTCAGCCTCTATCACTTATAGTAATATGAACATTTTGCTTCCATCTCCACCCATATTGTTAGCTGATGGAGCCGCGGCATGCATATCAATCTGTCAAATGATTTATGGGGTCAGTAAATAGCAACTTAAATGAATGGTTTTCAACGTCAAACATGTTATGTTTACAGGTTGCAATCAGTTTGCAACATATTCAAACTAGTATGTCAAACTCACAAAGCACAAGCATTTACTTAACTCCTTCTTTTATCGATTTTAAACATACTTATCTGAATATGGTTCACAGAAAGGAGCGATAAATTAGCGCAACTTCTTCATGTAGGCAACTGCACGCACCACTTGACCTGACTTGTTCTGTTGCAAAACTGCATCCAAGGATTTTACAATAACCAAACACTACAGCTGGAACTGGAACTTAGCATGTGAGTATAGATAGTGCAACAGGAATATCATGATTGTTGGTTTAACCAGCTGCTAGATTGTCTGCATAATATGACTTAATGTGTTATAGAAATATAAGGATCTGCTTACATGCAAAGATTATATGTGGAAAAAAAAACTGCTTTGACAACAGAATCTGGCAAACACCACAAATGTGTGAAAGAACAAACTGTCTGCGTCCATATGTGATGTATAATTATCTCCAGCAGTTTGAAAATGATACTTAAGTGTGGAGTGTAACACCTTGATTTTCTGAGGAATCTGTTGACAGGAAGATAGCTGTTTGTGTTTTTCCAATGGTGCTACTTGCACCATATGGTTTTCTTATAGGTTTTAGAGATGTTTATGCTGATGTGTGCATTCATGAAATATACAGTAGGTCCAGCAAAAAATGTTCAAACAGAAATAAATAACATGAAAGAAAGGGGTGCAAAGATAATATAAGCTATGGCAGTAAAATTAACTTATTCCCAATATTTTCTTTACTTATTTTCTTTCTAAACATACTAAATGCTGGTTTAAATCTAATAGAGAGTACATATAGCACTATTTTCTTATGCTAAATAACAAGTAGGATGAAGTACTCATGAGGTTATGGTTCCCCAACAAATATAAGGACATTAACTTCAAATGTGTGGTCAAACTAAGTTTCCAAACTTTGCGCCACCATCAAGATTATCAGCTTAACTTGACTGACAAGCACAGAGCCAGGACCCTTAACCCTGTCCAGGACCTCCTGGATGAGGAGAAACACCAACTGGATGCCCAACCTTATCACCCATCTGTTGATCTCACTTAAACTCTTGTGGCCGATTGGGAGAAAATCCCCTCAGCCTGGCCCAGAATCTTGTGAAAATCCTTCCCAGAAGCTGTTAACTCCACAGATTAACCCCCATGGTTTTGGTATGAAAAGTTTTTGTCCACAAAGATTGAACCCCTTGAAACAGAAAGACCACAGGCTATAATTTGAGTCAAAGTCCTCGGCGTTTTTTACACCATTACAATTCAGAACATCATTTGGGAGAGTTTGTTTCATTTTGGAAGAATTGGATTCACAGAGCGTTCATATTTTTGTCAGTTCATGCAGTTTCCCTGAGCAGATGTTGTTGTAATTAATATCATTACACACTGCAGTCATCTTTCACACAACAAGGATTAATGCTTCACGCTTGAAACAGGAAATTTCAAACAGTTGGCCTCCGCCACCACTTGTGTCTCGAAGAAATTATAAAATCAAGAGTGTTTTTCAACTGGGATAATCTCAGATGAACTCAAACGGGGGTATAGAGTTATTAATGCTTTTAATGGACAGTTTTTATACCAGAGCATAGCAGTTAAAAGCCTGTCGGAAAGAATTTTCTCCTCAATTAATCCTCTGCTTAGTCCATCACGTGATCACATTTAAAATGTACGTTGTCAAGTCAACAGGCACCGCTAATCTTTACAGGCCGAGCTGAATGTCGTGAGCACAACCTTCGGCAATTTGCATGAATCATGTTGGTATTCGCACACACTCACATACACAGCAAAGACATGCAGTGTGTTGAATTTTTTTTTTTTTTCTCCCACTTGTAACGAGCTCAGGAAGAGTTCGGCAGCTCGTTTGGGGGGAGGTTTTGTGAGCCAGGGGAGAATTTCAGGGCACGTTATGAGAAACAATATTATCGCCAGGTCCACCTGATGATTGCCTCATTATAAATAGCCTCCGCATTGACTTTTACCTCAGCAAGACAGAAGGCTATTAAATGATGCTTTATTCTCCTTCTGGATGTTCATTATTTTTCACAGCTGAGGATGTTGACGCCTCAAACAAAAAGCCTTGAAGTGACCAGCCTCGGGCCTGTCAGAGAGAGTTAAGATAAGCTTCATATGCATTCAGTTTTTCCTCTGTTTATATTAGAACGGGCAAAAATGCTGCAGTGCCATCATGATAACACCATGTCTGCAAACAAGCACGCTTCTTCTCCACATTTTGCACTGAAAGTGGCCTTTTCTTTAACCTTAAACAGAGGGAATGAAAGCCTCTGCATAGATGCTCCAGACAGTTTTGGGACTCACTGATCCACTCAGAATATAAAAGAAGGATAAAGATAAGGTGCGAGTCTCTTTTCCTTAGACTTAATGTGCAGCTTGTGACAAGTGAATCCCATCTCGTGACCACATTGTCTGACATTCCTGATAAAGCCTGTAATTATTTATGATCTTTAAGTGCTCCCACGCTTAGAAATGTTCTCCTTACTTTATTTACCAAAAGAGGCAGCTTGCTGGAATGAATTTGGGTTTGTTTTCTCTCTAACGCAGGCAGAATCCTTATAAATATCAAAAGTGCTTCTTGAGGCCAAACCCTAGGCGCAGACAAACCCAGGAAGTCTTTAAAAGGAAGAGTTTTTGAGGTACTGGGTTTATAGCTCAGAGTAAATGCTGCAGGTAATTAAAATGTCTAACAAGTGTGTTTGTATACCTCAAAGGTTAATTTTGTAATCCTAGACTGTATTTTGTGATGTCCCTGACATGCCAGTAATCAAATCAGACACTTATTATGCTGATTAGATTAGTCTTTAGCAACATAGTGTACCCATGATATTTCCCAGTTACTTTCAGAGCAGATGTTCAGTGCAGTCAAAAGAAGCACCACAGGCATGAAAAAAAGCTGTTGAGACGAACAAAACATAGTATAATTAAATGCAGTGCATCTGTAGGACTAAAAGATAATAAAATAAATAGAGGATAGAGTTAAGAAACAAATAGCTTTGTATCACAGCAGTCCAAGTATTGCCTTACTGCAAATTACAGTATAATAGCAAAGAATACTATTAAAAGATAAAACAGTATTTATTAACTGGCTGTATTAAATATTTTGACCAGTTTGATCTAAACCCCACGACAACAGTGAGTGAATTTTAACAACAGAGTCAACAACCTAATCCTACACATTTACCCCCTGCCTGTTGACACTATGGCAAAACCAACAGTTTTCTTAGCATACTAAATTGACTTTATATTACTCTATCTACTCATGATAATAATAATAATAATAATAATAATAATAATAATGATAACAACAACAATAATAATAATAACAATAATAATAATAATAATAATAATAATAATAATACAGAGTTTGAGAGACATCTGACAAATAGAAGAAAACAGACATAAAGCAAACTAAAATGAAAGCGGTGTAAAGAAATATTTCCACAGACAGACAGACAACCTGAATCAGGTGCTGCTGTCTCTGATTCAATGAGTTGATTTAACAGTATTTTTGAAACAATATCTTCTTTCTTATTTCGACCGATTTGCTAACTAGAGACGTATTTATGTTGCACCAAAAACTACTACTTATTTGGTTTCATTTTATTTATTCTAATATTTACAGAAAATCCAGACCTTTATAAAAGGTGAAGCACACTATGATTGTTATCCTTGTGTTTGCTAAACCATACTTAGACAAAAACTATTTTGGGTGGAATTTTACACCTCATGGATAAAAAAAAAATCACAGCCTTCACTCCAATAATGTCCACCAATTATGTAAATCAAGCTTCTCCCTTTCCTCTACTATTACATTTCAAGCTCTCTTCAAGGTAACTTTCATTTGCTGAGCAAATGTTTTGTGATGTTTTGATGATATGACACTCCTTATTGCTGTATTTCAAGAGCCTGTTTCTGGGCCCCAGACAATCCTCCACCTCTGCTGTGAGCTGAATGACAGAGTGTCCCGTCTGGCTGTCATCTGGCCTGACCGTGACAGAGAAGCACATGGCTGCGGGCTGCATACATATTCCTCTGCGCCCAATATGCCTGTGACACTGACACTCAGTCTCAGCTGGAATGAGCTGTGTTTAGGCCCTGAATGCCAACAGAAGTGTTAGTTATAGACAGAGTTTGATTTAGTTCTGAATACCTGTCAGGACAAATCATTGTTGTTCCTTATGGCAGTTTTCAACTAAAGCAACAACACCAGAGACACAAAGCAAGCTCTCACGACAGGGCACCCTGACTCCCAGCTGACAAAACATTCTTAGCATCAAACTTGTACTTTCATGTTCGTATAATCTTACTCTGGACTTGACTGCAAATACAATAAAAGCTTTAATACAGCCAAGGCAGACTTTGCCAAGTTTATGTTGGGACAACTTGAATGAAGCAATTCTCCTGACCTCTAAACTTGATTTAAATGTAATACATCATCTGCCAAGACAATCACCATTCTTGGCAAGAGAGTAGCACTAAGCTAGCTATCACTGTTTTGTTTCAATTAACATAAGCTGTCCTAAATATGCTGAACACTAGTCTTCTTCAATCTCCCTCTGGGGACAATGCTTTCAATAATTAACAGCTGTGCTGACACTTAAATCTGTGCCATGGCTCTGCTTTCATTATCTGTGTCAAAATCATTTAGCGGTGTCATCTCCTTTGAGAACAAACAGGAAATTGTTAACATTTGTCTACACTGATGACATACAAAATAAATAAATAACTGAAAACATGACATGATAGCACTTGAGTTTTTTAGATAAACCAAACAGTGACTCTATAAATATTTCACTATAAATATTTTCATGTTAAAAAACTCAGATCAAAATGGAGACACTGAAATTAACACCTCACATCTTGTCTTTACAAAACCTGAAGTGTCAAAACAACAACTTGTGGTTTTATAAGCGATTGTGTGCCAGAATTTTTCTTGGCTTACCATCACGAAACCCCAGGAGTGCTGTAACAACAGTGGGGTTGCCTGGCAACCAACATAGTCTTCAGGAAGTTACTTCAGCTGGCTGAAAAATAATTTGACACATTACCAGCAGTGTCATTTTAGCACGTCTGTGTTTGAACAGATCAAAGAAACCTTTTCAAATAGTTAGTGATTGAACTTTAGACTTTAGATGGCTTTTGTTGACTTTTAATAAAAACAGGCTGGAATTTTAGAAATTTAAGCTAAGCTAAGCTAAGCTGAAGGAATGTGTCTGTATTTGTTCAGGTTAAAAAACCCAGTTTGCATTTGTTGGCAGGAAAGTGTGTTTCAGCCAGGTGGCTTTTGTTAGTTCAAGCTAAGACTCTAACTTTTATCATTACCATGCAAACATGTATAATTTGTAAAAAAAAGTGTACTTTGAGGGGCAGTCCAAGGTGGCTTTGTTGAGTTTAGATAAGCAAGACAAGTTTTCATACTGGCAACTAATTAATATTAAGGTCTTTACATACCGGGAACAATGCAAAAGTACAACGCAAAATTACGAAATATTCGGAGGCGAATTTTGACGTGCCTGACTATACACATCGAGCCTGATGCGATTTTGCAACTTTCCTGGGGAAAAAAGACGTGTCCCAGGTGGAAGTGAGAAGACTGACACAACACCAGGCTGACTGTTTTTCAGTTCTGATTACACACTAGTGTTGAGATGGCTGTCTGTCATGATAGCATGTACTGAGTCGGGGCCAGTACCAGATAAGCACATTAAACTATAATCCACATACGTAAGGTAATAACCAAGACCTAATGGTGCTGTGACAGCAACGTGATTGAGTTTGAGACAGTGAAAATACATATGGTATGTTGTATCTGAACAGGTTAGCTTACGAGCTAAAGTTACTTAGCACAGATAAAAGTTAAAACAAAGACGTTTAGCAAACTGTTAAAGCACAAAAACTATCGTCATATGAGAAATCTGACGCTATGACTCTCCACAAGTTGTCCTTCAGGTCATTATCTTTGTAATATTTGTGTTTTTATCAAAAAGCAATCTGTTCTCCGACACATAAACAATCAGTCGGTTGGCCATGTTGGATATATCGGTGAATCTGACGTCGCAACAACACGAAATCTGATTGGTCAGAAGTGGACACACAGTATGCGAAACTTTAGAAAATTCGACCGTGATACGAAAAAATAAATGCTGCAATGTCGCAGGATCAGAAAACATCGCTGATGTGAGCGCTTGTATTGACAGGATACGGGTTCTAAAAAAATTATTGACGTCAGAAATCATTGCATGAAAAAAATGCTTGTGACCTTTTAGTTTAGTCACATTTTATCTCTTTATAATTTTAGTTTATTTTAGTCAACGCAAAGTTAAAGCATTTTAGACAAGATGAAGTCAAGAAAAAGTCAGTATAGTTGTTACTCTAAATGTTCTCTGTCTTTAAACTAATTTAGTGAATCAATCTGAAGCCAGGCCTCCATTGTAAAGAGGTTATAAACTTTATGCTAAATGATGCAAACTAAAAAAGCCTGACAAGAAAACAGTTTCTTCATACATCAAATTGTTTTTATGTACTCACAATCCCCTGGAAACAACTGTTGACAATATTTTATTCCCCGGCTAATGGTTGTGGCCTTTATCAGCTGTTGAACATGCATCTTTTGTCCACTTAAAGTGTCCACCAGACCAAGGTCACCGCTGTTGTACTAATCAACCAGCTGCCTCTCACCGAGTCTAAGACTTATACGTCTTCTCTCATTAGCAGCGCAGCTGTGGCTCGCTCTGCCCAAGCTAAGAGTTGTGCACATTACTTTCTTACCTTGTTATTTCAGCAGATTGACTGAACATGTCACAGAGACTCATAGTCATTAGAACAGGAGTCAGCAGAGACTGATCAACAGACTGAGGATTTCTATAGGGAATAGCTCTCTTCACATAAAGAGATGAAATAGCTTTCCTGTTCTGCATAACAATTACAAATCCAAGGGTATTTTTAAATCTGTCAAAGCCTGGTAAGAAGACGATGGTTAGAAAGGAGGACAAATGCTTGCGTTTCTGCCTTGCAGCCATGTTTTTTCAGCAGATTGTCGTTCAACCTCCCCGGTATATCCACGGGGCCACAGAGGAAATAAATCTGTCTTTATTTTGTAAAAGGTTATCCTATTTTCATTCCCCCTGCACTTGCATGAACTACTTGTTGTACGTTAACATTAGAATAAATCTTGCCGTAACAGCTGTCATTTCCTCGCTGTGGAGCTATTTCATGGCTGGCACAAAAGAGACAGTGAGGCTATTACACATATAGGCAGAAGTGTTTTGATAGATGTCCTGATAGGACCATTTCCTGAAACCGTGTGAGTGGAAACACAAAGAAGAACGTCAGTCAAAGGAGTTAAATGTCATCTAAAATACATCCCCGATCGGGGCCTTGAACTTCATTCAAGCCAATTAAAGATAAATATGCCAGAAAGTGATACAAGAGACGTTAGGTTATCAGGTCACTTCCATTTTGCTGCAATTAGTCAACCGTACAGTCAGAGTTCTGTGAGTGTGAGGAGACCTGGCACATGACATCGGTTAGCTTGAATCAAAGCCTCTGACCTTTACAGCCTCAAAGATTGGCCAGTCTTTTCACTACAGTGCCTCCCATAATCATAGCATGTACATATCACAGAGGGAGCACTTTCTCTGATCTCAAGACCACTTTTCTATCCCGCTTGCTTCTTGGTGCACCTCAATTTGTGCAACACATGGCCTTTATGAGGACAAAAATAAAGAACTACCCAGCATGCCCTTTCTGATGTTCTACAGCTACCATTAAAACAGACTGGTGCCGTCTAGCTGAGGAAAATGACAGGTAAGGGGAAGCAGTATTAAAACATGTCTCAATGAATGCATGGTAACCATATCATGTAAAACAGAGAGTTGATTAACTCATCACAAACAGTGTGCTATGAATCTTAATATCAGAGACTGTCATGCAAACTAGGCAGCCCTGTGCTTGATTAACCTTTGCTCAGGTTTGAAACCAACTGCTAACACTGCCAATATAGACACAGCCACACTGAATTCAATTTGTACAATTTGTTCTAACTAGCAAGACCAATTTAACATGTACCCCCAGTCCCTGCTCCGCACACTAGTGAAATAATAAATGGCAGAGAAGTGAGCACATATTTACACTTCTCTGACATGATCACTGTGGCTGCAGAGAATATTTCATAATTTTATCAGTAGGGACTTATTGAAAAAGCTTGAATGTTTTTTTTTTTTTTTTTATAATTGGCTTGGTGAGCACTTTGAATTAGTGTTTTTAATAAAAACAACAAGAAAGCAAAAACTGCAGGTATTACAGCTGATTATGGAAAAAGAAATTAAGACATCATTTATTCTCTTTAAACTGTATTAAACCATGGGTGACAGGGCAGTTATCTAAAAGTAAAGCTGACAAATTTAGAGCTCTCTCTTTTCAAGTAGCTGCAATATAGCTCAAAAATAGGTGAGACAAGGGTCAAAATATAATATTAAAGAACATGTCAAATACATTCTTCCCAAATAAGTTTTAATGAACTATATGGTCATCAACAAATATGTAAAAAGCTCTGATTAAGAATTGTGGCTCCTGCAGTGTTGAGTGCCCAGGATTGGTACAGCAAATAAACATAAATGCAACAATCATTAAACTTTCTGTAACCCCCGGTAAATATGTTTGCATGTTCCTCAAACAATCTTTTTGTAGCCTTAGTCTGACTGAAACTGGACTTTCACAAAGCAGGTAAACATGTTAATCTGACTGAACTCTCACTACATCTAACTTCTCATAGTTGGACTAACATACCTGGAAGATCTGTCATGTATATGACTCTGTCGAACTGAAATTGGCTTAAATATTCTGCGCATGCTCAAGTGTTTGCAGGCTGGGATCTTAGCCAGAAGTTAAATAATGTGGATGTGTTGACAGGAAGCTACGTTTTAAACAAAAGAAAGGATGTGGAAAAAAGACCAAAAAAAAGTCCCGGCATATAACACAGAGCTGTAAAAGTGAGTGTTTCCATTGTTTGATGTACATTCGTCTCTTGCTAACATGTTTCACTGACTGTTTTGATACGTAATATTTCAACCAGAAAATGTCTATAGATTATAGTAACAGGCTGTCAGGGGTCATGTTGCCACCTACTGTAACAAAGGTGGATGTGCTTCTGTCAATAGTCCAATTCTTACCTGATGGTTGTAAACTTGGACAAGGACTGTAGTCCAGTTAGTCACCTAACTGAGCTATTACCGTAGCTCAACTCTAGTGCACATGTAAACATACTCAATGTCTGCTCAGATGGACTCAAGAATGTCTTCTCCGGTAGACTGCTCAGACCTGAGAGATTTTTGATGTTCCTCCAGGAAAGTTTCTGTCAGTTTTGGTTAACAGACATCAAAACTGCATGTCCACTTGCTGCTCTTTGCTGCACAGGCTCTGGCAGCATGTGGCAGGAGGACATGCTGTTGATGTTTTGATTCCCTAAAGGTGATGGAAGTAGCTAACACAGCTAGAGTGGCTTCCTCTTTGAGATTTTTAAACAGACTTTTCTCAAAGTAAAGGCTAGACTGTTAACACAGGGAGATGCTGATATTTAAATGAAGTGCTGCTGTTGGTTCAGTTAGTAGCAGGATTCATTTGACAGTTCAGCTATAACACACACATTAGAGGACAACACACTATCTCTGTGCCTTTATTTTCTTAGCTCCTGCTCTCTGTGAGTATCTAAATCAAATCATTATTGTTGCAAATGATATGGCCATGTGGGCCTGAATATTTAATAAGCCTTTGTGTTTGCATTGGTTCTTCAAAAAATTATACCACTGGGATCCCAGATGCTCCAGAGGCTATTTTCTTAGAGAACTTGATGTTCTTTGTGTAATTCTGAGTTTATGTGCAGTAAAAGCAACTACTAAACAGAGACTGCAACACTGATCTCAGGCCTGTAGCAGTCAACACAGCAGATACTGAATAATTGATGCCTTTGTCAGTTCAGAGAGACAATCATCTCCCCCTGCCTGGAGCTTCACAGGTTAATCACTCAACCACATTAAAAACCAGATTTTGATGCGAAAAATAAACTTTCATTTGGATTATATGATGCTTTACATACAGCACAACAGCAGGGATAGCACTCTGGAGGAAAAAAAAAAAGCAAGCCAGAAACAAACAATACCATTAAAAATAGATGTTTGTCTTCTCTTCCAAAACAGCGCATTTGACCAAGTAATGGATTGTTCACATAGCGATAGAGACACAAAGACGTGGGCTATTCAAGCACAACAATATGGCCCTTTGAGAGGGTATGATCGCAGGGAAAATGGTGCATATCTTAAAGATTACGCTTAGACCCAGCAGGGGGGCAGATATGGGAGCTGGAGTACTACTACGCGCACACTCATAAGGTTGGTCTAGGGCGTTTTTTTTTTTTTTTTTTTACTTGAGTTATGTTGTCTGCTTTGATGTTTTATTCTGACGTCCAAGCCTGCAAGTTAAAATCATCTTTGACTGAGCTTCACTTCATTGAACGTGTGCTTTTGTTTGATGGGCCTCTTCCATTTCCCTCTCAGCCTCCTAATTGGTGTAAGTAAATAATCTGTGGCAGCGGTGACACTAATAGATGTGAATGTATTGATTTTTCTGTTACTGTGATGACAGTAAAAGGCGGGAATATTTGTGGGAGATCTGCTCTCCTGATTGAATTTGAAACAGAGCTGTAAAACAAAACAAAACATATTGAGTATCTGCTTTTAATTTCAACTACATCTTAGATGAGCTGCTAGAATTGAGAGACTCCTGAGGTCAAAATTGGTGATAAAATCACAACGACAATGGCTCTCTCTGCATTTTTTCTTTTTAAGTATACAGTATATCACTTCAGACTTCAATTTCTGAAGTGCGCCACAGGGCTTATTTACTCCTCTCATCCATCATGGTGTTGTCAAAAGCACTTTTAAACTCTTATCACATCATCTGGCAGAAATTAAATGGCATGGCAAAATGAAAAATGTGCTTGGCAGCCATGATAAAAGGCGTGTGAACACACAGCACTGACATGTCTTTTGACAAGTGTGGCCATGTAAAAAAAAAAAAAAAAAAAAAGAGAGAAAGAAAGAAGCAATAAATGTCCATATCCTGTGTATATAAACCTGCTCCGACCTCATATCTACCAAGACCTGGCTGAGGGATAAGTTTGCACCCTTACTATGTGGTTACCATGGATACGATAAGAAAGGTTTATACCATCACCATCTGTTAACTGGAGGAAAAACAAAAACACATAAATAGAAAAAAAAAAAAAAAAGCAGATCTATATGTACCATACATTTGTTTATGGGCATGAAAATATCAGCAGATGAAGGCTGGCCGTTGTTCTTTTCAAAATACAAATACAGTAGAGATGTTTATATTTAAATGATGTGAATAAATGGCAACTATTGGAAAGATGTTCAAAAATTGTTCATAATCTAGGGTTTTCACTGACTGTTTGATGACAATTACTGAATTTGATGACACATTCAAACACACATCAACATCGATGATAAAGTATGAAGATGAATCTGGCAAGCTGTGGGTACAACACTATCTTACATGGCTGCCATAAATGCAGTAGAAACTGTGTCCTCTGCTGACAGTAACAATAGGCGGCTGGATGAAAGGGTTTGACAGTCGAGAAAAGAGAAAACACAATCATACAGTCTGAACATTACTTGGAGTTATTATATTAGATATTGTTTACAACAGAAGACTGATTACAAATGAGGAAATAGAGAGAAGGCTCTGCCACATAATTGTGACACAGTGCTGTTTAATGTAACATGGTTTTATGTTACTTGTAGTGTTAATCACCTAACCGACACACATTTTTAGCTTGTCGAGACTGGAAGTTCTTCTCCTTCAACAACATTTTTTTAAAGAAGAGTCACATAGGGTATAAAGCTTAATGAAGTGAGCTGATCATTTCTAAATACATGCATTCAAACAAAAAAGGGAGGGTTGTATTTTTACTTTGAAAGACTTAAACTGTAAATAGGCTATTGGAGAAATAAAATGTTTGTATTTCTTTTCAGCATTATCAATATTATGGAACAAAAAAATTGACTTTTTTCACATTAAGGGCTGTTGGTACTACTCTCGGATCATGATGCACTCAAGGTCGAAAACCAGTATGTGCTTTTATTGCATGCTAATTTCTCTTTTTCAGAATACTGTAGTGAAGTCACCACTGTTTCTTCCTGCTTTTCACTGCTGCCATAATGAAAAACAATAAGAAGCACGTTTTACTTGAGAAGACTCCCTAAAAGCTAAGATGTCAAAAGTGATATGCAGGTGTAAAATATTATTAAATTGCCTCCAGTTTGCACTACCACCTTTGAGCTAAACATGCAGGTACAGCAAACCGGACTGATGTCATTGACCAACCACGTCACAAAAACTGGCAGATTTCCAGAAGATTAGGTCTTAGATTTCCAGTCTTGAGTTCATGCAGATTCAAAAGGTCTGATTTTTTTGGCTTAAAATGTAGGTAACCTTGCAGGAATGAATGTGTGTAATTATTTTTACATCATTATAACTTAACTTATTCATACGACGATGAGACATTTTGGAGAAAAAAAGTAAAGACTGCTTTCCTGTGAGCTTTATCCCAACGCGTCATCTCTGACTGTCTCTGTTATTAATCCTCTGCAGTGGTTTTTGCATATATCTCCGACAACTGATAACGCCTTGCTTAAAAAATCACTTTTGCAAATATACAACAAATGCAGCAATAAACGCAAGAACATTTTGAACCTTGTTTGAGAGGTCCAATACTTCATAAAAACAAAATATTGCAGCCAAGGAAGTAACTGTGGTAATGAGGAGCCGATCCATGTGACGAATTGTTTGTTTATCTCTGGAACGTCAACATAGAATATTCATTGATTAGACTGAAGCAACATATCACACCTCTCAGAGCGGTGAGCTAATTTGCTGTGCCTGTCCCTGTATTGCCCTTAATTGCTAACTGCTGCTTAAATGCTAACACTGAAATTTTCCACCAAGCATTAATGAGCAATAGCTTACAGGAAGGGAAAGAGACGCCTTTTAATGGATCGTTGTCGAGCTGTAAACCTTCATGAGTTTATTTATGAGCCTGACTATGAAGGATAATGTACATTAAGTAATGTATTTACATTTTCTCAGGGAAAGGCTTTATTTGAAAAGCCTAAAGGGAAACGGTATCATCTCCTCCAAAGTTGTGCTATTATGGAAATAACCTCGTCTCACAATAAAAGAAATGAGAGTGTCATGCAGATGAGTCATGAATTGATGGCTTACCCTTTTTAGCCAAAAATCACCGCTTATGCTGTGAGTGTTTTATTAATCTTTGATATCATTTTTGTCTAGACAGATAGCAGGAGACTTATTACAAACACCGGTCTTGCTTTCCTCTTTACAGCGAGGTTTGTCTGACAATCTCGTGCTTTATTTTCAGGGCACAGCTTGACATTATTTGGGAGTCAGGGTCTCAGCAGTGATACATAACCTGAGAAGATTACAAGACATTAAAACCCAGCCACAGATTTAAAGAGGGGCTGTATCATTACAAATTCAAAATCTGGATTTTTTTTTTTTTTTTAAGTAGCACTGAGCTGTGTACTCTCTTGTAATCCTTTAAAACCTGACAAATTCAGGGGTATTTGGAAACTAATGCTGTGCTTGACTGCTTTGATAAGCCAATGCTTCTTTAGCACCACAGTATAGTGAACACAGCCGGTTACTACATCTAAATCACGGTTTTGTCAGCACACAGTCAGTTATAATATTGAGCTGCGAAGTGGAAAAACCCTCCAAGGGTTAAGTAGGGAGTCTGCAGGAGGGCTATTACAATGTCATTTAACAGATGCTTTTATCCATACGAGAACAAGAACAACACAAGCAAAGATCTGGAGGTGCTTCAAGTCCATTTGGACACAGGTACTGCCAAGCAGTATAAAAGGCGATGCGCAAGAGTGAATGAAGATTTTTTTTAATTTATTTGTGCAACAGATATCATTCTTAAGTTATATAATTGTCATTTTTATATAGTATATTGCTAAACTCCTACTACATAGTGCTTTACAAGAAACAAAACAAGCTAAAGTAAGCAAATATAATAAGCAACAAAAAGCATAAAAATCACAATTATCTATAATAAAATGGTCAGTTGAAAGAGTTCATCAAACAATGTCTTAATATGGAAGTTTTGAAATTGTATAAACAATCGTGAACTCAGCGTGCTTAATCAGCAGCTCTCACTGATAGATAAAACTGAGTGTCATCAGCATACAAGTGTAATTCAGTTTTAACTGATTTCAAGATGGTGTCACTTTAACCCTGATGTCTCTTCATGACTCCACAGTAAAATGAGATTAACAGTGACTGTATTATTTATTGCTTTGAACTGTACTTTTGGGTCAGACTTAACAAAGAAAAAAGCTGAGTTAATACTCAGCACTCACCCAGAAATCACTTCAACTTTACTGGTAAGGTTTGGCTGGTAGAACTAATGTGGCAAGGAGAAGGAGATTTATTTTTCTTCCTATGATTTTCTCAATACAAAATATGTTCTCATGGCTGATTACTGGAGAAGGATACAAGTATGTATACACTCATTTTCTGGTTCTCTATTGTCTTAAATGGAGAAATTTTATAACTGGGAAATTACTCAGTGAATGTCATGATTCAGATAAGCTACTAACATCCTGTTAAACACATATAATGCAGACAAGGCAATCACAGTTTATAATTTCAAGTAGTCACTGGAGTGGCCCATCAGATTTCAGGGGTGGTCTGGCTACTCCTTGGCTCTGTCTCTGGCCCCAAAACTTCAACTGTAAAGGGTACTTTGGAGCATAGTTTGGAATAGAGTTGAATTTAGGCAGTTTGAAGTAATCCGAATCCAAGTCATGTTGTCTCTGACTGTAAAGAGTGTCTAATTCGCCACTCAAAATATAAGCATTCTTAAACTGACTGAACTGGTTGAGATGTTAAGTAATATTTTTTCGCTTATCTTCGACGAGTGAGCTATGGGAGATAGTTCTCTAGTCTTTTTTTTACATTTTCACTGATAGTTTTGTTCCCAGTACAAATTATGACAGTGCCACAACCAGCTATCAGTCAATCAATCAATCAATCCTGGGTTATGTCAATTAAATATTTAATGACTGCTGTTTAACTTTAATAGTTCTGTGTCAAAGTCCGATTTATCCTATTTTGGGAATATGCTAAACCGTCTAAAGATGGGGTCAGACAAAAGGGGGAAAAAATCAGTGATGAGATAAACCATCTCAGTGGTCATTAGTCTTGAGTAGTTATCTGGGTTTAATCTGGGTATGATGACTTCAGAAAAAGTATTGGGTTCCTGCAATTTTTAAGTTATTGAATCAGAACATAGATTCATAGCCTCATAGTAAACCTCGAAAATAAATAATGGTGGAAACAGACCAACTGATTGAGCTTGTTGAATGTCCTCAAAACAAATGCAGTATGGCTGAAAGCACTCTAGGAAATATTTATCTGAATTTGATGCTTGGGAAGAAAGATTCTCTGCCAAAACACAGCAGTGGGCAAAACATTTGGTTTTCTGCCAGACACATAAATTCAGCAATCAGCAGAAAGGTTGGCGCCAAGTACCAACCTCACGATTTGTAAATGTTTTCTGATGGAAACCTGATATAAGCCACGCAACGTGTCTTTCATGGCACTTTGATGCTCCGTCTACTTGGCATCAAACAGGCCCTCAAGGCAGTCCGAGGCAGGAAATATAGATGAATATAAATGGATATACAATGACTAATTTACATGGCTGATATCAAACACCCCATGAGCCTGGGATCTACTATATCTCTTTATGTGTTCTATTAGTTTTACTTCTTGGTGACAATGAAAGTCTGTAAAAATAGACACAGTGATCAAAGGCTCATGAGGGACTGTTGAGAAGAAAAAGAATTCATCAGCAGCAGTCGCAGAAAAGTGGGTCTGCAGCTCACTCATGTCTGTCTAAAAGCAGCAGAAACAAAACCCCAGAGCCGCTCCCTCCTGGTACGTCTCCACTGAGAGCCAGGTGCTCAAATCACCTGAGGTCACCAAACCCTACTCCCACATGGGCTATCCGTGCCCTGGGCAGTCGCTATCCTCGTTTAAAAGCTTTATAGGCGGGGGAAGGCAGAAGAAGGGGTTGTCAAATAAAAACTAAAAGCATGAGAGAAAGAAAAAGTATTAGAGAAGGGGTTTAGGGAATAAAATCTAGAGAGAATGGTATTTTTGTTCACTTTCCCATCCTCCGAAAACCTCTTTTTTTTCCTGAAAGTGGTACATTCATTCAGGACACTTTATGTCATCCTGATCTAACTAAACTGAAAAAGGGAAAGTCAATATTCAGAAACACACCGGGACATGAGAATCTGAACTAATGAGAAACAAACGGTTGAAATATGAGAAAATGTGTCCGCTAAACACCAAACTGAAAATTCATTTAAACATCCATTTAGCTGGAGGGAGCAGTGCCTCTCTGTGTACAACCAATATAATTAAATACTTAGTCGCTTCATACGCAGTGAGTTTAATTACTCCCCAAAGGTATGGATGAACAGAACACCACTTCTTTTTTTATTCCTGGTGATGAAGCACTTTTGCAGATGACACCCTGGCTTGTAATTGAGCCCATGGAGTCACTATTTTCATGCTGAGCAGTGTTACGTGTGTGTGCTTCCTACAGAGGGTCAGTTTTAGCTCTGCAGTTTTAATTGCAGTGAGATTTAAAAAGAAAACAAAACCACCAGTAAGGTGGTCATCTCCAAGTGAGAAGCTCATTTTTGCTTACCTCCTACCTTAAAGGCTGATTGTTCATTATTTCTCACTGATTAAAGCCCAATTACTGCGACTGACTGCACAGTAAATAGGTACTGCCTGCCTGTGCAAAAATCAGTGTCAACTGATACAACCTCTGATAACCAACTGAGCAGAAATATATTTGTTGTGAGTGAGATATCTCTCATTAATCACTTCAGCTACTATGAGTGGGCGTTTCTTTAGGACTTACAGGGCCACCAACTGTGCAAGTGTTGGAGTTTCAATTCCCAGTTTGTTGTGATACTTTTCATTTGTGGTAGTGATGTGCCTTATCTTCTACTTTTCATGATTCTACATGGAGAGGACTTTTTTTAAACACCATATTTCACTATAAGTTATTACCTGTATAATAATATAAACAAAAATACAGGTTCAGATGTATAAGTACAGAATCCAAGGTGCTACAGTGAGAAGTTTCCACAGTCCATGATGATTTGAGGTGCAGAGTCATCTGCTGCAATCTGTCAATCGGTTCACTACACAAGTCCAGCTCAAAGCCTCCCAAGAGATTTTAGAAACCATGCTTCCATCTGCTGAGAAGCTTTACTGAGATACACATTTTTTTTTTCCAGCAGGACCTGGCACCTGCCCACAGAGCCAAAACTACCAGAAGTTGGTTTGCTGACCGTGCTATTACTGAGCTTGGTTGGCCAGCCAAGTAGCCTGAGCTGAACACTATAAAGGCTCTCTGGAGCATCACCAAGAGAAAGATGAGAGACACCAGAGCAACAGTTCGGACATGCGAAAAGAGCTATCAGAGGAAGTCCATAACACCCCAGCAGAGACACAAACAGACTGACTCCATGACACGTCACACTGATGCAGTAAATCCTACAAAAGAAGCCACAACAAAATACTGAGATACTGTGTGTTGTTCCAATAATTTTGATAAAAAAGTAAAAACAACCCACAAGGAAGGAGTTGGTCGGGATATTTCAAAGCATTACAAGTGCAGGTGTATACTAGGTAGTCAATAAAATAAGGGCAACTCTTCTGGCTTCAAACACGTATAAAGAGAGGGTTGAATCTGGGTTTGAATCACAGCGTTGCCTCCACAAATAGTCTGATACACCGGGGAGACCTTTTTTTACCTCGCATGTCCATCCTTTGCACAAAACTGTCGAGGAGATACTGGAGTATTTCGTGATGTAGCATGAAGGTGGAATATCAAACAGGCACTGAGATGCAGAGCTGATGAACTTTAGTCCTGCTGTGCGACACTACAATGTACTCCCCTGCACACTTGACACGTACCTACGTCACTGAAGACTGAGTCAAGTGTGTCTTTGAAAATCTTCAAGGAGGTTGTGCCTTCTTCAAACATTTGTGCAATTGAGGGGACTGATGTATACGAAATCACAATGCTTCATGTATCTCTTGTAAACCAGCAGACTGTGCTGCATTACTTTATTAGGTACCACATTTGAACTGATGAATTACACAGTCCATGGTATTTTATGAGTCACAAACTTGTATAGTCAATGATTAGGACAGCCACGCTGAGGAGGTGTGGTATATATTCAACTCCAGTCAAAAAAAAAAAAAAAAAAGGAAACAGCTAAAACAGGAGAGATTCAAGATAGAAAGATGTTTTGGGCAGTAAAGGTGACAAAACTGAAGATAGTCAGGACAAAAAAAAAAAACAAGATAATTGAAACATGCATCATTTATAAGACTCAATTAATCTCCAAAATATTTGGTGTGCCAAGTGTTTGACCAATGACCTCAAAAAATAATAATTATAATTTAAAAAATAAATAAACTTGTCTGCGTTTTAATTAAACTTTTGGGTGTTTTAGGCGGTTGTTCTTCACTGACTAGATGCTGATTTTTCTAGTTGTTGTTTATTGTTGTTCAGAATAAACTACCATGACAACTAGATGCAGCACTTAAGTCTAATGGGGTGCTCACACCAAGCACGAGTAAAATCATCTACTTGCTTAATTCGATTTGATTATAGCCGTTTATGCTAATTTCAATAGTTATCCCTGCCAATTCAACCAGCGGGATCAAGTGAAAGACAAAGTTTTTTTTTCTACAAGTTACCAGGTAATCTGACCTCCTCACTCACTTGTCTCCAGGCGAGTTCCTGTTTATTCCGGTTTTGGTAATTGACAGAAAAGGTATTATATAATTCGGGGCACCCACACACTGACAGGATCAGTTCATCCTCCATTTTAGATACCAGTGAACAACCGTCCATTTTCATACGTCACCCAGCAACCTTCATGCTGATTGGTTATTGCGACGCAAATATCCACTCAAGTTCAGAAATTTTCAGCTCCCGCCCAATTTGCGTCATTCGCGCCGCCAGAGTAGAACGAGCATCTAATCACATCTTTGCATTGACTTAACATGTAATTCAGTTGCACGACTGATTCTACTTGTGCTTGGTGTGTGGAGACAGTAAGGCATACTTTGGTGTTGTAATTATTGTGACAAGTCATCTCACATCCAGCTGAATTGACTCTCGCTGAATCAAATCATATTGTATTGTATCGTGTCGTATCAGAACATGCTGTATTGTATTGGCTCTGTAAGTTTTTAGGTAAAATAAACCTACAGGGACTTTGTAAAAAGATACTTATGGTGTAAACCAGCAAAGAATTAAAGTGAAATTTCCACCTGAAATCTACACCTCCCCCTCCTCATGCAAATGCATGTTGGAAAACTTTTCATTTCCCATTTCCACATCAGCTCTCTGCATTTTTTGTCAGATGTAGCGGTTCATGTTCAGTGGATGCTAACTAGTATGTCATCAAACTCTGCCTCATCAGCGGCAGCATCATTAGGCTGAAAGCTTCAGGAGCAGAACCCAACCATGTGACAACACTGTCAGAAATGTGAGGTGGAGGAAAATTTGCATCTCAAAACGGATCTTTTTCCACCAGGCAGGACGAACGTCGGGTTCCTCACTGCGTTTTATGTACATTTCCAGTTGTCAGTGTTAGCCATGTCACATTCCTGGGCATAGCACTGTGAAAGCAACCCACTGTGCTGTAAACGAGATGAGATGAGTCCTGTTGAGAGGTGGCTGCACAATCTGTCTCGTCTTGTGTGCGTCTGACCTTCTAATGATCGAGTCATGGGCACCGGGATGGCAACCTTGTCTGAAAACTGCAACTCAAGCCCGAGTGTGAGGAGGGAGATACGAACGGTTAAGACTATGGCGCTCAGAGACTCTTTTCATTGTAGCTTGCTGAGCTGATAACGAAATCCCTCAAACATTAGGGAGCTAGCTGTCTTCCCATTTTAATTACCTGGCAAACTGTGAGCTAAACAGGCTTACTATAGCCCACCTGATTATTTCATGGCATTTGTCCCTTTAAAAAAGATAGGAAAAAGGCAACACCCCCCTCCCTTTAAATCAGCACATAGATTTTCAGCTGATCTAGGTGGGCCAAGGGGACTGACTGGATGAACACTGTTTCTGAAGTGAGCAAGTAAACCATTTTAGCTGCTTCTCAAAGCATAAACACCTCACCATCAACAGAGTGTTTCTACATTGTCCTACCTGCAAACAGAGGATGTACGACAGTGGTTTTACTTCAGACTGGGGGTGGGGTGGGGCGACTGCAAACCAGTACAGGTTTTATTTATTTATTACAGTGCTTTAGCTGTTACAGAACAGAGAGCGAAGACACATCCTCTCAGAATGGCTGAAAATATCCCTTGAATAAGACAGTGAGTGAAAAAAAAATATGTTCTGCTATTGTAAGCAATATGCCCGGGGTGAAAAGGCGCTAAAAGCAAAGGGCTGCTCCTCTCTGGTCCCCACTATGCCTAATGGCACGGAAACACTTAGGTCAGGACTGGTGTTTCTCCATATTTGTGCTGGTAATGGTTGAGCATCTCAGCTGATATGAGCTGGGGTAATTAATGAGGCCACAGGATCAAAGCACAGCCCTCTTTTCTTGTCTGAAGAGATTTAGGATGAAAGACTATGGCGTCTTTTCATAGCGGGGCCTTCAGACGCTCTAGGGGGATAAAAGTTTTCAATAACTGTCAAATTCTTTCTCCTTTATTAAATATTTACCATTTTTGTGTAACATTTTTAAGAACACAACTCCACAAAAATGTCTCGGTGGGACTGCAGGGGTTTTGCATTCCCTTTAAGCTTGACAACATTGTCTTAAAATACATGAGCAATGAATCCAAAATTTCAGTTTTGATGTGCTCCCCTTTTTCTCTCATGCATTATTTGGGTTGTGGTAAACTTTTTCGATTGTACTTCTTCCTGCCGTGATATAATTCACACAGTTCAACCTCTTAAGTTGTGTTTGGACTTCATGATATCTGCTGAACCCTAACACCCCCATCACCATATCACTGTCCTGGATAGATACAATGGCTAAAATGATGCAAAACAAGCTAAGAGGCTAACAGCTCCTTTCTCTCTTTTCTTAATGAATACAACAATTATCTACATGATTATTTGTCATGAAATCATAATGTTTTCAACTCTAAAACTAAGCCCTTATTATCTTTTGCTGACATATATTTAGCTATGGTCTGTTAACGTCAATGTATATCTAAAGGTAAATGAAGTAAAATGGTGCATTTCCATGAAAGCAACATCTGATCATAGAGTAAATACATCCCAAAATACATAAAACTGCCTGTGCATAAAACTCATGCTGGATTTAAAAAAAGCATTGTGAATAAAAACTTGAAGTTACTCCCAACTGTTCAGCCTGTAATGGCCTTGCTTCCAAACTTTTGGCCTGTGGTGTATATTTTTGTGGTTGGCATTGAGTTTATTCATTGTAATTTTCTTGTTTTTAATTATATTTTTTGAGATGGCTGACAGTCTTTCGAATCCCTACTGGCTTCATCTTTTTTGTTGTTGTATATCGTAGCATTAGCATAACATTACCCACTGTGTTTGGAGTCTTTTGGCATCCATTCACCACATTCATTTGGTGGCCACTTTTCTCAGACATCACACAAATGCTGTTGTAATGTTTCACTGCCATTTTTGGTTTGAGTAAGCTAAACTTTAGCAACTGATAAGATGATTCCCAAAATACCAGCAATATTTCAGTGTACAGACATGTTCTTGCTCTCTGGTATGGAAATTATGGAAGGAAGGTTGTTTTAGTATGACTCTAGTTACTTTAGTGTCTCTGCAGTACTGGAGAAATTAAAAAGATTTTTAGATAGAGAGATAGAATCATTTAATTATTCTGGTTTCAGGTTTGAAATGCTCTTAGCAAACAGTAATCAGTGTCGTCTGGACACTAAGTAGCACTGCGAGGTGATGATGAACGACTCAGAAGGAGGCTCCTATTTTTCTCCTTGATGAATGTTATCTCCCCGTTTTCCATCGTGTTTTCTGCACTCTGTTCTTGTCCACTCGCGGTAAGTCTCACTTGAGATAGTGTCAGAGGAAGGGTATGCTGAGCACTTGAACATCTCTTCTGTTCTTGAGACACTCTCCGTCTCTCATCAAGTATCTGACCAGACAAAGACAGCTCAAAGGTTATCTTTGGTCATCCTTTATTGTCATTAACACTCACACCCAAAGCAAAGACTTTACTGGCGTGTTTCTAAAAAACACAAAGCAGAAAGCAAAGCCGACTCAATTGCAGAGTTCTGTCTCAAATATGTACATTTGTTCTGTAACAGGTTTTCTCCCAAGCAGTGTTTCTGGAGCAGTAAACAACCCTCTCAAACCCTGACTAAACTGAGTGATTTTCAGAAAAGTGAAGCAAAATATGTCTCAGGAGAGGAGAAAAGAGAAGTGTGCTCATTTGATTTAGTGCAGAGACTGCAAAGAGGGAAACTTGAAAGACACAGGTTTACTAGAGTGAGGCGAGGCTTCCCTTGGCACTCAGTAAATTATCTTTTTCACTTTGAAAGTTAGGAGCAGAGATAGAAGTAGGAAAACAGCCTTTGGGGGAAAGATGGACATCTGTTTAGACTGATATATTTCGGCTAGAAAAAGTATTGTACTTCTTACATAAAAAGAGTTACTCAGTTAGGGTTTGAATGTCTTTAATTCCTTGTTGAATTCTGCTAAATTTAGGACACATTTTTTATACCGGCGGCAAAAGTCTTCAGGAAATACAATCTCACTCTTCTTGGTGTTGACCTTGCTTCTTTCAATATCTTTAGGTGTAAATTGCAAGCTAAATTTCGTACAACATTAATCTGAAAATAGCTGAATAACTACTTATATATATTTTACAAAACAAATCTGCACAAGTGTATCTTGTTATCCAACATTGTGTCACAAAAGTAGCTCTGCCTTCACTCAATATGCAGTCGTGAGAAGCTACAACTACAGTCTGGCAGTACACACACGAACACACACTGATACACACACAAAATTAAAACCAAATGACTTGGGTGGTGATCCCTCTCTCTGTCTCTCTCCCTTCTAGTTCATCAGCCTTTAAAAACGAACAAAATAAATAGTGATGCAGTCACACACATGCACGCAAAGACAGATGGCTGAGATCATGTGCATGAGCTGCAGAGTGGAGGATAATTACAGCCTGAAATAAAGTGAAATAAAACTTTGTATATAAGCGTGATGGTTCCTCTACATTTCTGCAGTCTATCAGCCAGATATAAGCACTAAACTGCTGACTGAAATATACAGAGCCAAGAAAGAATCTGCATGATAAACACATCCACATAACACAAAGTCTGTTTCTTCACCATATTTACTTATTATAAACTGTAGTGAACTGCCTCCCAATCCTGCCAACCAAATCATGCAGAGACACAGATAAATTATTTCAAGTACAGTACACGGAAATGCAGGACATACTGTGCCCCTTATTAAAAAGGAATAAAGCTTGATAGATCCATGTTATATCAGTTTATCATGTATTTTGTCTAAGATATTATTTTCACATCTTGTTTTTTCTAGTTGTCTATTTTTGACGTGAAAGTCAAATAAAACTTGCAAAAATGACTCTAGAAGATTCTGTAATATGTTTGTTCATTTCATGGACTCAAAACGCTGAAAGTCATTACCTTACTTATTGTCCATTAGGGTCTCAAGAGTGTCAGTTGCCCTTAAAGCTGGATATTATTTTGATATTTCTTACTTTGTGACTCAAGGTAGAGCCTTTTCCAAAAAAAATATCAAATATATTATGTGAGGGCTGTTATTTTTTGGTCCATTTAGCCCATTTAAAGGCCTGCTGCTGCGTGCCACAGGTCTTTAAATGCAGTAAAAAAAATAAATAAATAAATGAAAAATAAAAAAAAAAACATTGAAGCTAATGTTGTGTTGCTAATGCTAATACACACAATTTCACTGTAGAATATTTAAAGTGCCAGGACACCAATGAAGCCTAAACTGTGAAAGTATAAGAGACGGAAAGTGACATTAAAGAACGTATCATGTTTAAGAGGTATTTCAACATAAAAGTAACAGTAAAAAGTGACTGAAAAAAAAAAAATCAATTCTCTCCTTAAGTTCCCTGTCATAAAGTACCAGATCTTTTATATCCCTTCTGTGGTGAATAAAAAGGTGAAAAGGCCTTTCCCTGGTGATAAATTAAGATTCCCCTCTATGCTCCTGACATGTGGTTCTCTCAGAACCGTTCTTCACGTTTAACACTTTACACGGACTGTGCTTTCCAATTGGTTCACCATGAGTTAGAGGCATTTCAAAAAGAGAGAGAGAGAAAGAAAGAAAAAGGAAAACCAGCAGAGCATTTACAACCTACAGAAAACGTCTTTATCCCTCCAGACAGCAGAGGATGTGAGAGTAAAGTTGAGGGATAAATATGTTAATGCTGCTATTTAAGAAATGTACAAGGCTGACTTTGACAGAGTTTTAAATCTTGGTTCTCCACTTAATATTTCGTATGATGCATCTCTTTGTCTTCATCTCAGTTCAGACAGCTGCATAATTTTAAAGCATTCACTGAAGAAGAAAAAAATCCTGTTTTTTTTAATTAACAAAATATTCATTGCTATGAGTAATGATTTATACAAACACACAACAGACAATATCTGTCTGTTATTCTGAAGTAACAAGAAACAAGGAATCATGCACTCTATGGGTTCAGCAATAACTTAATTGTCTCCTGAGTCACTGTGTAGCCTAATTGCTTTTCGGAATGATGTTATATTCATGAGGTAAATTATATTGGCTCATCCGATTCAGGAGAAATGCTGCAATGTCGACAGATCAGATAGGCTTTACATCTGATACAACTGGAAAGCCTTTAATTGGCTGCACAAAATCAACAAATTGATACCAATACAATGCACTGCTAAGATCTGAACCAATAAACTACATTATACTTAACTGCACTGGAATGTTAGGTTCTTTAAAGCTACTGTGAGGAGTTTTTTGACATTTATGAAACAGACTTAAATTCAGATTGATGTTTGTCTATGATAGAAATAAAATAAAATTCAAAAAAGCAAACAAGACTATCGGCAACAAGATTGAAAAGTTTTATCTCCTTTTTTTTTTTTTAATTAATATTAACCTAAAAGTGCAAGAGGGTGGAGCTGCTGGAACAAAAACAAACAAACAAACAAAAAATATTATATTATTATATAATTTTTAATTTATGTCTTTCACATAAAATTGGGAGGGATAAGAAAAACAAACAAACAAAAAAACAATCGGCAGAATGATATTTTTTTTGAGAACAAGATAAACAAAGACATCTTTGTCCACCGGGGGTGCCAAATGGACACCAAGCTTGAATTCCTCACAGGGGCTTTAAGTGGTCTAAATGCTTTTAATACGGGTGCGATAATGGTGCTAAAATTTTAAAGAAAACAATGTAGTTAAAAAACGTTCCTGTCATTTCAAGATATTGATCTTGTCCACCCATAAAAACAGTTGTTTCCCCCCCTTGAGTTAATGTTATTTGTTGTTTTTTGCTGGGTGGTAACATTTTTTGTTTCATACTGTGGATTTTTTAGGTAATAAATTTATGTTTCGTGCTATCTCCTGGGAAACGCTATGGCTATTTATTATTTCCTGAAGAGCCAACCTGTTTAGAGACTCTGTTTGGACACACTTTTATATAAAATTATAAAAACCTTGAATTTGGTTTGATATCAGGAGCAGCTCCTCAATCAAAGATACAAAACTACTACTCCGCTAAAAATGTGAGGAAATGGAAAAAAAAAGAAGACGGGATATGAATGAATTTTCCTCCTATTTATATGAATCAACTCTCAGCTCAGAGTTTGAAAGTTGCCTCATCTGGAAACTGGTATTATAGCTATGCTTTTATTGTGGTCAGATTTTTTTTTCTCTCCATCATGAGCATATTCCACAAATGACTGTTCAGTTTTTTTTTTTTTTTTCTAAGCTCTGAATTGAAACTGTTTACTTGATTTAATGAGCAGCATGTGCACATAACTGCTCTAATTAATGAGATATTTTGACAAGGATGCAGTTCAATATACATATTCAGTCAATGTAAATGGGCCCCACACAAGCTAATTAAAGTGGTGCAGAGGATTCATGTTCAGAGTGTTTAGAAAACCTGCACACACACATAAGCAAAAGCCCTGAATACGTGAAGAAGGCTTCTTTTTTTAGTCTTATAAATCAAGAAGTTCACCTCAGTCTGTTTTATGTCAAACAGCTGATGTACATTTTTTATCTCTCGTTTTGGTCATTTCTCTCTGTTAGGAACAAGCGAGGCTCAAGTGATCCTCAGCAGCGGCCTACTTCCGCCTATAGTGCTCATCTAAAGCCCCTTGGTCATTTGGGGGGAAAAAGCAGAGATAGTAAATTTTTAACATTTCTCTTCATTTATTTATTTTCTGCATGCTCGGTCCCTTTGTGTGTCGTCCATCCCCTGCTTGAAAGCAGCTCTCTGGTGGGCTGCCATAGGGAGCCAGTCATGCAGTGTAATGTCAGAGCAGGCAGCCGGAGCAGGCTGATGTGACACACAATAACATGTTCAGGCAGAAGAAAGTACACAGCATACAAGCAGAGAGAGGCAGCATCTCAGGTTTAACAAAATCAAATCAACCTCTTTTCTTTTTTATTCTCTACAAAGGATGTGCAAAAAATGAATTAAACTACACTTGAAGCCTCCGTCACCCTCTTCGCTCCGTGCTACACATATTTAAGATATCTAATTTGTGAATTGGAATTTGTTAAATACCTGAAAAAAGATTTAATGTCTGTCTGTTTCACATGGATGGAAAAAGTGGCATTGAAACTAGTCACATTACACTGAAAGGGTATTACCTATGCACAGAAGCCACCTGGATAATTGCAAGGTATATGGATAAGCAGTTTCACCTTGTGCTGTAATCACAGCCATCATAACTATTTTTTTCCTCCCTTAGTTCACCACCTTTATGTTTTGCTTTCTATCATAGGTGTGGAAGTGCCCCATCTGCAGAAATCCTGTCAGTATAGGTCACAGAATAGTCCTATCAGTGCTGAAAATAGTGAATGAAGTGGAGGGAAAACGTGTGCTTTCCACATTAAAATGCATCAAAACAGCTCATATGGTGTAGAGGTCATATATTAGCCTGTGTGTTGTGTAGGGCTGTAATGAATTGTCACAGAATACCATCTTGTGTGCCTTGAAAGCTGGCTGAGAACAAAAGACAAAGGGATAACAGAGCTAGTCGTCTCCGATATTGGAAATTGCACACTACGCCGGCAGAATGGCTAATGAACTTCATCCAGTTTCATGCTAATGGTTATCAGGGTGATTTCATTCCCCTGGCCTTTGTGTGTAATTATCGATTGTCCCAAGAAAAGGTGGGGTGTACAACGCCTGGTAAACAGCAGGTAATTAGTATTTTGGACCTTTGGTGGACTAATGTTCAGTGTTTCTTTTATCTGTATGCATGAGAGCTGTGGATGTGTGAATTCTTTCTCACACAACAAGATAACTGGGAGGAGACTCTCAAGCTGCACTCTTTAACATGTTAACAACTCAAAATTAGAGCAGGGAAATAATCAAAACTTCAATTAAAGCCAATGATTCAAATAATCCGCAAAGAATCACCGTTTCAAATGGAAGAGAAATCCTCTAAGCCTCACTTTGTCTGAAAACCTGAGGAGGAATACGCTTATGTTGGTTCAATATGCCAACGCTATTCCCATAATTATGATTTATCCCAAGCTCTTCAAGAAAATTCATCTTTTCCCAAGGGATAAATGGCACAAATTAAGTGTAGACCAGAAGGTAGGCTTTCATTTTCGCAGAGTCTCAGCTCAGGGACCGAGTGGTAGATTTGTGGTATAACTGTGACGCAGGATATTGTCCAGAGCACCTGAGTGTGGGGGTGGAGGGGGTGAAAAAAATGGACTGGGTTCTCATCACTGCTCCTCAGAGCCTTAACTCAGTCACATTTGAATGTTATATGCACATGATTTTTTGATTATGTACGCCCAGAGTCCATTTGTATTTTACGGTGATGCAGTTTTATTTTGTAGGAGCATCCCCTTGTAAATAAGTATATGCTGGAGAAAATAAGACCCTTCAGATAGATCAAGATCAACACCTACAGATAGACTGCAGAGTTGGTCAATTTTCAGCCAAAACACAAATATGACACCTGTCTGAAAAACTTGAAAAACATATGGTGAATTTTGTGTAACAATCACAGTTTGCCTTTAAGTACTATGGGAACAATAAGTATAAATAAACTTTGTCATGCAAATAATTTAACTAATGGAAATAATTTTGACTTTTAGATTACACTGACTTTGCATTGTTGACAAGTTTCACTTACATTTCATGCAGTGTGCAGACACTGGAGTTAGGTTAACTTTTAGAAGTGATGTTTACAGTAAGTAATAATCAAGTTACAATAATTTACCCTAAGTAAGCATAGATATGTGACTTTATGTTGGTAACAATTACTTTTTTGAAATAAGTTTCATTGACTTAACATGAGCTATAGGTAACATAGTCTTTGCGTAGTTAACACAACTTTACTTAAATTACTGTTGCTTTATACGTTACGTTGTTTTAGCACCACAAAGCTAATTTGAGCTTACATAAGTTACAATTACTTTATATAATATATGTTATATTCGCTTTATGCAGCTTCCATTCACTTTACCTCAGCTGCATGATCTTTGCATTAGCAATGTTTCCTTAGCATAAACTTTGTGTAAGTTGTGAAAACTTTACCAAAGTGATGTCAACATGTGATAAGTTACTTTCTGACTTATATCACCCAAATACATCATTAAATAAACTTTAGTGAGTTAATATGACTCAGTACTGAATTGGTGGAGCTGGGTATAGGACACAAATGCTAGCCTATTAGTTTAGGGTGATTCGGGCTGATGAATTGGGCCATTAATAGCGTTTTGAACGGAACAGCATCACATTTGCATCACCCAATGTGAGGCCAATGCCATCCTTAAAGTCAACCACATATGCTAAACAACAGCATAGTATATCTGGGAAACATTAGCCAGCTATAGCATTTAACTTAATTATCAGTCTTTTTATTTATTTATTAATATTTTTTATTCATTCATAGCATAAGCCCATGAATTTGTCTTTCTTATGAATTAATCAGCATGTGTCTTGCTAAGATATCCATGTAGCCTCAATTAGATTGTAATGGACATGGACTAGTATAATTATACTGATTTATTAATTACAGACAGCTGGATAGAAATCCAAAAGTCCCGTATGGCAACATTTCACCAAGTAAAATATTCTTGTTTCTATATTGCATAAATAAATATTAATCCAATCAAAGACATCTTTAAATGGATTATTTTGGTGATACTAAATGATTTTTTTGTGATATCATAATAGACCTGTTTAATTAAATAATAATGTTAAACTGGGCAAAAATATAAGACTTGGTGTAAATGCTAAACAGGTTTTATTGGCACTCCCAGTCCTTTTTCACGATGGGTAGAGGGTGCAGAAAGGCACTTCGTTTCATATCTAATAAACTCCATTTTAATAGCTCCCATTTCTCCCGTCCTTAACACTGATTACCAAACACTCTGCAGGTGGGATGCTCTGTGTAGACATTCGCCAGCAGAGCATTAATTCACAATGATGGCAGTGTGAGACAATACTCTCGTGGCTGCTGCCTGTGGTATTAAAAAAGTACGACTCGAATTTCCATCATGAAAAGGAGCCACTTCTCAACTAGAAGCCTTTTTTAAACAGGATCTTTCATGCAGAGTGAAATGGAAAGCTGATTTGTACTGCCTGGTGAAGCATCATCTCTGCGAGCGCGGCTCAGCTGACCTGTGCCGTGTTGCAAGGAAACAACAGATTTTCGTGAAACACAACACACCATTAAGAGACATCTGTTGTGGATCAGTCACTCTAAAATGTCAACACTGTTACAGGCTGCCACTTTCTTTTCCCCGTCCTTCTAGTACTGGGAGCGAGGGAATGTGGGGTCACTATTAAAGAGCCCCTGCAGGCTTTGCAACAAACACGGAAAATGACCCAGGAAAACAAGAGACAGCTTTTGCAATGATTACTGTTATAATATCAGTAACTGCATACTGTAGATTAAAATATAATGTTAATTTTTATTAAGTAAGACTAGTAAACATTTAAAAACGTTGTGTATATTATTTTTTAAATTTATCATTAAGTCAATGAAATGTCAGAAAATTGTGTAGATATTATATCCAAGAGCCACATCATATCTTCACATATTACTGTTGGTTGACTAACAATCTGTGACTTCAAAATCTTATATAACCCAAGTACAGGTATACCAAAAACAGTAAATAGAGTCAGGGTCTCTCCACCTGATTGCATACTTTTTGATTCAGGCAGAAACTGGAGAATCATTTTTCCATTTCTTTCTTCTTGGCAATTTAACATGCAGTTTTAGATTCAAAGGACAACACCAGGGCGTGAAAGACAAACAACAAAACAGTATCCTTTCCATCTTTGGGAGTATCATATCTGGAATGTATTCTAATATGGCAGAGGTATAAAATCTAAAAAGCCTTTAAAATAAACAAACATTCTTTATTGTCAATGTCTAATTTCTCGGCTACAAGATGTTTGCATATTCCCTAGAAATACAGATGCAATTTTAATGGATTTAGTTTTATAGTCTTGCTGCTGGGCGGGTTCATAACAAACACCACCTGCAGATGCATATGTTATCTCCGTCCTCCTGCAAGAGTAAATCAGAGCAATGATCCCGGCATTAAGTCCAAAATGAGTTTACAACTTTTACTGCGCATCGTCTGCTCTGTTAACGTGTCTGTGAGCGGAGTAAGTCATAGTGATTATGGGGAGCTTTGGCACATTTTCTATTTAGTTTATCTTTTGATTACTCATTTAAACTTTGAACTAGATCTCCCCTCACAGCCCCCCTACCAAACAGAGACCCCCTCATACGACTACAAAAAAACGATGCCTGCCTGAGCTCCTTGTGAAGTCGGCTGAAACAGTTCTGATGTAAAAGCTTCACAGGGAACTGTTAAATCTTTCAAAGATGTTTGCAAATCCTCTGAGTGGCAGCACAAAAACCTCCTCTTCTCTCGGTACCTGCTGCATTATTTAACTGCCTTCTAATGACACTAAGCGCTCTGAAAATTGAATACACTTCAAGGAGGCACCAACTAATTTAAACAAGCACTCCATTTATGCACATGTGTGGAGGTAGTGCAGGCAAGGTCCTCTGTGTCCTGGGATAGCTGCCACGCACCCTGATGGACGGGCCGCCCCCGGGCTTGGCTGTCTCCCCCTGACACCACATGACCTGACTGATCACTGCTGCTGCCAGTCTTCCTGAAAACTGCCAATATCCAGTGTCTTGCTGAAATAAAGGCATCAAGGAAGCGATGCTGAGATACAACACAATCCACCACATTCACACAGCAGCCGTTTTCCTGTGACCTTAAGTCTAGAGCTGCTTTAATGTTGATGTGCTGGTTGCCAGTGTAGATATTGCCAGTGCACTTTGTTACACAAGCAAACAGTAATATATTGGAGAAAGCATCCTGATGCAAATTAAAACATTTTTGTTTGTATTTGATGACTTAAACAGAGTTTCACGGTTCAGTGCAGACATAAAATAACCACCAAAGCCTCTTTCACACATTCACAACACTGCATACCACATACCATACCATTGGTAACAACGTAAATTAACATAATTGACCCTAGTGTTGCTAACCTAGCAACTTTGTCACTAGATCTAGCGACTTATTTTCAAAAAAGCGTCTAGCGGCAAATCTAGTGACTTTTGCTGAGGTTTGAAGACTCTAACATGAACGCAGGTACCGATGTTACTCTTCTCAACTGGTTGCCATTGGGCACCAAAAACACAGACACATACAGATACCCTGCGGAGGACTCCTCCCACTCCTCCTCCTCCTAGGGGTGAGGGTGGGTTTGCCTGAGAAATTAAGCAATTTAGGCGATGATGTCATCTAGCAACTTCTTGCGACTTATTCAACAGCCACTAGCGACTTTCCTTCCTGAGGAGTTGGCAACACTCAGTTTGTTTACATGACACTCAAGAAAACAGATTTATTGTCTTACTCCAGTAAGACCAGACAACTGAAGTGCTTGTAAACACCTTAGTCCGGACAACTGAAGTCCGACTGTAATCATAATTCTCAAACTCCAATTGGAGTCGGAGAAATCCAATTAAGACACCCAGATAATGCGATTGGAATTCGATTTTCTCTACCATGTAACCAGCGTAGTCGGAGTATGATTGGACAATCCATGTGCGCATGTGCCACGCCCCCGTAACCCAGAGAGGAGGAGTAGCGTGCATCTCATCTGCAGAAAAAGTAGCGTGTACATCATGTACGACAGAAGCAACACTGTATGATGCTCCGTCTTCTTGCAGCAGTTGTAGCCACCTCTGATGTCTGGCACAGACCTGCTTTTGTTCTTGACAGTTGTATGGGGTCAGAAACAACGCCGCTGAAAAGACCCATATAGACATCAGACAAGGAGAGAAGTCAGATTTGGCGGGGAAAAAAAATGGATAGTGAGCTTAGTCTGATTAAGCTGTGCATGTAAACGCACTGACTGATCGACTCTTTCCACCAAGTCAGAGAAATATCCAGTGAGTGATGTTTAAGTGTCTTTATGGGTAATATACTCTTTTTAGCTTGCACTAAGTGTGTGATCCTTCTCCACCCCTGCATTAGTATAATAGTTACATTCTCATATATGTTGTCGTTATATCAATCTTAAAATTATGTTCAATTTTAGGAAAATTGAAGTAATAAGTAACCTGATTCTGCTCTTAGGACACTGGTTTACAATTCTCTGCATGATCGGGTGCAGGTGATTTTACCTCCTTAAAAAATAGGTCAGCTCAGCCCTCAGCTATGTAAGGTTAACTATTAAATAATAGCTCAAATTTTTCACCCTATACTTATCCGTGTCCACGCTGCTTTAAAAAAAAAAAAAAAAAAAAACCTCCAATATGTTCTAAAAGAAACTTGAGAAGTCACACCTGTGCCCCTTTACAGGGTTGCAGGTGAAAACCACACTTCATTAAACAGAAAAAAAATGTGAGAATTGGTTTGAAGTGAACAAAGAGGTATGCCTCACAACAGCTCACCTTTTTCTTTAATTAATTCTGCTGCACAGCTCCCACTATACCATGTCAGATTACACAAAGAAAATTGCTTTGTAATTAAAAGCTTAAAGTTAGACAGCTATTCTCCCTTTTTCTACAGTAACAGCTACATAATCACATGTAAATGGGCTTGGTGGGCTGTTATCACTTACCTATTTGAGTGGCATGCTGAAGTTACTGAGTGGCAATTTAACTCTCAAATCACTTATTGTACCATTAGAAATAAACATTAACACACAAAGAGGTTTTGTTTTTTTAACTGCGAACGCTCCTGGATGCTAGGAAAGACTGGGGTGAGGTAATACTGCGCGTTACATCATGTTGTATTCATGATTCAATGGAAGAATATTTGTAATTAGGTTATCTGCTCGGTTTGGTTAGGGGGACAGAGTGAAACAAGGCCAAGGTGTGAAATCACATTTTTTTTTATTGGTAAGCAAAACTGGGAAATGCTCGGGCAATTGCAGAGAAGTCCTCTGAGTTTCTTTACTGCTTTACCTTCTAGCACTCACTTATCAGCAGGCAAATCAGCTAAGTCGTTGACCTCGCGCCCTCTGGCTCTCATTAGTGCAGCCTGTGACAGTGATGGAAGGGTGGGCTTGTCCTGGAGTACGCCGCTCACACAGGGAATACATAGGTCACAAGTAGTGGGTGGCCAGATTAGTGTGTACCACAGAGAGCTTTCTGGCGTGCTCTGCCGCGGGCAAGCTTTTGCCTGCCTGCTTTCCAAATTTAAAACCAAAAAAAAAAAAAAAAACTTATTCCACCTTTTTCCCTTCCAGTTTTTCTGTTCTGGTTACCCTGGATATCAGAGGGGGGACTCGAATTGGAGAGTGGCTGAGCTGAGTGATGTCATGTAGCTCAGGCAAGCACTCAAGGCATTATGGGCCCAACGCGCTGAGTGCACTGAAATGAAAAGGGATCAGCTGCCGTAGCTTTCTGGCTCTTTCTATAGCATCATGTGGTACACACATCTTTAAAGAACCCCCGGGGTCATGGTGACAGGAAATATACGGTGTGGTTGTTAAGCCAAGCAAACAGGACAGTGTACCTCTAAAAGAACAGCAGCAGCAGCTTCGTGTTTAATGAGAAATGGCAGAGGGAAAGAGGGGCAAACAGGAGCTACAGGGGCTTCAGGTCCTGATCTACCCTTCTGTATGTTATAATACAAAGTCATCAAATCAAAAATAATCTTTTTTCACCAAAAACAACTAAAAAACAAACAAACAAATAAAAGCCACTCCAGTTCCAATCTCCTGTTGCTTCTGTTGCTGACACAGCTAACAGGTTTGTATGAAATTCTTACATGTGGCTTTTCACATGGCCTGCTGTTCTGTTATTGTCGCCTGCAGATTTGAACTATACTTGTAACATTTGCACCTGTCTTGAAATTATAAGTTGAGAAGCCAGAGTTAGAAAACTTCCTGGCTGCCAATGAGACGATCCGTAGCTTACACAGCAGTCTTGTCACTTCCTTCAATATCAAATTATCACTTCAGGTCTGAAACATAGCGACTTAAACGGCCATCATCCGTCACATGTATTCTCCTGATGAAAGTCACATGCAGTGGGTGAGCACTCCACCTTTGCTCACTTTGTCTTCTACTCATCAGGGGATTTATTTTCAGGTCCACACATCCCCTCCCACTTTCTCACACCTGCACCTGGGGACGAGATTCTCACCGTCTATACTACCGACTGAAGCTGCAGGCAGAGTTGCTCTAGGAGTATTTTTATTAAGGATAAGGTGTCTATTGGCTGTTCTTCCCTAAATAACACAAAGTGCAATGTTAACACTTAGCTTTCTACAATTTACATGATTACTGTATCAGACAAGAAGTGCCTAAGAAAGAGAAGACTTGGGCGTGTGGGATGTGTGGCTAATTTCATTCTTCGGTATAGGCGGGTGTGAACACTATGGAATAGTGTTCACCCACATACTGTATTGTCCAGATTAAGCTGGTTGGACAGCAGCTCTCCTGGTATTTAATCAGCTTCCCCAGGCCATTACCCCAGTATGGGGGAGTGCAAACACCCAGTATTGTCTTTTCTCTAATTCTATGCTATCTCTTATTAAACCAGCATGACGTGCAAGCAGACGTGGCTGCTGTGTGAGAGTGTGTGCATATATGTATGTATGTGTGTACTCCTGCACAGCTTTTTTTTTTTTCCCATGAATGACAGGAGCAAAGATGGTCCATGGAGGGGAGATAAATAAAGGAGTATCTTAACCTCCGTAACAAGGATTTTTAATTAGCTATTCAACAATATAATTACAAAACTTTGAGTAACAATCGCTCTGAAAACATGACCTTCAGTGCTGTTAACAGTGACCAAATTGGCATTGCAGCTGCACAGCTTTGCTGTCCTGAGAAATAAATGATTCAATAATGAAATTAAACTCCATATAATATGATGAAAGACGCAGTGAGTCTACAGGGAAAGTGAGTTTCTTTAAATGGGCCTTCTTTGACTTTGCTTTCATATGCTGGTCAAACATCAACTTAAATGTGATAAAAAGAAAGAAAAGGGCAAATGACAGTTAGACACGGTATCATATTGAACATCGGGCACAAAACTGAACACAGAGTTGATGCTGTTTGTGACAGAGAATCAGGGCTGGCAGGTAAATGGGGTGATCAGTTGGGATCATAGACTGTATATAGAATGGACAGAGTCTGCCTCCCTGCTGGGTGAAGCCACTCCGAGAACAGCACTCTCTGTTGATGGGCTGCAGTATAGGTTATGAGTCTGGCCTCCGCCAGCAAAGCTTATGGAGCTGTGGACAAACTTAAGTCCTTTTTTTCTGTGAAGCTCCGTTTTTAAAAGTTATTAGGGGGTTCATGTTTTCTATGATTGACTGCTGTTTGAGCCAAGTGTCATCACAGCAACTCTCTGCAAGTGTGCGCCCGAATGCGCGCATCGCTACTGCGCAGCGCTGGTTTCAGGAAATGAAAAAAATCCCGGAAACACCGAGAGCTATTTGGCTTCAAATCCGTGTACAAGCGGTAGGCGGAACCAAGTTGTCCATAGTATATACAGTCTATGGTTGGGATATGGACATGCACAACAGTCACATCCCAGCACATGCACCTGGATTAGAGCACAAATAAACCCCAGAGCAGACTTGTGAAAAACATACCCATGTTAACACATTTTGTCAGGAGGACCAGGACATCCCTGGTTGTCCTTGTTCTTGTGATTCTTGTGAGCACTCAAATGGACTTTTAACTGGACAAGATCCTTCATTTTTAGTCTGAGGAAGATGTTGCGTTTTTCTTTAAATTCAAAGTTACTACCATGGGGCTGATGAGCTACATAGTAAATTGATCATAACCTTATACATTGGTAAAAGTGATTGATGGTATGTAGATGAGTTGATTGCATATATTAGTCAAGTTTATGAAGTATATTGTCGCTTGCCCTCCACACTCACTTTCCTCTGTCTCTCTGCTGTACCAAGTGTTCACTATTTTATTCTATTTAAATCTATTTAACCAAGAAATCCTCAATGAGATTAAAAATCTCTGTTTTAGTTGAGCAGTCTGAGAGAAAAGAAAGAGGGGGTTGATTTTAAAAGAAAAAAGACTTCAAGATCCAAAAAGGTAATAAAATGAATATGATTTCTATTGTTCTCATAAAAACACAAATACTACTACTACTACTACTACTACTAATAATAATAATAATAATTATAATAATTCCTGTATGTTTGTTTTATTTTACAAATGTGTTTATAGTGTTTTAATTTTATCTCAAGTGCAAGTGAGAGCACGGTTTCGTAGACTTGCACCGCTGTAACAGTCTTGATCCGTCTAAACTCTTTTTTTTTTTTACACATGCTCACCTTAAAATCTCAGGACAGCCTGTCCCTGAAATCTCCCTGAGTTTCTCCCTCACTTTTAAAAAGAAAAAAGTCCTTCACAGTGGGAGATTTGTCAGATGTGAGGCCGGAGAGGGTTTTGGTTTAGGGAGACATGAAGGTCATAAAACGGATGCTGAGAACAGCACAGTGAAACATAAACAACATATCTAAGACAGTGAACGAAGCAGAAGCGCCTGACAGTGTGATGACAGTTTTTGCCTTTATACTAGAACTCTGGAACTGAACTTATGTGTAGTATTTTATGCTGAGAAGCACAAAGAATATGAGGCAACTTCATTACCTGCATGAAGATTTAACCATTTAGCAGAAATTGATGGGAGTTGTAAAATGGTACGAGAGCGGTCACTTCTTTTTTAAAACTTAAACCTTAACTTGAACTCTGGGGGAAAATTCATAGTGAAAGTGATTAACCATTAAAACGTATTATAATGCAATATACCAGCTTATCCCGCCACCTGAAGTACCCCGCCATTTGTACCAGTAGAGGGCGCTCTCATTGGAACTTGGCCAATCTATGCATGCACGCAACTAACACAGTGATGTTATTCAAGATAAACAGAGGACTTGGTCAAGCAAAAATGCACTGAGCAGTCTAAAACATCTGAAAAGTGCTGCCTGAATTTACTTTTTGGGTAATATGCTGTAGATGCAAAAATAAATGACAAAAATCTGGTTGTATGTCAACTTTGAGCAAATTAGGGGTGACAAATTTGGCCCACCTACAGGTAGCATAACAGAGCGGCGCAACCCTGTTCAACCCTGTTCAACCCCGGCCTGTGTGACTTCCTTTTTCAGAAGCTCATTAAATGGTCATCAATGGTCAACGTATCCAAATGTTTGCACATGTCACGTTCAATAACCGTTCAAGGTTGTTTTTTGAAAAACTGACAGCCCAACATGGTCCTCATTACTTTATGTCAAATAAACGACAGCTATGTATGATTAATCGTCTGACTCGGCAGGCAAGGTTACACCTACGTCAGCATGGTAGTATCCTATGAGTATGGATATTTTGCATAGTTGACACACACACACACTGGCTGATGATCATGAATATTAACCTGATGACTAAGAGCATGGTGGATTAAAGTCTCTCTAGAGGAGGGGGAAGACTGGTAATCTTGCAGAGCACCTAACCAAACAAACTCTTTTACTATTTACCAAAGAGCCCACAGCTTCAGACTCTAGTGATCCAAGAGCAGCTTGACAGTGTAAGGGGGAACTACTCTATCTGAACCCTCACTATCAGCTTCACAATCTATAAGCCAGGAAGCACTGAACAGACTTATTATAGATATGTTGTGGAAGACAAGATTGAAGCAAAAAGAACCACTGCTAGAGTTATGATACTAAGAAACAGGTTACTTTTATTAAGCAGTAACTTAGTGACATTTTTTTATGGTGGTAACTTTAATTTGATTTTTAGGCTGAACTATTAAACCTTAAAAGATCCTTGTGACATTCTGTGCCAGTTCGTTTTTTTGATTTTCATGACATTTTGGCTGTGTTAAATGAATATAGCTCAAATTTGCCAAAGGATATTGATTTTTAGAAAACTTCAGAATTGTTGTATCAGTTCCTGAAATTAGCCTAAAATGGCTAAGCTACAGACAAACCGACACATTTGATCCTTGTGACAAAAAATGTCCAATTGAAAACCATTGAAAACGCCATTTTTGGTCCCTCATTTATCATAACATAAACTAATACATTCACACATGTTAAGATTTTATTGTGGACTATTGGCTTTCTATTTCTAATTTTTATACTTGCCTACTCTTTTTTTTTCATTCAAAGCATGAAGCCAAAATTTCTCACTTTTTACTGTTTATTGTATTGGCACTTTGCTGATAAAATGATAAGTGTATGTTGGATGTTGAAATAAAGGGGCTTAAGGTAACCAACATTTAATTTTACCTTTATAAATGAATGCGATAGCAAACTGGGAATTTAATCCTTTGATTTGATGTGAATAAGCTTTTTTTTTTTTTTTTTCCTCCAAACCCTGCAGCTGCTCTTTTGTTCCCACCTAAACAGTTAGATTTCCGGGCAGCAGAGCAAACTGAGCAAAAATCTCAGAGCTCCCTCAACAAATGAAAGTGTGGATTTTTGTCTGTTAGAAAATCAGACCTGGGACTGGCAGATTCAGCTCTTCCTCTCAGTGTTGGGTTAATGCATTTGTGCCAGTAAACCTGTCAGAGAGCGGAGCAGCAGGGCAGATCTACAGCTGCAAGCCCCAAAATGCTATTACTGTTGCTCCAGTCAACAGCAGCACAGGGACACTGTACATGGTCCAAAAGAATCTGTTTAACATTTTACTGTTTTTCATCATCGACGACTGGAGGCTTTTTTAAATGACGACCTCTTCACCAGATATTAAATTCCGCAGCGTCTACTTAATAAATTTTAATCAATTGTGTAATATTGCCAAGTTTCAGTCCTTTGAAACCTTTGGCATTAATTTTTCAGTGCTCTTGAGTGTAAGGTCTGGACAGCACAAGCTGCTGTAACACAAAGACGCTCTGATTTACCACAGACTGCAGACTTCTGTGTTGCAGTCTGATGTGTCTTTGTTCTAAAGATGAGAAGATTTGAAAGCTATGTCACGCTTTCATCTCAGACTGACTGACTTCACAGGCTGGCCACTGCGATACAGCCACAATTTAAATGAAGTGTTTTAGTCCATAGATGCAGCACCATGTCCAAAACAAAGGACACGCTAAGATGTCATTATAATACAGCCAGAAGAAGAGGAAACCATACAAAACCAAGAACTCTGTTTATTGCTTCAAAACCATCTCTTCTTTGAACGTCGATTATGTGTCTGATTCAGAGGTCTTCAGAGGGAAAGACAAAGAAAATTTAATTTGCTCAACACAATGTAGGTCAGAAGCCTTAAAGCAAGGGTCAAGCCTCACAGAGTATTCTCCGACCAAGTCTGGAAGGAAACCAAAGATAAACAACCAACCACAGGCACGTGCAGAGAGGTCTTTTCACATTCTGAATAATAAAACCGGGAGAGACACATATGATGTTAATGTTTGCTATTTGTATTAAATAAATATGAGCTGAGATTTATACTGGTGCCACCAGTGAGCCAGTATAAATTACGGGAAGAGGTTTGGTGTTATATTCTGGTATTTCACCCAGAGGGTAGTACTGAGAAAAAGCAGGAAACCACTTTAATGTGCAAAGCAAACTGGCTTTGTAAGCAATCTGGTGTTGCTACTTTATAATGCTTCTCTTCACTATGCATTCAGATAAAAGTTGTTTGTGAGTAAATGACTTTGTGGAGCACTGCTTTAAGTAAAAAAAAATACTCCTCAGAGGATAAAAACTCACAATCAGAGGAGGGTAGCGAATTAGCTGCTGACAGTGAGTCCATTCGACAACTGTTGATGCTACTATGGGCTGAGCTTCAGTATCTTATGAATAGCCATAGCATGGGGTTAACACATGGAAATAATGCCACACAGCTGCATAGGAACTGGACATTGCTGAACTGAGGGACGACAGTTTAGAGCTTATCCCCTCTGGAACTCCCTCAAAGGTTGACTGCAATTTATGTAGGGGTGTGATTTATATTCCCAATGTTATGGTAACCTGGTCAGGGCCTGTGTCCACTTGCAGTGTTTTTGCACTGGCAGCGCTTGTTTAGATAGTATAATATTAAAAGGGAGGTATCTTTCATTTTTTTCAGACTCTATATTTCCTCACTGATACTTCTTTGATAGCTTTTATGTGGTTTTCAGATCAAAAGAGGCCTCAAATTTCTCACAGTGGTGCATTAAATTATCATTATTTCAGCAACTGTCTGAAACGCTTCATTTTAGCTGCTGGCCCCCCTAACACAAGCCTACTTTCCTCTGATTGGACACCTCTCCTGAGGCTTCCCAGTAGCCACCCAAGGGCAGAGCTCGTTGTTTTGCCCCGCCCCCTCTATTGTGGTTGATCAGTTGAACAGCGTTATGTCGGAAAGATGTCTGGAGTAAAAGCTAATCTTATCTGAGAAAGAAAGTCTTTCTTTTTCCTTTCACTTTTCAAACAAAAGGCATTTTTTTGTCTGGTGAAACTAAAATTTAATCATGGAGTTCACTTTAAATCTGAATGCTACATCTATAAAACACCTGATTTGGAAAACTCAAGAGTACATCTATAAATTCTTTCTGCTCTTTATGCTCACCTATAACACAAAAAGGACACGCAAAGCCTTTTAGAGGACAAAGACTTCACACCTTAAGAGATGGATTTTTGGATTCAACAATGAACACTAATGTGTCAAAGTTTTGATGTCTTCCAGTGGATTAAGACTAATGTTGTATAAGGGCGTAATACGGTAAAATCAGTTCAAGAGTCAGCATGCACACAGATGAGCACTGTTTATGTGAATTCCCAGAAAGCTGATAAAAATAATAGCTCATCTTTCCCTCTATTATGCAAAAATACCTCTGAACTACACAGCGGTTTAAAAGTGTCAGTATCTTCTCATCATAGTGAACAAGAATCCTGGAGTTCTCAGCTCAATCTGCATTCATATCCAAACCCATTCCCCCGCCATCACAAAGTGGCAAATTACATGAAACATTCTTCAGCTGAATATCGTTGCACGCAGCCAGACTCATTACTTTGCTTGATTCAAGGGTAGTTCTTTGGCTAATCTGTTGTGCAGTGTCAAGAGCTGATTTTGATTAGCTGGCTAGCTGAGTGAGGAAGTGGCTTTGTTGTTGCCATGGAAAACAGTGTCTCACACGTTGATCAGCTCAGCATTTCAAAAGAGGATTTTTTTTTCTTTTCTCCAGTAAAGTTCTGATGAAACTGAATCAAAGTAATCACACTGATCAGAACATTTATGAACCAAATGCCTGCAGCAAGACGGAACAAGAAGCCTGTGTGCCAACATTGGCAGCTGTTATTAGTGTTTTAAGTGTGTTGACAATGCTGTTAACAGTCAATACACATTCAGATTCATTGCCGCTTTTTATAAAACTCACTTTTTGTCTATTTAACACTTGCAATCAACATCCTTATTCCCAAAAATACATTATGAAGAAAGTTGAAGGTGGGGTAGGCAGGATTTCGTTATAAAAGTATCTTATTGTGTGGTGTAAAAATCTTTTAAAATCAGTCAATAGCTATTAGTTATTGATGACATTTGGTAATATAATGAAATCGCTGTGTTTTGTTATGTCTGTGTAGTCAACATTTAAAATTTTTTGAGCGGCCCGCTCATTCTAACTGTAAACAAAATCATTCTTCGCCCCCCCTCCCCCAACCTGATTGGTTGTGAGGCAGACACTGCTCCCTCATGTTGTGAGGCACACGCCACGTCCTTAAATGACATGCATGAGCCCAAACAAAGTTAGCTTGCTACAACATTAGACAGTAGAAACCCACCAGAAAATACGGAAAACACAAGCAAGAAAACAAAGTAAATACTGGAGACTCTGGCGGAATAACGAGCGCTTAAAACGGAGATAGACCGGACAAGAGCCAAGAAGCCAGGTCAACATCAGCATAAACGATGGGGAACACTTCGGGATCTTAAAGACCCTGTAAACTTTCTGCTGGACAGGTAAACTGCTTTAACAAAGTAAGCCAAGTGTCTGTAACAGAAGTCTTTCTTGTTAAATGGGACCTGCTATGTCCTGGTCCTGAACTATGTCACTTTATCCTTGTTTTAGAAGTCCTGCAAACATGGTGTTTGCTGGTCATCTGTTGGCATCTATAGTAGCACCAATGCTTTTTACTTTTATGTTGACTGGGACCCCCATGTGTAATTATCTGAAGTATTTATCTGCATTATATCTGAATTTAGTTGGAATGATACGAGTGAGTGAGGGTGTCTGTGTGTAGGCGGGGCTTGCTGGAGCAGAGAGGGAGGGGAGAGGAGGAGCTGAAGGGAAAACTGGTTTGGAGGGGTAGTGTTTAGATTCAAGATTTCTCCCAAAAACTGGCACTTCCTCAGATCCTGCCTACCCCACCTTTAAGGTTGACAATATCCATAAAAATACAACTTTTTATAGAAAGAAACCACCTGTAGCCATGAGGGTCGGATAATTTAGTCTGTTTAACGCCTATCATAGGTTTGGATTTTGCGCCTCAAAGCTGTATTTAATACCAGAGTCATCAAGATATCCTGGCTATAAATGATGTAAACACATTTAGTCTAGTACCATCACTTAGATACATTGGAATTCAATACTCAAGCTCTTACTCTCTGCGCTCATGCCAGCAGTCGTGTTGTTGTTATGTTTATCCCTCTCAACAGGTGAAGAATAGTGGAAGGGTGTGAGGCGTGAAAGACTGGAACTCAGGGGGGTCGCTGGAGGAATGAATGAACTCCGCTCTCCAGTAGAACAAGGTATTTGACCACCACCTGATGTTTTGGATGACTCTGCTGAGCACGTATACCCAGAGTCTTCAGAAAGAAACTATTTGTAGATGGTTTTCTGGACACTAACTTGTCATTATTGCTCACATTTAATGCTCCTTGCACCTTAATCTTTGCTGATTTGAAGCTTGGAAGGACTCTGATACTTTTTATTAATCTTTTTATAAAGTGCTATCTCAAAACACTTGACAAAAGTTCAAGTCTAGGTGGCTCTTCTTTCTATCTTTAAGTAATGCATATTTTTTATAAAACATAAAAAATCCAACTTTTTAGTGAGATGAGAACTAAAACTGTTGATACAGTCGAGTGCTATCGCAATTTTAGAGAGAATAAAGAACTTTTCAAAAAAGGTGCTGTGAATCTCTTGGGGAAGTTTAATTTGGTACTGAATATGTGGTACCTTACAGACTCAGGGTGAATGAGAATATAATTGCACAGTGGTATGTAGGTCTAAGAAAGGGTTAAGTGCATTTACACCCCTGGAGTTGCTGTGACAGTGTTACTGTTAACCGTGAGCAGGCAGGAGGACGAAACCACAGACAGTTAGCACACAGCCGGCAGGAATAAGGACAAGACTGAATGTTTATATTATCATATCCTCTCATTACCATATTAACAGTGGGCACAAAAACCTGGCCCCTGCACTTAATGCAATTAAACTCCAGTTGGACTCCGAGGTCACAGCTACATTAACTCTGATCCTTCAGAAAGTCCAAATAGATCAGTTTCTCAATGCACAACATGTGATATATATTCAGTCTGTGCAAGGAGGGTCAACAATGTGAGGGTGTTATTTTATCAGCTAAGTGAGCAGTTTCGGTGTGCAGGCGTTCGCTGTATTTTCAAATTATTTCTTCATGCTCTGGCTAAACCCAGGATTGATTTTGCTTAAATGGCATTTACACTCTTAATTTAAAACTCTGAAGTTATCACAAAGGGGTATAAAATTACACTTACAATCCTGCTTGTCCTCGCCACAGAGAGGCAGTCATTATTAGAGAGGCTACGTTTATCATTATACTGTTAATACGAGCAAGTGTCACACAGATTTGTCTCCCTCACTGTTCTGCACAGCACTGTTTGACAGATGGGGAGGACTGAGCCCAGCACAGGTTAACATACGCTATGGCAGGATGCTAATTCCCATATCTGTACAGCGGCATGCTGTTTACATAATATTCTGAGGGGAGTTGTGAACCTCATACTGCATGCTATTTTACATCATACACGCTGCAATTTCTACATTACTGGGCATGCACACAGCTCACTTTAATCAATGAGTCACGCAGTATATAAATAAAACACGAGTGTAAAACATACAGGCAAGCGCTAAGAGGTTCTGCTCATTGGAAACGCAAGAACAGGCAGGACGTGTGATTTGCAGCTTTTAACTTGTCATGACTGTTGGTTCCAGACTCCCAGAAACAGCTGATCTTCAGGGACTTTGGCATGCCCGAGTGTCTATATTTAACCAGGAGTGGCGTGAGAAACTGAAGCAAACATGCAGTCAGGGCGGCACGGTGACTGAAATGATGCAGGGAATCTTGTTTTTTTTTTTTTTTTTTTTTTTTTTTTTCATGACATGGGTCAGACTCACTTTCAATCAAATCAATCAATGAATCATTATATTTAAACTGCACTAAATCCTAGTAACAGTTATCCTATGAGTATGTGAATAAAGAGCAGGTGCAGAAACTACTTTTTGTGTTATAATTTATGGGATCTTTACAAAAATCAACTGAGCAAAAATGAGACATGACCAGAATCAGACCTGTCTTCTGCCTGATGATAGACTGGACCACTTCAGTAGCTTCATTGGCACTTCTACTGGTTACATGTGCATTGCGTGACAGTTCTGTGCTCTCTCTCTTATCCACACCCACCAGCTGCATTTTCAGAGGGCGGCACTGCCAGACGACTAGTCAGGACATAATCAGTGGTTTTCCACCTCCATAATGAGTGTCTCTTCTTCCGTGCTGTCTTCGATGAATTCTGGAAATCTCTGACTCGTTGATTAAGACTTGGCGCCACACACCATGACATATACTGATGCGGTAAAGCATAGTTGGTCACACAGGCCGTCATTAAGATTTCAAGAGAGGCTTTCTTCAGTAGATTTTTATCAAGGTAACAAAAGTGTTTGTATCTGCTTCTGTTTTTTTTTAGAAAATATAAACTTTATTGCTATCGTTGACAGTAATAAAGTGGAACATCATCAACCAGACACATCCTCTAGGGTTTTCATCTGGAATAGAGTTGTATTGCAGCATCTATGTGACGTGACGATCAGCCCCTCTGAAACCTCCAACAGAAACTTGACAATGTGTGAGTGTGAACAGTACAATTGTGTACAATTCTGGGAGGGAGTCCGTGGAATTTTCCTGAAATATTCCAATGTGCACGTGTGGAAATGATTTAAGTAATGCTAGACTCATTGGTGGACAACCATCTGCCTCAACCAGCTGGGCTGAAAGTGTGGTGGACGGGTAAAAAATAACCCCAATACAATCTGAGATAGTTTTGATCCACCGTTACTGAAACACGCAAAAAAAACAAAAAGGCTGTACCAGTCACGGTTGACAGCAATCTGTCACAACCAGCTGGAAATTATGATAAACAGGAAATCAAACATAGATTTAGTTCGTACTGGACATTACTGTAAAATTTCCTGTTTATAGGCAGATGCTTTAAATGGACAAAGACGTGTTGGTAGATACCCATCTGGCTATCAAGTCAAAGCAATTCAAAGCAAGAGTTTACTCATGATTATCATCTCTAAGATGTCTCGTAGTTAATTGTTTAATGGAAAATATAAAACATTGATATTTTTTACAAGACAGTAAATTGGCCTGAAACTGATTGAGCTGATCATTAAAGTAAAAAGGTAGAGGCAAAGGTAGTCTGAATTATCTTTATGAGGGTTTATTTGTTGTGCAGTATATCCAACAAGCGACACTAAACAGATCAGAGTAGACCAGTTAAAAACACACAACTAACGCACACACACAATTACACACTTAATCTTTGAAAAGCCAACGACAACAAGGACAAATCAGTTTTGGAGTCTGTTTGTTCTGAAAGTTGGCAGAGCGTATCTGTGGCTGGACAGCAGCGACTTAAACTCACTGAAACAACAGAATCTAATGGTCGTATAAACACTTTGCAAATAACCTCTCAGTACGCATCTTATTTGTTTCAGACATTCCGTGAAAATTACACATGCTTCGACATGCTGCTATGACAGGCTGTCACTTTGAGCAATGGCTCGTCATCGTGGCGCCCATGGGCAGTGTGAATTGAGTCGCACAGCTGGAGTTATGTTAAACGTAAGGCAAAGTGACAGAAATGCTAATCAAGTATCAAAACTGACACCGCTTTCCCATCAATGCACATCAGACCCTCAATGATTTATTAGCCAAAGTGAAAGCATGTGTCACTGTGTTGAGTACTCATGGGTAAACACACACACACACGCGCGCGCACGCACACTCGCGCTTAGAGCTTGAACAGCACTCTGCTGATAGCGCAGCTGAAGAGTAACTTTTAAAAATAGGTAAGCCACACGCAATCTATCTCAGCAAGTCTCTTTAAAGACCTATTATAAGAGCAGAAGGTAAAGGGTGCTGTGTGTCACCACTTCAAATAGGTTCTTCTGCTGAGTAAGCCCCGGTGCCCTCCCCCCTTTCTCCAACTCCCATTCCCTTCCTGTCCCCCAGATCAGAGGGAGGACGGAGAACTGCAGCAGACCTCAATTACCACACCGCTCATTCACAATCCTTCATTGAGCTCCTCAATTGCAGCTCACTACTGCATCCGTTTTAGTCAGGATATTCCTGCCAAAGCCGCAGGGAACCGGGGGTGGAGAGGTTAAAGACTCCACCGAGTTCTGGCACAAGAACCGAGAGGGGACGACGAGACATAAAGGATAGGCAAGCTCTTTCTTCTCCCTTTTACCCCCACACTGGATAATATTTGCATCATGGACAGAGGAGAGCAGAAAAAAAAAAGTTGCCTGCTTGCTCTGTCTCCACTTTGGTGTTGCCAATTAATTCTGAATTTCTTTGTGAGTGGATTGCTGGAACAGGGCCTGGTTTGATGGATAAACAATGCTCCAGTGCATAATTTAGCTGCATAGAAGTGAAAACATAAGATCCATTCACTCGTTCTCTCTCAGTTGTATTCTTAGCATCCACTTAAGCTGACTGCAGGGTTGTAATGAGATTACTGTGATTGAACAAGAGAAAAAAAAAAACTGATAATTGGACAGTTTTTTGACAGTTGAAGTTCTGCAACACCATGTAATCACACCTGCTCCCCTATGCAATAAAGACTATCACATATAGTGATAAATATTGGAATAGCTGCTTTCTGCATAATTCATACATCTTAACATCTGAGAGAATGCCCGCCCCCGCCAGGACGTTTCATTGGCTGCCTCACGAATCAAGACGAAGCCCCTGCTGCCAAGTTTTGCTGCTATAGAGGGTTTGTTCATTTTTAATAGCAGGGGGAGAAAAAATAGAATGGCTAATGATGTTGATTATTCAGTTGGGCAGACCAACATGTTTGGTTTTCTTTGAGAAGAGTGTGATTCATCACAGAATCATTGACTTCCCATATAGAGCCCACTGTCCTTATGCCAGCACACACACACACACACACTCACACACCTACACACAAACACACACTAAGGCACAATTATCTCTCAAGGATCCTATTTGCATTAAGTTTCTGCAACAACTTTAATGGTGTTTATCGCCATCAACAAGAAGCCTTTGTTCAGGGATGTAATTAATGCAGAGCCTTTGATTACTTCAGTGGAGAAGACACTGAAATTAATATTCTTCTCAAGGCAAAATAGATTTCCACAAAATCATAATTATGTATAATGAAATCCCTCCAACCATGACCCCTGGTGTCATATGTATACCTAGATATTTTCTCTCTTTTAGACTGATCCCTTTGCTCTGAGGGAGCAGTTCTGTGGGTATGACGCTTGCTTTTCTGCAAACACTGTGGACAGTAGAAGCTGTTGTTGCGTGACAGTAGCCCACAGCAATTTATGCTTTCATGTGAAAAGTGAAGGGAAGAATGCTGCCGGAGATTAATGGTACATAAACAATATAAATGACTGTGTAAGCATGGAGGCGCTGTCCCGTATATGTTCATGCATTTATTCATAAATATATATCGGCGTAATTCAAAGTCTAATCTCTAAAGACACATGCAGGTTTGATGGTACATTTGCACTTAAAAAAGCAAAGTTGCTTGTTAAAAGTTGATGATATACAGCCGTACTGGAATAAACACATGCTGAAAATCATAATAATTCTTCTGATAATGATGAAACCGAATTTGATCTGTGTTTGCAGAAAGCTGTGTGCTGCAAACACAAATCTCTGGCAATGCTCTGCTTATCGAGAGTGACTCATTTTCTCCTGTGTTTCATTTCAAACAGGTTAGTTACAAACCCTGATTTGCTAATGCTGCTCCACATATGAGGTGTTTACTATCATTTCAGTTCATAGAAAGATACAAAGCACATTCTTGAAATGGGGTGAATTTTTGTTGTACTTTTTCATTTGAAATTGCCCCTTTAAGCTCTTTTTTTCCACCAGGAAAGAGTCATGGGCTGCAGGAGTTTGCAGAGTGAGTGAACATTACAGGCTCTTATGAATCTTCCCCAAATCAATTTACGGCCCCCTGAGGTTTCCTAATGGAATGCAAATGTAAGTATACCGCAGGGAATAGTACCTTTAATTAATTTGGACATAGACCGCCCGTTTTGGACGTGGGATTGAGGTGTAAACAGATGCTCGGCAGTATCTCCTCCATGTAATAAAGATGTCCCTGTTGCACTCCCAAATAGCTCCAATATGCAAGAGAGGAAATTCACCCTGTGCGCCCTGATTTATTTGCTGTTATTAATGGGGCGGTGTTGAAGGAAGTGGTCTGTGGCTGCCAGCACAATATCTGACCTCTGAGAGAGCATTAAATCAAGGCATTAGGGAATGCGGTAATAAAGAGGCCAGCTTAGGCACTGAACGTGCTCCAAAATAAACAAACAAACTAACCACTACACCGGAAAGAGGAGGCTAAAATCACACCCAGAGGCCCCTGTCATACAAATGTAGGCGGCATGGGAAGTTCACCACCATGTTTCAGAAACCGCAAGAGCTGCTAATGGTTCACGGTGAAATGTTGTAGGTCGGGCGTCATGGTACATGAGACCTCTCTGTTCTTTTGATGGCCAGGGGAGAAAAAAAGAGAGTTCACCACAATCGCACGGTGGTCAATTTACTCTGATGTTACTCTCATGTTTGGGACTTCAAATGGTACGATATCTTTCATACATCCACCGTGGGGTATGAAAAGACATAAAGGTAGTCACTATCATTGAACTGCCTCAGAAATTATGAAAAGTGGGAATCTGAGGGGACATCTGAGAGGAATAAATAACAATACTATAAACCGTTAGCTTAATTTAGCTTAAAGTAGCATTCAGCCACATATTAGCAACACATTTAAAGCTCCTTGAAGAATTTTGTGGACAAAACAATGTTACCTTATCTTGTTATACACATGTGTACGTAATGGCTTGTATCAAACAATTCTTTTGACAGCCAAACATTTACGTTTTTGTGATAATTTAATGTGGCAATTGTAAAACTTTACACTTGTAATATGTTTCTTTTCTCTCCAATCTGCCCAAATAGTATCTGCATTAGATTTTTCTTGTTCTCTCGACTTATTTTTGCTTTGAAGTTTTTTCACCTGTGCTCATTGATTTCTCTTCTTTGTTTGTTTTGCCATAGTAACCGTTGACTCCCAACTCAGCAGGGAGCACAGAAACAGTTCAGATTACGCCTACTCTCTGTATCGAACCAACCACTGCTGGGTGATGGACACCTCTTGTGATTATTCCTGGGATGGCGATATGACACCCTGTTTGTTTCAATCCAGAAGAAAGGAAAAGAAAGGGCTTTCATCGTTGAGTAACTGGCTCAATCACGACTGTATTGACTAATTAGAAAAAAAGAAAAGAAAAGAAAACACCAACCTTACAGGTGTTATACTTTACATGCTGTACAGAAGAAGAAAAACACAAAAGTGTGACTTCTAAACAAACTCTTAGTGTTGGCCATGACCATTACCCTCCCTCAGATCAGTCACTTTAAGCAAACAATGAACCAAAGATTGCAGCCCCCCCACATTTTCAAACAGTCTCCTGACTCCCACTCACATCTACTTGATCTTTCTGTCAAGGCTTACTGTTTGCACAAGGCTTTACACTTTTCTTTGATCACACAGTGCCAATGATCTGTGAAGCTCATATGTGCTCAGTATATTTAAGTTGAGTGAATGCTGCATTTTTTTGTAGCTATTTTTACATCAAGAACAGTAATTTAAATATCTAAATCAAGCCTCAGCGGGCAGATGTTGACATCCGTGAAGATGTTATTTAAAACATATTAAAGACAAAGTCGACCCTAGAGGACAATTTAAAATGTTTATCATTTGATGGATGAGCTATGGAAGTAGATGGTGTACCAAAATAAATCAGAGATACTGACTATGATCACATTTCAGGGAATAGTGAACCATTATGGCTCAACTTGAAACTCATGAGTGGGAACACCGCTGACTTCCAAGAGGATCTGAGAGGTACAAAGAGTTGCCAAGAGCATTGTGTTTTACAGGTGGCCATAGTCAGATTTATCAACAAATGGCATGCATTCAGAATGGCTTGTTTACATTATAACATGATGGTAGAAGTCACTAACCAAAGCTAAAGCCCTGGATATTAGCATATGACTGGGCTGCAGCTTGGACACAACATGTGGCCAGCAATTTGAGCCTGGTACCAACTAACTAAGATGACAAGGTTTGATTATTCAGATGGACTGAAGAGGCACATCCCTAACCTTTCTGCTTTTCCACGTTTTTATCTACCTCAGGAACAGACACATTTTCATCGCAGTCGTTTCCCATCATGCCAGCTAACCTTGCATACTTCCTAAACGGACATGATAAAAGTAACTGACATGTAAAGAGACCTTTCTCTCTTAACTGTTGTATGCAAAGACTAACTGCACAGCATGTGTGCTTAAAGCGTTTTCTGATTGTTTTGGATCATTGGAGTTGGGATGTCATCGTTGTGCATGTTCTACAGATTATGAAATGATGATTCATTGTGCATATAAACTCTGCGGGGGAAATGTAAAATTACTTATTCTGTGTTTTACTCAGGACCCGTTTATACATACCCAATTATTTTCAAAAACTGAGACATCAACCATCATTTGCACCCTTTGTTTAGACGCAAACTGAGAATTTCCCCCTGAAAACAATGCTTTTTAAAAACTCCGGCCAGAGTGGAAATTTTGGAAAACTCTGTTTGCGTGTTTGCATGTAAACAGAGAAAAACTGAGATTTGGGTAGCCGACAGCAGATTGTGCGCTGGAAACTGGGTTAAATGCGACGTTGTTAACAATCTATGGTAATCATTAATGCATGCAAAATAGCAATCGCATTTTTGCTGGTGCAATCCTTTTGTATTTGTTTGTACTTGCAAATGCAAGTGCTGTACCATGTGGAGGAGCAGAGATGACTGAGTGCTATGCTTGATTCTGATTGGCTAACATAGGCTTAAGCTTCTCTGTACACTGCCACCTACGGGTTAGTATAAATGAAAACTTTACTGAAAATGTCGTGGTGTGCATGCATTTTTTTTTTTTTTTGTAAATGGCGAGGGTGAAATGTCTGTTTATGAAAATAGCTAGGCATGTGTAAACGTAGTATTAAAAGCTAAGGTAACAGCTTTGTACTGATTTTAGTGCCCCCCTGTGGACTTCTTAAATCTCTGTTGAATTTCCTCTGACATACAAGAAAATATCATCCTGCTGTTTTCAGACATACAAATCTCTCAAGATTAAATTGTGCTGTTAAAATGTAGACAAAGTCCATTTAACAAGGTGCCGCTAATGGCCTCTTCTAGCGCCCACACAGCAGCAATGTTACATTGCATTAAAAAGTCGAATCAATCAATCATATGCTGGTGGTCTCTTTCACATGTGGAGGTTATAACAAGTTTATAACTGTCTATTGATCTTGTTTTGCACAAGATTAAAACGCTGCACTGGGAGGCTCACATTTGGCGTAAGAATTTATATGTTTTACATTTGACCCTAAATTATATCGAAACATGATTTCTGAGGAGTAGTGAAGGAATAAAGGTCAATCATCCTCCACCATGCCATTTATTATCATATATTAAAACCTCCCACGCCCAAGGATATTTAATTGTGTTGTATAATATCAATATAATATACGTTTCATCTATGTCATGTTTATATACCACTCACTTCATCTCCGTGATGGTTCTTCATGTTTCTCTGACTTTCTCTAGGTTCAGCTATTCTACCGTGTATCGTGTTGTAGTTGGTGGTCTGAGATCTTTCCCTGTTTTTTATGCTCTAAGCTCAAAGACCTGACATTCTTTTTTTTTTGTAATTGTTTTCAACAACAGGGGTCTGAACGATTACCTTAATTTTCACCACATGATCCCTCCTCACACTTGGAAAAAATTGACAGAACTTGCGAGGACAGCGTTGCGCTTTTCAGATTTCAGCTTTCACGTCAGGAAAAAATGACTGCGGAAACAAAAAGCAATGAAGTCATGGAGAAAAAGAGCCATGTCTGACTCTGTGGGTAAGCACTTATTCAGGGCAGGGGGCATGGCCTCTTGGATGTTGAAGTGCCGGCGCAACCCACTGTCTCATTATTACTGTGAATAATTTGCCACCACGCCTCTGCAGACATTCCTCTGTGGACTAAAGAAAAGCAAGCACAAAAGATTTATAATATCAGAATTTTTTTTTTCCTTTCTTTATTGACACTGATCTGACTGCCTCCGTGAAGAAATATAACACAAAGTAATGTTTTCTTTAAAGAAAACACTTACTGATTTGGCTGGAGAGCAATTAGACAAAATTGGTTTGAAAGTAGATGAGTGTTTAAGATAGTAGTTCTCAATCTAAGCCCTCTGGACCTAGATGCCTGCTAGTTTTCACTCTGAACATGTAATCAGGAAGTGATGCACACCTGGGACACCAGGTGAAGGCAATTACCTGCAATCAGCTAGCTGGCAGGACATGAGGAAGCGGTGCTCTGGAGCCTTAACAGCGAAGTAGCTAATGATTCCTCAGTGGTGCGGTAAACACCCTGTGGAGCTGCTTTTAATGGTGTAGTTTCGTACATTTGGTTGTTTGGGGGTAATGCTAAGATAGGTTACAGCATCATGCCGATCCATTGACGTCAGATTGTAAAAAAAAAACCTTCCAAACATCCTAAAGTTAACAATCATGGCCAAGCTATGCATGAGGAATCCACACGTACCGCGCGCAGGCTTGTATGACACAAATGAATGATGTCTCTTTGCTTTAATAGTACCAGTGTTTGACGATCCATCTGTTCAAAATGTGACAATTCAACACCAAAGCCCTTGAAATAACATACGCACATTACAACCAAGACAAATTACCCTCTATATTATTAAACTCAAGGTGTGAAATTCCCTCCTCTGGCATTGCTTAACTAATTACCATGGCACATTAATTTTCTCAACCCACAAGCCTTTGTTGAGTTTACCCAATGCGCAGAGTGTCGGGTGCCTGTTTATGCCTGTAAAAAAGGAGGTGTTCGACAAATCAAATTTAAGAGAAAGCAACTGGCTCAGAGCTCAGACAATGCAGAGCCGGCAGCAGCTGCTTCATTTGTATTCTGGAGATGGTATCAGAAATTTAGGAAATGTTAATTGGAGACAATGTGTTAAGAGGCAGATACGGTCTGACATGTAGCCAGCATAATAGTATTAAGGATTATTAATTATTGCAGTACGCTAAGGGTGAAAAAAACAGAATGCCATCTTTAATCCATAGAAATACTCAAGAGATGGAGGAGATAGCAGTGAATGCTAAACATCTGCTTGGACAAACATGCCCTTAAAACACGTCTCTTCTGCATACAACAGTGGACGTGATGGCAAAGTGTTCATTTATGACAGAGTGCGCAGCCCCGGCAAGACACTGATTAGAAAGGCTCCTATGAAATAAGCTTAAATTTTGCCACAAACCTATATTCATTTGGTTCTGCGGATTGCTACATCCTGCTATCTTGGCACAGAAATCCAGCATGACATGAGAGTGTACTCTGCCCTTTTAAAACGAGGGTTAATCTCCCTTTCTTTCGTGAAGAAACCTCAATCTTCCAGTGACCAGCATGTCTCATATGATGCTGCGGCTGAGCCATAAATTGAATTAAATAAACCCATTAGTCACAGCAGCTACCTTCTCACCTCAGCCCAGATACACTTTCATGGTAAGTCTGTCCTTTTTTATAAAGACCAGAGGACAAGAGAGCGCAGGGCTGTGATGGCACAGTAACCTTGAGCCGCAAGACAGAGCGCGTGTCCTTGTTCATTACTCAAATCAATTAAGAGGGCCTGTTTGCTGCACTGCACAGCCCCCACTGTGTTCTGCAGGTGTTTAAAAGCAAATGTATGCTCTCTCAAAAATCAATTCATACTTAGGATTCTGCCTCTCCCTTTCTTGTAGACATGAGACAAACCAGAGGTCGATCAGAGTAGAAAGCGACTATCTGGAGATTCGCCATGGGCGTACTTAAAATGCATGCAGCGACTTAGTCAGTGCAGTTCACATGAACTTCTTTATGAAAAAAAAGAAGCAGAGAGAAGAAGTCAAGGATCTTAATCCTGCAGCAGCCTGAGAGCAGACAGCTCTGTTTTTACACTTTTGTCCCTGACAGTCTCCTCAAATAAAAACACACTGGATTTTGGCTCGGGATTTTATATTTTACGGTGATGAAGTCTTTGCTTACAGCAAAAGCTAAAAAAGGGCGTCAAGGCATTTTTCACATTTTAACAGGGAGAGCAGAGGGGCACTAACAGTGGGCTACAGATACTAACCTGCTGATGCTGGTCATTTTTCAAGGGCAGTGACTGTTGTTGTCCATTGATGATAGCTACAGAAGTGTGGCATGAGCTTATTAACACTCAGAGTCCCTTCAAATAAGACTAATGTTACAGGTCCTCTGTCTGTGTTTAGGACTTTAACGTCATGGCTTTGGCAAAAGGCTTGTGGTAGTAACAGAGACACACTGGATTAAAGGGCTGATAGCAACACAACAACAATGTTTGTGTAAAGAAACATGATGCTTCAAGTGATTTTTTTTTCTTCTGAGCTGTCATAAAAGACAGAATATCTGTTTAAAAGTTAAGTAATGGAGCACCAGTTTGGTGAAATCCAACACCTCAAAGGCTGCAGTCCTCAAAGACGGCCAACCAGGGAGTGATTCCAACCTGCAGCCCTTATAATCCTTTACACACTTCATCCACTGTCCTTATCTTGATAGAAACCACAAAAAGGAACTTAAAAGAGTCAGTGAGGCTAGAAATTCAAGGCTGAATTAGTTCTATGCTAAATTTAAACAGCAATGTTTTTTTTTTTTTTTTGAAATTCTCTTTTTATTGAGATAGGCAGATCTCCATCACATACAACACTTCACACATACCGTACTTCCATTTCTCAAGGATATAATGATATTGTACAAACTGCCCTTCTGAAGCTTTCTTCCACAGACCAAAACCGTTTCAGGTGGAAGCAATAACATAAAAACAACAACAACAAAAAAACAACAACAACATAACCGGGGAATGCATCCCTACATGTAATCAATGTACCGTATACAAAAAATATGAAATAAAAGAGGGTAGGGTCACACAAAGCATAAGTATGGTCAAATAAAATCTGATCTGATTGGTTTTACATACTCAGTCCGTTTGGACCAGATCCTATAAAAATTTTCTTTTTCAACTTTGAAGGAAAAAGAGATCTTCTCCATTACATAAATTTCATACACAATTTCAATTCATTCGTCAATGGTGGGAGGTTCCACTTTTAACCATTTCCTAGTGACACATTTCTTGCTAACTGCCAACAATATGGTCAGCAGTTTTTTGTCTTTTTTAGTCCATGTTTCAAACATTATGTTGCCCAAGAACATAGTCTCACATTTTAGTGGAATGTTCACATTAAATATATTTTTAATGTTTGCGGGTCTCTTCCCAGTAAGGTTTTATTATTTGACAGTCCTAAAAACTATATGAGTAATGGTTTTATATAAAAGCCAAATGTTGATCCTATTAACCTTCAAACCCAGGTACATGTGCAGGTATGCTTTTTAGTAGTAATTGAGATGCCTTGTATTTTTTTCACAATCATTTGAGTCATCATGCATATAAGATGTAGCTTAGAAGTCCTTATAAATGTGTGATCATGCATTTCTTGGCATAATAGGAAATAAACATAGATGCTCACTTTGAACCAGTATTTTTTTTTGTTTGTTTTTTTTTCTGTGATGTCTACAGACGTCTATCTAAATGTGTTCCGGTGGAAAAATAGACATAGGGCAGGTGCAAGGCAATAAAAAAAAAAAAAAAAAAAGCAGCAGCAAAGACGACAAGCAACACACTTAACTCCAAGCCACACGAAGCTTTAATAATACAGCGTTTTAGCTCAGGCAAGGACCCAGGTGTCAAAATGTTGCATTATTGAAGCATTGTGTTGCACAGTGCAAGTGTGCACACACACATCTCTTCTTCCTTGCCAGAGTCACTACTTGCACCAGCTCATCATGCCAAATATTTTCATTTAAAACATGGACGGGCTCTTAAAAATAGCAACATATGAATATTTGCACTTTCAGGCGGTAGAACATGGGTTTTATGTCTTTTGTCTCAAACTTTCTTCGAGTTTTTGAATCATCAGATTATGTGGACAGCCCTTTAATGGCGAGGTATGAAGCCCACTGAGCAATAGACATAAACTGTGAGTTGCATAACTGATCTCCAGGTACTTAACCAAAATAATTACGAAAGATGTTGAGCATATAAATATATATATACAGTGTAGTATAGATATAGCCCGGATTTAGATTTAGTCTAAACTTGGTCTAAATTTAGAAGTCTAAAAAACTTTCATTTTTAGACCTGTGGTAGCCTGATTTTGGACCAGTTGTCTAGGCTACATTTAGACATCTATTAGACCTCTTTTAGACCAAAAAATGCTCAGTGGGAGCAGTATGCAATGTACAGAAAATGTCGGCGTGTAAGCGTAATAGTGTTATTTTCTTTTTATAATATCCTTCCATGAGAAGTTACTCTCTTAAAAAAACTCCAGTGGTATTTGTCTCATTTTATTTTCAAATGTTTAAGGCTGTGAAGAGCCGGCTATAAAGACCTAATTTCCTCGACAGCTATTTTCTTGTGACGTCACATTGAGGACAGCAGTGGGAATCCAGAAATATTGAACCACATTTCAAATGAAAAAATGAATTTGACAACCCTTTGGCTAACGTCAGAACGTTGCTAACTTAAGCATTCAGGCCACATTCACCCCAGGGCAGCACTTAAGACGCTATTATTAGCAATCTTTACATTTCCTATCCCACTGAGTCACATGTCATTGCTTCTTTGATTGTGAATGGTTGCTTTATGTATAACTGAGGACAATAAATCACACATACCAGCGACTTCACAATCCATGACTTGGACTCATGGCTGACAGCAGGTACCAACCCTATTAGACAGTCACAACACATCCGCTCTTCCCCTCTAAATCCCTAACGCAAATAATCCAAATCATCCAGGGAAAACAATCACCTCTTGATATAACAGTTAGCAATTAGCATAATCCCTGAAAGTGTCCTTTTGAATTTCACTGGCTTAATCAAAGTCTTGGGGGAGTTTAGTGTACCACAGCGTGTGTTAATGACTTCCAAAACGCGAAGTCAGTGATATGCTCCAGCAGGAAGTTACAAAATCAGGATTTCACTGGTTATGATTTCCACTCAAAGCGCCACTCTGGCTGTCTGTGCACTATGTAAGAGGTGTGTTGAGTGCAGTTTACAGATCTAATACCGGGCTTATAAACATGGTTTCACACTGTGCTAAAATTATTCCAACGGAATACCCCATGGTGATTTGAGGGAAAGAAAGAGCATGAATAAGTAAACAACATAAAGCGATGAGAAACTTCAAAGGCGATGGGACAATCACAGCAAACACAATCCTGGAAGCCAATGAATGTGTTTGTCTTTGTTTGTGACAGTGACTCAGGGGTGTAAACAGAGGAATTAGCCCGCACCTCCGGAGTCTCAGCACATCACAAAGCTGTAATTGAATTAAGTCTGTCAGCTTGTTACAGAAGTCTAGATGCTGTGAGGAGCAAAGATGCTAACTTTTCCATGTTAAAAAAAAAAAAAATGGCTGAAGTGGCAGCTGTGCGTATCAGCCAGCGCTAGATGCTAATTTATGCAGTAACACAAAATAGCCAAGGTTTCTTGATGGGGAAAAAAGCCACAAGCTGCATATTTCTGCTATGTCCTCCTGCATAATGGTCACAAGATAATGCTGCCTATACTTTTGGGAATGGCAAATATTTTCATTCCCCCTCCCCTCAGCATAAAAGCACCACAGGCACCTATCAGCTCACGGACACACATTGAAACATACTCCCAGCAGTCCCTGTATCTTGGCTTCATGACCATTCCTGTCAGGGTTTCCCCTTTGACTGAACAAATGCATCAGCTTGTGTCACGGGACCACATCCCTCGCAGCCAATAAGGAGCACGAGCGGCGCAAGTGCTCCAGGAGATGTGGAAGGAAAATTGGAATCTTGACAAGTATGATTGACATGCGTGTTTGTCCCTAGGTAGTCTTATTTGCAGAGATTTAAAGATGCCTGTAAAGCAGCGCTGTGCTGAAACAGAATCATTGTTCCTCCAGACTAAAAGCACATCATGGAAATTCTGTTGCATGCAAATAATCTTTTGGGAGAGATGAATCCCCTTGAGCATAAAATGACTTCAGCTTATACTTTATTTTGGGGCCAAAATAAATAATTTAACAGCCGAAACAATGTCTTTCATTTTCAGACAATCTGGCCATGTCATGGAACAAAAACACAAGCCCAAGTCCTCCCCTCTACTCTGTCAAAAATGCAGGAGAAGACTGTCCTGAATTTTATCAGGCTCTTTTGATGGACACAAAAATAAAGTGGATATGAGAGTTGATGGTGAACCATAACCTGAGGCCACTTCATAGCGATGGAAAGAAGGGAAAAAAAATGGAGAATTAAATTCTAACCATAAGTAAAATAGACTTCCACTTGAAAGCATCGGAGTGTAGCTACAGCAGGGCAAGAGAAAGAGATAGATGTGTGTGTGAGGGAGAGGAGGAACGCACATGAATTCTGAGCAGGACCGACGGCAGGATGAAATTGGCTATACCCATTAACTGCTCGAGTTTTTTCTCTCTCTCTCCATATGCTAAAAGGATGGAGTGGTATTACTGCTTCCATAATTCTCACGTTACAATAGAAGTGGCTAGAATAAGATCAGACCAATCTGTATTGCTGGAATGGAATGAAAAAAGAAGCCTCCATTCAGACAAAACAAAACTCTACTGAAAGGAGGAAAAAAAAAAAAAAACGAGGTAATTCAGCACAGTGCTCTGTACTTTATACTGTTGATCCACCATATCATTAGCAGACAATATGAAACCTGCAGAATAGCACTTTAATGGTTGTACTAATTAGCTCTGCTGAAATAGTTCAAGCTTTGTGCTTCCACTTGTTGAAATTCAAATTGAATTTGTGCATTACGAAAAGGGCATTTCACCTGAGATTCATCAGCTCGGTACAAGATGATGAGTTTTAGGAAATCTGTGATGGTTCATCAAGCAGAAAGTGATATCAAACTGGTAAAGTGCTTCAGTGCAACCCAGGCTCTGACAGTATACAGAAACTGCCTCACTGAAGACTTGTTTACATGCTGCCTGGTTTGTATTTGGGAACAAAATTAGGGAACATATTCAATGACAGTATAAACAACAGTCTCAGAGTTGTCATAATTAACACGTCTATAAACCTTGGACTGAAAATGTACATTTAAATTTCTTGTAAATTTCACTTATTGCAGACAGACAACATGAACTTTGCGTGAAGTCTAATCACAAATGATCAGAAAACAAACACGAGCTGTTAATAATAGAATATGCCTCATATAAACAGCAAATACTCTCTAAATATGATAATGATGCAAATCCAGAAAACACAAATATATCATATAAAAACCTGCTTCAGTCTGAAACATGACCAGAGAAGTCCTCCATGCTTTAAGGGTGCTGGAAGGTGGATATAGTGGGACAAAGGTAGGTAACAGCTTTGAACAGGTTAGCTTACTAGCTGCAGGGTGTGGCCGGCTATCTTAGCTCGGTGATTTTTTAAAATTGAAACCAGGTTACAGAGACATTTGAAGATACTACTTGACACATAACAGCCATTTTTATAGAGATAGGGGTAGTTAAATTACTCAGACGTCAAATATAGGATCATATTAAAGCTTCTTTTAAGAGCTTTCAGTTTGTGTTAATTCTGGCGCCCCCTGTGGACAAATGATTCAATGCCTACAAAGTGTCATCTGACAAATATAAACTCATCCTGCTGACTTTTGACAGTCTAATGTATCATTCGTTGTATTTTTTCTAAACGTTACAAAAAAAAAAGTTATTTCTCCAGCTGCTCGGCTGACACTGACCCCCTCACACCAGTTTGAGACATTGAAATTCACAATTTAAAAGTCATCAGTCTTATTGCTAATGGTCTCATTTGTTTCTGTTTGTAATTTTAAAAAAAGCGTCACTATAAATTTTAGAAAGAAAGAAAGAAAATTTTATTGAAAGAACTTTTCAATAACTGTCTGAGCTAAATCACCAGATCTGTCCCCGCACATAAAGATATGGATGCACTTCCTCTTATATACCACTATAATAATGTACAAAGCCTACTTCAAGAGCTGAGTTACTGTCTGTTATTCCACTATTATGCTCCCAATCAGTTTCATATTCAATGATGGCTGAGAAGCATCTATTTATGAGCCAAACTCACCTCCCGGAGAAGACATCTCCAGCGAATTGATGGTTGAACACGTATGTACCAAATGCTTCTTCTTCATCACATTGATCTGATTGGTCTTGTGTGTGTGAGGAGGAGCAGGAGAAAATAGGCTGCCCCTGTAGCTGAAGGACATAACGAGTAATTTCCCCATGCTATACTGCATCCAAAGAGATGCTCAAACAAGAAAACAAACATGATTGCTCCTGTGGTAGCTCGAACCTCAGAGCTCCAACATGCTTGGGAGTTTAATCAAGTAGAAAGACAGCGTGGAATAAGAGTCTGTATTGAAGCGGTCCACTCTCTCCGCTGCACAGGGGTATGCTGCTAATTAAAAAGTTTAATTCCACAACTGCAGCACTGGCATCAGAGCACTCAGAGGTGCGTCCTTGTGAGTCTTGGCTTCGTCTTATCAGGCGTCGGCAGATTCTGCCACGTCGGGAAGGCGCAGGACAGGGAGCCACTGCAGCAGCGCACAGGCCCCAGCTGGAAGGGATGGCATCCGGCCTACTCCTGGATCTGGCCCACCTTGCTCTTTTTTTTTTCCACAATCTCCCCACTGAGTGGAGTCACAGGCTCCCAGTCAGGTGGCATGAGTCAGGGGCTAAGCTGCTCGTGGAGCAGCTGAGAGAGGGAAAGCAGGGCTAAACAAGGGATAAACGCTGGATTTAGACTTTGTGCTGCTGGGCTCTGCAGTGGATCCATGTCTACATTACACACCTCCTTGCGGCCCTGTCTTACGACCGGAGGTTGAAGGTACACAAAAAGCCTGCGCTCCAAGTACACGCTGTTCCTCTGAAGTCCCCAAGCAGCTGAATCAGATGATACACTGACACTGCCTCTATGAATAGACTTTAATATTTCACAAAAAGAAGGTGTGAATTCTTCAAAATATGGTGCAACAGAAAGGATCCATTTTTGAGATAAGGTGAGGAGTGAATGTGGTGCCCTTGGCTAAAGTAAAAGTTTTGCAGCTGCGTAGGATCTATTGATTAGAGCGCATTACAACCCACACAAAGAGAGACGTCCTTGGAAATGGAAAGACTCTTTTTGACTTTCTTTTATTAGGCTACGTCTTACAAAGCATTAAAAAAAGATGACTCGAAAAATCCAACCGCACAATATATATAAATATATAAAAAAAGGAGTCTCGGCGTACGCGGGGATCAAAACAATGTCTGCTGGGACTAATCAGAGCTGGGAGCAAACGCCGACTCGTTTCTCAGCACAGGGATGCAGGCCTGAGAGGATAAGAACATCACTCCAAAGATTTATTGGAACATCCTCTCAGCTTTTATTGCAAAGGGGTTAAGATGTCATTTTAATAACACAGAGATATTAGAGCTTGCAAACCTCTGCAGAACTTTGGTTCCTGTTCGCCGTTTGCTGATTTATCTCCAGAATTAATACCGACCGGATGAAACAGGGATGCGCAGAATGCACAATGCACAGTCAATCTTGGCAGACTTCTCCGACTTGATTGCAGATATTCAAGTTGCAGTTGACTGTCTTCATGTCATGATTAGATTTTACGTCACTTTTAAAGCTTGGAGGTTTCAGAAGAGGAAGGTAAGACATGAAACTTCTCCAAAGCAAAGTTGTTTAGATTCCGACCTGCTGCTGCTTTGTCTTTTTCTCCTTAAAATATCCTTTTAATTTAGTGCTGCCAAGAGCCGACTGTGGGGCTATGAGTTTGATAAATGATGTCCTCACCTCATAAACAGGTGAGCTTGGCAATAAATCCTTTAACACCGGGTCAAACCCACAGAGTCCGTGGTGAGACTCAGTGTTTCAGCTGTGGTGCGTTCACTGACACTAATCAGATACTCCTGCTTTTGAATGCAGCATCTACACTCATGTTACATCACTGGAGCGTCTTTTTTCGGGTTGCCCTTACTCTGCCTTTTACGGTCTGATTGTGACTTTTTTTTTAAGGACAGTAAATTGATTTTATATCCTGTAAAGCCTTATACAGAGAGGCTTTATGGGAAAATTTACAGCTCTTGAAAAATGATATTAGATTGGACATGAGTATGAATCTATTCATAGGTCTGCTCAGACGTTCAGATTAAATTTACAGACATTTCCCTGTTTATACTGAGTGTAAGGCTTCAAGCACATAATGTGATATATTGATGCTAAGGGCGTGATCTAGCTCTCTCATTTTATTTCATCTGTTTTTAAGCTTCACGGACCACAATGTCATCTAACGCAGACGAATGTAACATTGATTTCAAACTAATATTCTGCTTTTCTTCTCTCTAATATAATTGTTGCACATTTTGCATGCTTTAGCTGAGATTTCTCCCAGCTTTGTTCATAAAGGAGACTTTCTTCTTGGTGGATTTCTTAAATCAGGGTATGTATGATACAGCAGACACACTCAAGAGACAGAAAAAGGCACAAAGACGGAGCTTCTGCAAATTTTAAGATCAGTGTTTCAAAGCTACATTGATTTTTGATGTATTTCACATGGACTTTGCACAGATCTGTGCGTCTTTGCTTAAGACTGGATGTAGCTGTATCTCTGACTCCTTTATGGATTTTTTCTGCTGAGCTTAGGGCAACTGGCAAGCACATAAACACATCATGACTAAAGTCAAAGGTGAGAGTACAAACACGTATAGAATAACATAACATTTCCATCGCAACTGATCTTTTCTCAGAGGTTACAGGGGGCGTGCACAAACACCTTCATGCCTTCACATTGGCACCTTAATTTGATTATCGCTCAGCATATTCCTCAAACCATTATCTCCTTCCCAGACTCTTTCAGTGCGGATGAAAAACACTCTTCCTCCCTGTGAAAAAGACTGATAGAACTGCTCCCACTCTGCTGACTGTCCGGTTCACACATCAATGCGGAGCAGAGATCCATTGAGTCTCACTAGATGAGAAACCTCACGCCTCCCGCTGTATTATTTGATCTGGTCACACGTGCTTTTCAAGTGGAATTAATCTAAAAACGGACAATCTGACACTATTCACAATGGTGTTTTAACAGCGTGGTGGGCTGAAACTGCCTGTGTTAATCTGCCAAATGACTCAAAATGTTGAAGTGCCTGGAAAATGCATTTTTCTCATTTTGTAGTGTGATAGCTGAAGCATTTCTACATCAGAAAATAACTTATCCGTCGACCCAGACCAATATGATTTATTTTTGATGAAATTATGCTCTGTTTTCTCGTTTTCTGGTGATTACTTATACATGATAGCTTGTCAAACAGCGATTTATTTTCAATGTTTAATGTTCCTGCTTTAAAACATCATTTAAACTCTGATGTAAAGACCATTTGTTCCAATTTTGCATAATTGCCACAACAGCCAAGCACAAAACCCCATTAATAAGCTCTAATTAGGCCGCCCCTGAACCAAGAAATCTTCATATATGAAGGATAACCAGTTTCTTTTAGCAGAATTTATGAGACACATTATCTTTCCTCAAATGCTAGCAAAGAGCTGGAGTAACATTTGCTGTTTTGGTCATTATGCATCAAATGTTCCTGATCCCAGGACAGATGTAGACACCAGGTTGAGGCGGACTCAGGAGAACACATAAGTTAAATCCTTGTGGCGGTGGCTCATCCTCTTTACCCAGAAAATAGAGACAACATTAGAAGCGCCAATTGGCTGTTCCAATTCCTCTGTGTACGCTAATGATGGCACTACACTGCTAATTGCTTGTTCAAGGAAGCCCAAAACACACTGCAGGAACCGTCCAAGAGCGCTGAAAAACAGGCAAGCAGCACCAATCACCAATCTGGGCCTGTCTGAGGAGGCTCAGAACAGACGCTCAATAAACTTTGGATCCTGATGTGAATTTGAGATGTGTGCTGGATTTATGCAGCTCTCTTTCCATAGAAAAAAAGGGTCTTAATCCTTGTGAGGCTACAATCAGATGTGTGAAAAACTTTAAAGTTAAATTCAGAAATTTCAAAACAACCCTATAGAGCATGTTCACAAAAAAGAACAAAGAGCTTCATTTTTATTTAGCTCTAACATCTGGCGGGTACATCGACTGTCAGCTTTAGTTTCAGCTGGTGGTGGTGCCAGTAATCGGTCATTTGTAGTCTTCAGCCCCCATCAGCATGGTCTAGACCTGTTCTTTTTCTTTGAAAAGCGTCTTTGGATTACAGATGAATAAAATTTGATTGATTGATTGATTGATGAGGAGCTTTTTGGTTAAAAAAACGACACCTCTCATATCTTTGCCAAGCTTCTCCTGTACATATGTAAGCACTGTTTTTCTACATTAAACTTTCTGGATCACTTAGTGAATCAATGTTTTAAAACAAGGTCCTTTAAATTGCTATAAAATTATTTAGCGTTGTTGCTGTTTGTCTCGTTTGCTTTAGTAAACCACACCGAGACATTACCTTTGATATCAGTCTGTTTCATAACCAACCAAAAACTTCTCACAGGAGCTTTAAAGCAGAGTGAAGAACTTCTGGTTCACTTATCCTTTACTTTATATACAATTATATATAATATATATATTGTGTTTATTTATGATCAATCTCACTCTGCTTTCTTATTATCAGTCAAAAATGTCTCACAAATTTTAAATTTTTGCAAGGCTGTAGTGTTGGGGTCCTCTTCTTTTTTGTTGTTTAATGATACAGTGGTAGTGATGCCATGCATTTAAAATTATCATAGAAATCCTCTAAAAATCGCAACAGAGATTCTCAGTGTTGTTGATGATGGTTGTATTTGCTTTTTGTAGATTAAGAATGAATTTCCACCCAATTTAAGTTTGTTTCATGAGCAGCCAAAAATTCCCTACAGGAGCTTTAATTTGTTGAAAGTAATAGGAACAGTTGGGAATAAACAACTGATTTGTTTTAGTGATGCTGTAACTTAGAGGGCTGTTTTCTTTTCTTTTCTTTTTTTAAACTGTTACTTTTTGGTTGTTTTCGCTCTGTTTGTACAGCTCTGTGTATTTATGTGTTTTTGATGTTCTACTTTATTATCAGACCTCTGGCACTATCTGACTGATTTGATCTCCTCCCTTGTTCCTTTCATGTGTCACGCAGGCTTTCCTTGTGATTGTATCTGACCATGTCTGATATGTTGTCTTGTTTTCTGTATATTAAAATAGTTCACAAAAATAAATCAAAATGTGATGATTCTGTGAGGAAAAGTTGCAGGAGGTCAATTTTTCCCAAAAAGTAAAATAATGGAAAATCATTTGCAACAAGTGCTGATGTGCAAATTTTAAGGCAATATCCAAGAAAACTTACAATAAAACCTCTCTTTCTTTTTTTCTTTTCATGCGTACTTCTAAAAGGTACAAAGTTTAGACCAAATCACATTCAAACACTGCCAATAAAAGCTTCAGATAATCGTCTCTTTTGGTTTCTTTTTTATTGTCTTCTTACTTTAGACTTGATTAAGTACAGTAATTTAAAAAGGCTCCCTTAAAAATAACCCTCTGACTCTATGAACTTGCAAGTCTCTGCTTTTATTCACTAGAGCAAGAGCCTGTCACTTGTTTTACCTCCTCACACACACAGTCACTGCCGGATGAGAGTGGGCGTTTGCTGTTGCCTACAAAAAAGGGAACACGTATATAACCTGCTTTCTACCACTGTCACCGGCGTTTGGCCATGTCAGACAGGGTAATGATAACATCCTTGGAGGAAGCGGATTTTTTATGACGCCTTGGCTCTGCTTTGCAAAAGTGAAAGCAAAAGAAGGGGAATTTACTGTAAAGCTCCCGGACAAGGAGGAGCAGTATTTTACGCGACATGTCCAGAGCAGAAGGTGATATCCTGCAGAAAGTGGCGGAAAAATGTTTCACAATTCAGTGTTTAAAGATTCAACTATATGGACAAACCCTGCTGGCTAAGACCTTTAGTGAACCACACAGCACTGCAGAGACAAAAGGCTGCAGGCCAAACTCAATGAATCCAATTAATCCATTTAATTCACAGTTGAAAACTCAATGGAAGTGTCCTCAGAGGATCAACTAAAGTGGCAGGACAGGAGTCTTCTTAAAGATGTAAAACAAACAAGAAAAACCTCACAGATATCCTCTCAAGATCACAAATGTGTAACTGTAACGGATAAAATAACAGATCTATGGAAACATGAATGCTGCCTTTTTGAACATTTACAAGCTCACATGATGCCTGCAGGTTACATCCCCTGTACTTTGTCTACCACATCCGTCAAAAGCAGGTGCTGCCTAAGACAGACACCCGAATTTATGAATCGCACATTTTAGCAGACGACTCCACCAATGTCAAATGACTGCAAACATCTGTAACCGATCATAATTTCACTTCCATTAAGGGCACATTAGCCCGAGCAGGAAGAGAGGCTCAGTATAATGCATCATTTAGAAACAAACAAACACTCAAACAAACGTGGGATGAAAGGATTTTTATACCCCGGTCTCGTCTTGACTTATGATTATTTTTTTACCAATTAATTTCAAATGGTTGCAAATTGAGGCCTGAGTGTGCGTCCTGAACGCAGCTCTCCACACAGGACAGCCGCGGATATAAAAATGAAGGCCCCATCAGGGATTTGCTCAGCTCAGGGGCCCTGAAACCCATGAGCACACTTATTATTATTTATGTAAGCATGTCATCCTCCTGTCTAATGAGCCTTTCACTGACAGCGTAATGAAACAGCTTGCATTAACACAAGCTAAATGAACAGCCGAGAGCTCCCATGTCTATGCACCAAAGATGAAAGCAGATGCTCCCCAAAAAAAACCCACCCAAACACCGGGTGTGACAGACCCCCGGTTCGACAGGAGGAAACCATAAGGGGGCTTTGAGTCAGCGGCTTTCTCATCAGCTCATTGACTCAGTTAGAAAAAATCTTGAGTCAAACATCATTATGTGAGAACAGCGCCTAACACAACCATGACCAACTGACCATGAATGAACCCTCGGATTGATTTTTTTTTCTTCTATAGGCATGACCGTGATAAACACGGGGGTGGGGTGGGAGGTGGTGGCTCTCAGGCTGATAAACTCAAAGTGAAAGTCAAACATCTCAATGTGCACAGACCAAAACACAGTCAGAGGAGGTTGATTAACACAGAACTGACAGTGTCCTGACATGTTGTTGGATACTATGAGATTAGAAAAAACTAAGTTATTGCCAGGACAGAGAAATATCCACAGTGTTACGTAAAGTTTATGATATGTAGTCTAATAAACGCTGTGAATGTGAATCAGCACAAATCAATGACTGTCTACAACTGGCTTAAACTGTCAGCTTTATATGAATTACTAGACGGTGTGTTTGCCATTTAGGTGAAGCAGCTTGATGCACTCACATGAAAGTGTCTTAATTTGGACAGGTAGAATAAAAATGAGGTTTAGTGATGAATTTAAATAAAATATATATATGTTGTTTAGTGGGTGTTTTGTGCTATCACTGTGAGGCCCAAGCTACAGCAGAAATTTGTGACAGCTGACCTGCTTTGGTGTGGTTTATTTTCCTAAATAATAACACAAATTATAGTGATTAATTAGATAGTTTGAATATTTTTAAACACACTTTATAACTTGTTGATTGTAAACTATGATTGTGCAGCTGATGGATCTACAGTACATGTTTTTTCTGGAAGTTTAAACATTTGGTTTAAAGACCATATTAGAGTTATATTAAACTCAAGTCACGTTTGCATCATTGCTTAGCTCTGCTCCAGCTCTTAACATGCATTTTCTTACAGTCTGAGCTTGTATGGAGTGAATGAAAATCAACTTAGAATTAGGAAATCTCCCAGACTCTGTTGCTGCAGATTGGTATTCTGCTGTAATAGGTGCACTTTAACTGTAAAAGTTTCCTTTAACTTTGGCAACAAAGTAGTCAGAGATATTTTCTTATTTTATAGATTATCTGGTTATTATCCTTCATTTTTCTGGTGCAAATGTATTCCCAAACTTCCATTTGAATCGGTGGGACACATATTACCATAAATGGATTGATTTGGCTGAAAAGGCGCAGAAGAGAGCACAGGTTTTGTTGGTAAAACGTACTAAAGCGTAAACAAATCCGATGAAATAACTTACCGGTACCAGTCCAGCCCCTTCTCGTAGTTCCTGTCAAAGAAATGGGGCTCGTTCCCCACGGCTCTGACGTCGGGGTGCACCCTGAGAGCCTCCAGCAGCGCTCGGGTCCCCCCTTTCTTCACCCCGATGATGATGGCTTGGGGAAGTTTCTTCTCTCCGTAATCCATGGTGCAGTTCACCCTGAGTTCGCTGTCCGTGGTGCTGAATTCCTGGTGCTCCTTCTCCTGCGCGCTGGTGTGATAAACCGCCACCGCGGATTTCGTCGGAGACGCCTGAGTCCTAATCCACTCCACGGTCCTCTGCTCGGCCTCGGCATGCTCCCTCGTGCGGGTCGCCGCGGTGGTCCCCTCGGCCTCGGTGAATTCGTTCAAGCCCGGAGACGCGGAGTAAAGTTTCTCCCTCAATGTCACAAAAGTTGTTTCCTCCGTCACCAGCCTCCCCTGATACGCGTAGTTCTCTTGCAGGGGGAACTGCAGCGAGTTGTAGCAGCTCATCAAGCTGTAGAACAAGTAGGTGACAGAGAGGGAGAGGGTGAACATGAATAAGATTTTCCGGGGCACTTTAGACGTGAAAACCGAAGTGCTGGACCAAAATGCCATCTCTGATAGCAGTGATCCCCTCAAAGAAGTGGCCAGACATGTTTCCACCCCGAGTCTTGCATGGACAAAAAAATCAACAGCAATAATCAGTCACTATCAGCGCTGCTCCAGCTTTCAAAAAGCCTGAAGCTGGACCGAACCAAGCTATTCCGGGCAAAATCGCATATTTATAAGGATAGCTGGGGTAACAGATCGTTAAAATTCCGGAAGAATATCGCGTCCCCTTTTCTTCAGTATCGATTTCTTATTCCAAAGGCTGACAGACAATGTCACAATTTATTGGACTGAACTTGCAGATTTGAGAGACTGGAGCTCTGGCGTCCTTCCAAATGAACAGCCTGGCTTGAATTGGATTGAGTCAAATGATGAATGAAATCCTGGCATTTTAGAAAAGAAAGAGAAGAAGAGAGAAAAAAAAAAGACAAGAAGACAATGAAGTGTTTAAAGTAGGCTTCTTCTCGTCCAGTCCAGTCTTCGATGTAAGAGTGGATTCACATCCATCCAGGCAACCTACAAATCCATTGAGTCTTTCCAACAGTCATTTACGCTCTCCCCATCTCTCTCTCTCTTTTCTCTTTTCCTGTGGACTACGCGGAGAACAAAGTCGGGAACCTTTTGGGCAAAAACATCCACTCTTCCCTGTGACTAGAGGGCTGCAGCTCGCCGTCTTCGCGCTCCTCTCTTCTCACATTGCTCGGCTCCTACGATGTGCGCATCGGCTGGGTGAGCTCATCTGAACTGAAGCACTGTGGAGCCACACAGCTCAACTTGTGTACACCCACTTTTTTCCTCCTCTATCCGTGCACAAGAAGGGCTCTAAATGCCCGATTTCCTCAGCTGGAATTCCCCTTTTAGAGAGCTTCAATTCTCTGTTTAACTTGCAGAGATTTGAAATTACTATTTAGCTGGAATATTCTGAGAGCATACATTCAGATTTGTGTCTCGGGGTAGAAAGTTTTCCATACAAAGTCCATCTCAGAAAGATGATTTTGATAGAGATAACATTTTACAGAAAGCTCATGTCTGCACCCTGCTGGTTTTCTGCGGAGCGTTGCATAAGTTAGATACAAAAATAAAAAAAAATAAAAAAAGAAGAAAGAAGTTTGCCTGATGCATGCAAAGGCAGGTTGCATTCATTAAACAAGATAATGAGCAACACCATGTTTGGAATGAAGATGCTGACTCGTGAGGGGTGTAATTCCCTGTCTCTTTACTTCATGAGAGCATGTGCAGGAAACAAGTCTGTTCTGCTGAGGAAGAGGAGACTGCTTACACCTATTATACTCTGGATTTATTATACATGGCTGCAGACTATAATTAGTAGTGTGCATATTCACCAGACCTTAAGGATACACGTTGTTGTTGTTGCAATACGGGGATTTAAAACTGCACACTACTGAAACGTCTCTCTGCGTTAGGAAATCTCATTCATCACACACCTACAACACACCAGGAGAGCCAGCGACACACTAAGTAATGGGTCCAGAATAATTTGCAACACATGGCTTGTACGGCGGTAATCCCACTTGATGCACGTGCGATTCTGTATTTAAAATGTGGGGGATATATGTTGCTTTGCTCTGCATGCAAACCAATGCTGACACAAAATTGTCCTAATCTGTTGTTGCAAAAGACAGCCCCATTCATCCAAAACATCTCCTAAATTTCCAAAAAAGTCACATGAAAAATGGAAAAGATAGTCAATACTGGGGCTGTTTAATGAGCTCTTTAGCAAACTTCAAACTGTTTAATTTCATTGTCTTCAAATGAGCTGTTTGGATTAACTCTTTAAGTGTATTATCCCTGTTCTTTTTTAGTAAAGGAGGACCTAACATAACCTGCTTACTAGTTTATTAACTTGGCTAGCAAGCCAGTGATTCCCCTCAGGAGTTGGTGGAGACAGAAATTCAGCCAACAGAGAGTGTGAGTGGAAACACATGCAAGGTGCTAGAAACTGCTAAATGTGTAGAGAAGAAAGTTGAAGCTTAAAGGTCTGCATTTACTGGCAATGAGTCAAACGCATACTCACAGGTGTGCATCAAAACACATCATTCTCTAAAGCTCAAAATAGCCTCTTTGTTGCTTTTGCAGTTTGTGGACTGGTTATTTCATATCGTGTTGCTTGATTTAGAGACATAAAACTAATGAGTTCGAGGGCAAATGTGAATTATTTGCTCCTGAGTGGCGCATAAATGTCTATTGAATGTTAAACAAATGTTACCCCTTACCAAGTAATACAAACACATAGTCTAAGCAGCCAGCATGTTTAATTGTATCTACTGACCACCAAACTAGCAAATGATTTGCAAGCTATGCAACGTGAACCAAATATTTGGATGAAGAAAAAAAAAAGGATGTTGTCATTATTAACAACTTTATGCTTCATGCAGAACTGATGTGTAAAAAAAATATAATACATGGAGAAGTGCTGTGATTATCTTTCTTATCTTTATTAGCTTGTTTGTAGATCTAGTCAATGCTGCATCACAGTTGGAGGCGGGGCTTCTGCATTGCTGTGAATTTGTGCATTTGTGATCAAACGATATCACTGTGTTTTGTTATGTCTGTGTAGTCAACATTTCAAATTTTTTGAGCGGCCTGCTGTTTCTGACCGTAAACAAAGCCGTTCTCCGCCTCCCCCAACCTGATTGGTTGTGAGGCCGATGCTGCTCCTTGCTGCTGATTGGCTGTGAGGCAGATGCTGCTCCCCCGAGTCGTTGACGAGCCCAAACAAAGTTAGCGTGATACAATATCGGACAGTAGAAACCAACCAGAAAGTACAAAAATTGTCTGAATCCTCCTTTGGCCACGACTGCCAACACAAGCAAGACAACAAAATAAATACTGGAGACTTTGTCGGAATAACAGGCGCTTAAAAAAATGGGCAAGAGCTGAAAAGCTGGGTCAACATCAGCATAAATGATCGGGGCCGCTTCGGGATCTTATGGACCCCGTAACCTAACCCTGCTGGACAGGTAAACTGCTTTAATAAAGTAAGCCAAGTGTCTGTAACAGAAGTGTTTCTTGTCAAATGGGACCTGCTGCGTGTTGTAGTGCCACTAAACTGTTTACCTCGGGTCCTGGAGTATGTCACTTATTCCTAGTTGTAGAAGTCCTGCAAACATTGTGTTTGCTGGTAGTCTGTTGGCATCTACAGTAGCACCAATGATTTTTACTTTTACATTGACTGGTGTAAAGTGTTTATCTGCATTATATCTGAATTTAATTGAAATGCTACGAGCGAGCAAAAGTGGCTGTTTGTGGGCGGGGCTTTCTGGAGCAGAGACGAAGGGGAGAGGAGGAGCTGAGGGGGAAAAAAAATACAAGGTTTGTACATCAGGTAAAAAAAAAAATTGGATTCTATTTCAAATGAATAGGATTTTGGTGTAAAGCCTCCACCTGACACTGAGGTCAGAGGAGTTGATGTCAGATTGTCACAAGAGGGTCCTGAAGACAACTCTGATGCCAGTTATGGCGTTTGCTGTCCTCAGTATCGGCACCTTAAGCATGTCAGCACCGGATAGGAACATTTGTTAACAGACGACTTTTAATTAAAAACAGGACAGCAACAAAAGGTTGTGTAAATCCACCTGTTGAGTCATTGATAGGATTTAGTTGCTGTATATATGTTATAGAAAAATGACCCCACTCACACGTCTAACTATCAGTGCAACATTTATGACATTTCTGTGACAATTTGACACAGTTTGAATGAAGTGAGTATGTAGTTAAAGTTGCTGAAGTGCTGACCACACACATTCATATGTGGCATTGACAGTAACTGTCTTTTCAAAAAGTTGAAATACTGAGATTTTGCTAAAATAAGTGTTTGGTACTGTATGTTTGTAGTAGTGGTCCTCACATTGGGCCACACATCTTTAAACAAATCACAGAGGAAAATGAAGTAGCACCCCACAAAAGAGATGATCATTTTAAGAAACTGACTCTCTGACTTTTATTGTCAATCCTAACGCAATGACTTTTTGAGCCACTAATAAACTGAACATTTGTACTCCTTAACTGTTTTCTTTCAGTGCTTACAATCTACCAAAGTAGCACTATTAAAAATAAAAGTATAGTTTGACCGTGCAGGGAGGGGAACAACTTTGCTCTCCTGCTCAGCGCTGTTCTTCGGTGAAGGAAATCAAACTTCAGATTCAGATTCTTTTGTTTGCAGTACAGATATGCACACAGCAGCTATGTGACATGCGTGTAATAAATGCTGCTGTAGACCATCTTATCAGACACCCACATTTGCAGATACAGGCATAGAAAATAACTGAATTAAAATAACTCATCTTTTTGCTCATGAAGAAGCATCAGGATTAATTTTCATGAATTTTTATTAAGGATATCTTGAGACATGCATAACTAAAATGATCATATATTGCAGTATATGAATTCTCGATGTTGGTTTAGTCTCATCGCTATCTCCCAGCCGTCATGCAATGTCGAGATATTTGCAAAGCAGACCTGCACCTACATGCATAAGTGATGCAGGTGATTGGGTGTGGGGGATGACAAGTGTTTGGAGAACAATGGTGACTGGGTGTTTGGCAGTCAAGAGAGCGTAGGAGAGCTCAATGAGTTTGCTGAAATTGTTGCATTCGTAAATTGCCACTCGGAGAATCAGAGTGCTCTCTGACAGGAACTGCCCTGTTTGTAAATCTCTCTGTTATCAGACTTCCTACCTGTCTGTCTGTCTAAGAGTCACCCTGACAGAGATGTCTGAGCATGCTCAGACGCCCCAACTGTGGAGTGGCTGCAGCAGAGCGCTTCAGTGTTGACAACACCATTGGAGTGGTATTAAGATGGCCGCTGCCACTCAACGCTGATGATAAATTATTATCAGAGCGTAGAAGGAAAATATATTGACCCGATTTATCTTCCCTTTTGTTGCGTCTGTTATCGGAGCCATTCATAAATCGCTCAGACATTGTCGGTCCCTGTGGAAGCTGAGAGCTCAGGCTGCGTCTATTTGCATTGACAAACAAGCAGTCGCTCAGGAAGCTTTGAGTTTATTGAAGTTTAGTTTGAGTCCTAGCTGCTGTTATATTGAGAAGATAATTTACTGCTTTTGTTGCAAGGCAAATTACAAACAAGCATTTCTGCTTTAATCTACAGGCAACAGGAATTAAATTTACGGTTTGGCTCCAAGATCTTATTGTTTGAAATATCTCAAGTCACAAATGAACCCTTCTGGCCTCAGTCCACCAGCACAGCCTCATTTTTCATCACCGTCAGCCTCACAAAGCCTCTCTGCAGCTCACATTAGCATTCACCTCATGTCAAGATTGTATTCAGATATGAATTATCCATATTACATTTACATTAACACCTGGAATTAAAAATGTCTCTGCCTGCCATCCAATGTGTCTGCAGCTCTACTGCAATTATGAATCTCAATCCTGACAATATCCAGTCACGGTTAATGCAAAATTATTCACAATTTGTAAGAAATATCACCTTACTGTCTTTAGAGGAAGCTGCAGTGATAAGTCCAATTTATTCTAATGCGTTGCAAAAGGATGTATTTTATTTTGCTCCTATTTCAGGGGCCCGGGTCTTTGGTTTTTTCCTGTTTGTATAATTAATGTTTCAAATGGAACTACCACTTTATAGGCGATATGAAACTACTTATTCCTCAACCGCATAATGAGTATCTCTCATATTTTTGCCAACTGCCAGGAAAAGATAATCAAAGATTTTGAGGGCTTTCACTTTTAAGTCTAAACTGGGCAGCTGTCCAGTGTCTGGTGACTGGTGTGCAGAGTTTCACCAAGGATCCAGGTAAAGGCTCATATATGCTCAACTTTACACACAGATCCGGATACAGATGGAGCTCTCTGTTCACGTTCTTTTCATCCGTATTTTTGGACGTATCCTTGAAGCTACGGATACAGGCCAGACGGAGCAGTACCACCGTAAACCGTGGGGGCAGTGTTGATGCTGCAACTACCCGATACACATCTATAGGGAGAAGCAAAGAAGAAATCTGGCAGGAAAGTTGTCAAATGCCCCGGCGGACATCCTGAAGTACTGAAAATGACGACTGTCATCATTTCTCCGTCTTCCAACCCCGAGGCATTTAGTGGCCT